CACCGGCACCAGGCTCTCACACTTAATCAGTCTTGAAACAGGGTCTCTCTGTAGCCCAGCCTCCCAAGTGCTGGGATTATAGGCCTGCACTGCCATGCCCAGTGTGTAGGATTCTTTGAAACATATCATTTTGTGTACCTATAGATTTCATCTGCATACTTGGTATAGGATTGTTATTTTATTTTTTACTTTTTTAAAACATCCAGCATTTTTTTTTAAGATCCACCAATGTTGGTGTGGTGGTCTGTGCCTGTAATCCCAGCACTCAGGAGGCAGTGGCAGGAGGATCTTGAGTTGAGGCCAGCCTGGGCTACACAGTGAGACCCTGTCTCAAAAAAAATAAAACAAGTTGGCATGGCTCAAGTGGTAGAGTATTTGTCTAGCACAAGCAAGGTCCTGAGTTCAAACCCCTGTATTGCCAAAAACAAAAAGTAAAAGAACTGAGTTAAAAACATCCACCCATGGTTGTACCTCACAGCTGGCCAGTCACTGCCTTTGTTATCCATTCTCCCAGAGAGGGCCATCCAGTGGCCGTGACGCCCCTCAGGGTAGATCACAGCACTGTGAACATTCTACCTGTCCCCTGGCACAGAGCTCCACAGTGTCTTGGGGCAGATGCACCTGAGAGCTTGATTCCGTACACTTTGCCTGTGTTCCCCATGGCTGCCCTCCGCCTTCCCACCAGTGTCACCCACAGCCCCAAACCTTGGTCTTCGCCTGCCCTCACAGCTTTGCCTACTCAGTGGCTGACGGCTCCCAGTCAGTCACATTAGTGTCTCTTTGTATGCTTGTTGGGGTTTTAAGTTTCTTCTGGCTCTTCCTATCCCTTGCCTGAGGCTGGTGGAGTGGCTCAAGTGGTAGAGCGCCTGCCTAGCAAACCTGAGGTTGTGAGTTCAACCCAGTACCAGCCCCCACCCCCCCAAAAAAAACCCTTTTTCTCTAGCAAACCTAGTTCTTGCTCATTATTCTGTAGAGGTAGCTGATTTTTCTTGTTGATTTGCGGGAGTGCATCTTCAATCCATTTTGCTATAACACTTGTTTTGAAAATGTGAATTTAGGCCAGGTATGGTGGCCTGTACCTGTAATCCCAGCTACTTGGGAGGCAGATATTGGGAACATCAGACCATTCCTGGCAAAAAATAAGACCTCATCTCAGCCAATAAGCCAGGCATGGTGGTGTGTGTCTGTAATCCCAGCCATGCAAGGAGGCTGTAGGTAGAGGGATCACAGTCCACAGCCGGCCCTGGGCAAAAATGCCTAAAGCAAAAGGACTAGGGGCCTGGCTCAAAAAGTAGAGTGCCTGCCTAGGCCCTGAGTTCAAACCCCAGTATCACCAAGAAAGAAAGGGAAAAAAAACATAAATGTATAACCCTGCAGTTGACAGATTAGGAAATCTGTGAGCCTAGCAGGAATTTCCCATTTGCTTCTGTGCACCTGTGAGGAAAGACGAGATGGATCCCAGACGTGTGAGCATGCGTGTTTCCCCCACCTCTTTTCCTTGCTGGTTCTAAAACTTTTGTGAGATCTCAGCTAATCTCCTTCTACTACCTCACAGCAGCGCTCATTTCCACAGCAGCCTTCACATGGCTGTCAAAGTCAATGCCATGGTTTTTAGTGTATATACTTTTCTTAACCACTTAACTTGTAAGACCACCCACCCTGTTCCGTTGGGCCTGTCTGTTTCGGCATGTGTGGCACAGTTTTATGAGTACTGTGCCACACCCATTCTCTTCATAAGCCCTGTGGTTTCTTTCTCTTCTGTGTGTGTGTTGGGGGGGGTGGGCTGGACTGGGGCTTGAACTTGGATTCCAGTTTGCAAAGCAGGCCCTCTATCGCTTGGTCCACACCTCCAGTCCATTTTGCTCTGGGTATTTTGGAGATGGGGGTCTCGGGGACTCTTTGCCAGTGCTGGTCTTGAACCTTGATCCTCCCCATCTCAGTCCCTCCCAGGTAGCTAGGATTACAGGCGTAAGTCACCAGCATCCGGCAGGCAGCCTTGTGGTTTCCACTGGGAGACTTTGCCGATCACTGTGATTTTGAGGAACTCGGGCATTAGAGTAGGAGCAGCTTTTCCAGGCTTAGTGCCTGGTTGATGGGAGACAGTAAGGCGTCCTCTCCCAGTGTGTCTTGAACACTGTGCTCACTGAACTGGTAACCTGCTGTGCAGGTGTAGGGAGCCAGCCGTCCCAGGCTTTGGAGAGGTGTTAACCTGACTGGATGGACAGCAACTGGCAGATTCTACCAAATGCACATACCTTTTCAGCCTGCAATTCCCCTTTTAAACATTTATGCCATAGGCAGGATCACAATTCAAGTCCCAGCTCAGGCAAGAAGTTCTTGAGACCCCATCTCAACAAATAAAGCTGGGCACTGTGGCATGTGCCTGTCACCCCAGCATAACGAGGATTGCAGCCCCAGCATAAATGTGAGACCCCATCTTAAAAATAACCAAAGCAGTTCTGGGCTCCAGTGGCTCACTCCTGTAATCCTAGCTACTCAGGAGGCAGAAATCAGGAGGATCGGGGTTTGAAGTCAGTGCTGGCAAATAGTTTGAGAGCCCCTATTTCAAAAAAATCCGTCATGAAAAAGGGCTGGTAGAGTGGCTCAAGGTTCAAGCCCCAGTACTGCAAAAATAGACAAAATTTTAAAAGTAGCCAAAGTAAAAAGGACTTGGAAGCATGACTCAAGTGGTAGAGCACCTGCCTGGCAAGTGCAAAGCCCTGAGTTCAACTCCTAGCACTGCAGAAAACCAAAAAAGAATGTACCCTAAATGCCCTCACATGTGCTAAGTGACAGTGGCTGTGGGCTTTGAAGCAAGGGGGCTCGGGGTGTGTTCAGAATGAAGAATAGGAACGGGCTCCCCCTTCCTTCTTTCTAGAACATCTACAGGGCAGTACAGAAAGCCTAACTGTGTAGCCCAGTGGCTTTCAGAGTGAACACACCCATGTCACCACGCCCAGATGTAAAGAGAGCCTTCCAGCCTCCCAGGGCCAGCTTCCTTGCTTTGCAGGACCCCTGCCAGCCACTTCCACCACCCAAAGGAAACCCAATTTATAAGCTGTAATTACTTCTGTGAGTGTTGAACTTCGTATCCATGGCACTTACAGTAAGCTTTCTCTTAGGTCCGGCTTCTCTTGCCTGAGTGGTGTCTGTGAGAGATAGCCAGGCTGTTGGTGTGACAACGCCGCCAGGTTTATGTAACTTGCAGTTTCTTCACCCATTCATTGTGCACAGGCATGTGTCTAGTTTGCTGGTATACTTTGGGGTTGGATGGTTTGTTTGTTTTGAGACAGGGTCTCACCTGTAGCCCAGGCTGGTCTAAACTCAGGATCCTGCTGCCTCAGCCTCCCAAGTGCTGGGCTTACAGGTGTGCACCACCACACCCTGCTAGTTTCCAGTTTCTTTTTTTTTTTTTTTCTCTTTTTTCCCATACTGGGGTTTGAACTTGGGGCCTACTCCACCAGCCCTTTTTGGTAATGGGTTTTTTTGAGATAGGGACTCAAGGACTATTTACCCAGGCTGGCTTCAAACTATAATCCTTTCAGTCGCTGCCTCCTGAGTAGCTAGTATTACAGGTGTAAGCCACCAGCACCGTTCTTTCTTTCTCTCTCTCTCTCTCTCTCTCTCCCCCTCCCTCCCTCCCTTTCTTTCTTTTGAGACAGGGATGTGCTATGTAGCTCAGGCTGGGATTACAGATTACAGGTGAGCACTACTCCACCCAACAGTGCATGCTTTGCTGACGTACTTATCTCACTGGTCTTTAAATTCTATCTAAAAAGTCTCCTGAGCTTAGTTGCAAAGGATACAGTTTCCAACCCAATGGAAATCTAGATATTTTTAAAGCATACTGTTACATTTATCGTCTTTTAAAATGTAGCTGATGGCCTGTGGCTCACACCTGTAATACTAGCTTCTTGAGAGGCTGAATCTGGAGCGTTGCAGTTCAAGGAGAACCTGAGCAGATCTCCAGACATCCATCTCCAAAATTACCTGAGCAAATTGGATAGGAAGTATGGCTTGGGCAATGGAGCACCTGCATAGCAAGCTGGAAGCCCTGAGTTCAAACCCCAGTGCTGAAAAAAAAAAAAAAAAGTCTTATAATTTAGCAGTAAAAAGGCAAGCTACCCAGTAGAAAAATGGACAAGGGCTCTCAATAGTATTTCTTTTAATAGCAATAAATGACTGATAAGGGCTGGAGACATGACTCAAGCTGAAGAGCTCCTGCTAGCAAGTGGGAAGCCCAGAGTTCAAATCCCCATCACCACAAAAAAACCCAGATTGATAGGAGCATGGAAAGATGTCCTCTTCCTGTAGAGCCCTAATCTTAGCTGCTCTCTGATTGACCTATTTGTGACCCAATCACCATGTGCTAATGGGTTGGCCAGCACTGATTGGTTCTGAGCGCCCAGCGCTGAGCCAATCACTGGGCTGGTCAGTGCAAGTGGCCACTTTGGGAGTAGAAGCGGAGGCAGAATGGACTTGTAGAGTTGCAGGGTTCATCTGGGGTGTTCCCCGATCCGCTGACCTTCCAAAATGACATCTTCCTCAGTGTCTTTTAAAAAATGCTAATGGCACCTCTGCCACCTGTTCTGCACCCCCTTCCCACCTCCAAACAACTCTTGTTGTTACAGGTTGTATTTAGGTAAGCTCAGGTGAGTCTTGGGGGACAGCCACATGACCTCGGCTCCCCGCACCCTCCCATCCTCCCCTCCACCCGAGGGGGCTGCTCAGTTCTGAGGGCCCTGTGGCTCACGCCTGTAATCCTGGCTACTCAGGAGGCAGAGATCTGGAGGACTGTGGTTCAAAGCCAGCCGTGGGCAAATATTTCCTCAAGATCCTGTCTTGGAAAAACCCATCACAAAAGAGGGCTGGTGGAGTGGCTCAAGGTGAACGCTCTGAGTTCAAGTCCAGTACCCCCCCTCCAAAAAAGAAAAAAAAGATTTTCCCTGTGCTGGCAGCTTCCCATCCCAGCACCCTTCAACTCTCCCTTCCTCCCCCAGGATGACGCGGCATGGCAAGAACTGCACAGCAGGGGCTGTCTACACCTACCACGAGAAGAAGAAGGACACAGGTACTGGACTGGGGACCCAAATGTGTCAGAGTCACCACCTCTCTGTGCATCTTCTACCACTTGAGTAACTGCTCGGGTACCTTCCTGCATTAGTCCTGAAGTCTTCCCAGCCCCCGCGTTCTCTTCGGGCTTTGTAGAGAGGTTTGTCCCTGTCCACGCCACTCCACCACTGCCGTTTCTGTCCCCAGCGGCCTCCGGCTATGGAACCCAGAACATCCGACTGAGTCGGGACGCTGTGAAGGACTTCGACTGCTGCTGCCTCTCTCTGCAGCCCTGCCATGACCCTGTCGTCACGTGAGCTGCTGAGGGGGAGGGAACCAGCCATGGGGAGCTGCGTGTGGGTTTGGCCACCTGCGTACCCAGGGCACTCTGGGCCAGACATTGATGGCTCAGAGCCTCAGTGTTTCTGTCTGAGATGTGACTTGGTCATAGCCCTATCTCACAGCACGTGGAAAAGAATATATTCAAAATAGGGTAGGGGGCTCTTGAAATGATGCTGACGGGTGACAGCAGCTCACCTGGTGAAGCATGCACCATTACCTGCCTCTGGCAGTTCAGCAGTGGCTTCAGCAAGATGATAGGTGTAAGGTACTTAGTCCAGTGACTAAATATGTGCACTTTTTTTTTTTTGGTGGTATTGGGATTTGAACTCGGGTCCTCATGCTTGGGAGGCAGGAGCTCTACCACTTGAGCCACACTCCCCTTCTTTTGCTTTTAGTTTGTTTTTCTGGTACTTTTGCCTGTGTCAGCCTCAGATCATGATTGTCTTACTTCTACTTCCAGAGTGGCTGGGATTATAAGCATTTACCACCACACCCAGCCTGTAAACATATGCTCTTACAGAGATACTGATGACACTCACTCCTCAAAGCCATCTTCGGTTATCCAGTAAACATCACAAAACTCAGCACAACTGTTACACTCATGGTGACATTTTATTACTGTGAAAGGCTACAGTTTAAAATCAGATATGGGTGCTAGGATTCCAGGGGCTTTAGGGGTCTTCTCCCAGAAGCCTGTCAGAGGCAAGACCTTTCTTTTTGGAATGCACAGAGTTTGGACAGTCCAGGCCTGATGAGTTCACCCTTCCTGGCGCAAGACGTTCCCTACACAGTACAGCAGTCTGTAAAGTCATGAGAATTAAAACTGTGTGGGCCTGGCACAAGAATTTACCACAGAAGCGAAGCGTGGCAGTACACACCTGTAATCTTGGCTACTCAGCAAGTGGAGGTCGGAGGATTGGGAGTGCAAGGCCATCCTGAACAAAATTAGCAAGACCCTGCCTCAAAAACAAAATACAAACCAAAAAGGGATGGAGGCATGGATTACATGATAGGCCCTGAGTTCAACCCCACTTTTGAAAAAAAAAAAAAAAGACAAAGACATTTTAAAAAAAATTGACACAAGGTAAATGCATTTGGAAACCCTGTGCTACCAGGGTGAGTAGCCACTGGTGAGGGTGGGATTAACCCCTAGCTGTGTTCTGCAGCCCAGATGGTTACCTGTATGAACGGGAGGCAATCCTGGAGTACATTCTGCACCAGAAGAAGGAAATCGCCCGGCAGATGAAGGTGACAGTGACAGGGCAAAGGGGGTACAGGTGGGCAGGCTGTTTGGGCAGAGCCTCTCTGTGTCCTCCCATCTGAGTTCCTTTCCCCTAGGGGCCTTTGTCTGTGCCCTTCCCTCTGCCTGCTGTGCCATTTGCCCCCCCCACACTTCTGGTCAAATCTTTCCACTGAGGGGGTGGCCAGGCATTGCCCACAGGGTCTCATGTGTCCACGTTGGTCTAGAACTTTTTTTTTTCTTTTTTCTTTGACTTTTGAATTGACATACATTAATAGTACACGGAGATTTCATTGTGATGATTCCATGCATAGAGTGTAGTTGAAACCAGCTTCCCCCTCCTTCATATTCCCATTCCGCCCCCACCTCCAACTCTCCATTCTCGTGCCTCTGCCCCTGGAGTGCTGGGATTACAGGCAAGTGCATCAGGTACTGCAGGCAATGGGCACCGATTATTATGTGTCCTAAGCATTTTATTTATTTTTATTTTATCATTTTTACATTTGTGCCATAAGCATTTTAAAAGCTCACCTGGAGCCAGGCACTGGTGGCTCACACCTGTAATCCTAGCTACTCCAGAGGCAGAGATCAGGAGGATCGAGGTTTGAGGCCAGCTCCAGACAAATAGTTCTTGAGACTATCTTGAAAATACCCATCACAAGAAAGGGCTGGCAGAGTGGCTCAAGCGGTAGAGTGCCTAACTAGCAAGCGTGTGAGACCCTGAGTTCAAACCCCAGTGCCCCAAAGAGGAAAAAGACCTCACCTCAGGTAGCGTTCCCCTCCCCGCCCTCCAGGGACCTCCAGGGTGGGTCACCAATGAGAGTCCATCTTATCAATGAAGAAACAAGCCAGGAAAGGTCACAGTAGTCACTGCAGGCCAATGAGTGACAAAGATGGGATTTGAGCTCAAGTTCCAGCTCCAGCCAAACTCTTGGCTGTCGACCACACCCTTGTCAAGGAAGAAAGACTGAGGACACTAGTCCCAAACTGGCTTTATGGGAAGCCACTGTGCATCCTGCCCAAGGGAGGGGACAGGCGAGTGTGGTGCCCCCATTCTGTGCTGAGGACTGATCCCCAGCATTTTAGGCTCTGCCACTGAGCCACATCCCCAGTCCTTTTGCCTTTAGTTTGTGTTTCACATAGGGTCTTCTGCTTTTTTTTTTTCCCCTCCAGTACTGGGACTTGAACTCAGGGCCTATACCTTGAGCCACTCCACCAGCCCTTTTTTGTGTTGGTATTTTCAAGATAGGGTCTCACAAACTACTTGGCCAGGCTGGCTTCAAACTGCGTTCCCCCTGATCTCTACCTCCTGGGTAGCTGGAATTACAGGCGGGAGCCACCAAAGCCATCTGGGTATTGTGTTTTTGCCCAGCTGCCTCAACTGTGATCCTACCTCTGCCTCAAGTAGCTGGGATGACAGGCATTCCCCACCACCTATCTTGAAAACAAAATAAGGCCTGGCCACCTCTTTGCCTGAACTGGCTTTGAACTAGTGATCCTCTTGCTTCCACTTCCTGGGAAGCTGGGATTACAGGCATGCATTACCATGCCTGTGGTTTACGGCCTATTGAACTTGCCCACCAACCTCCACCAAACAGCGCTGGTGATGATCTCCATCTCTCGTTTGAGGGGGAGCACAGCGGGAGGGAGGTTCTTACCTGGTTCTGAGCTCAGCACCCCCCACCTCTACCCCCAGGCCTACGAGAAGCAGCGTGGTGCGCGGCGGGAGGAGCAAAAAAAGCTGCAGCGCGCCTCGGCGCAGGACCAGGTGCGGGGCTTCCTGGAGAAGGAGGCGGCCATCGTGAGCCGGCCGCTCAACCCGTTCACGTCCAAGATGCCCTTGGGGCCCGGCCCAGGTGACAGGGAATGAGTGGACTTGGGTGGGGAGCCCCACGCTGGTGCCCCGGGGCGCTCATCGGGCCTCTCCCTTCCCTTCCCCACAGATGGTGTCCAGCCTGGACCCAGCGCAGGGCCCCTAAGCAAGGACAAAGACAAGGACAAGGACAAAGCGCTGCCCAGCTTCTGGATCCCATCGCTGACTCCCGAGGCCAAGGCCACCAAGCTGGAGAAGCCGGTGAGCTCCCGCCGTGGCCCTGTCCCTCAGCGTCTCCCGGGGCCCTTCCCGCCCTGAAAGGGACCCCATCGTCCTTCCACCTCCCGCCGCTGACCCCGTCCCCGCCCGCAGTCGCGCACGGTCACCTGCCCCATGTCGGGGAAGCCGCTGCGCATGTCCGACCTGACGCCCGTGCGCTTCACGCCGCTCGACGACTCGGTGGACCGCGTGGGGCTCATCACGCGCAGCGAGCGCTACGTGTGCGCCGTGACCCGCGACAGCCTGAGCAACGCCACGCCCTGCGCCGTGCTGCGGCCCTCGTGAGTGCAGGCGGGAGGGAGGGGGCAACGGGGACGGGCTTGGGGCTTTCCCGGCGCTGATCTGCCGCCCCCACCCGCAGCGGGGCCGTGGTCACCCTCGAGTGCGTGGAGAAGCTGATTCGGAAGGACATGGTGGACCCGGTGAACGGAGACAAGCTCACAGAGCGCGACATCATCGTGCTGCAGCGGGTGAGCCTCCCCTCCCCAATCCTTCCCCTCCCCTCCTCCCTCACTCTGCTTTCCAGGGCTCCGCCCCCACTCCCCAACCCCTCCCTGCCCCGGGACTCCGCCCCTTCTAGGCCCCGCCCCATTCTGCCCAGTCTCAGGAGTGCACCCCCCCCTTGCCATCCACTCCACTAACCGCTATGGGATGGTCACTGCCACCTGGAGCCCAGCACTCAACCCCGGCCCCTCCCCCTTGTCCTCTGCCTCTTCAGGGTGGCACCGGCTTCGCGGGCTCCGGGGTGAAGCTGCAGGCCGAGATGTCGCGCCCAGTGATGCAGGCCTGAGCTCCTGCGGGGACCCAATAAACCGCCTGGGTGTGAGTGGCCGTGTGGCGTCTTCCTTCGAAGCGGGGTTTCCCGGGGATTGAAGAAAGCAGGCCGTGTGCACCCTGGAGTGACGCGTGTTTGAAAGGTCACACAAAGAATCTTGAATGTCTTCTACTAAGAGCAAAGTGAATCAAAGCCAGGCATTTAAAGTGGTCCCGCTGACCAGGAGCGAGTGGCTCACGCCTGTAATCCTAGCTGCCAGAGAGGCTGAGAATAGGAGGATGGAGGAGTGAGTTTGAGGCCAGCCTGGGCAAATAGTTCTCAAGACCCCATCTCCCAAATAACCAGAGCAAAATGGACTGGAGGTGTGACTCAAGCGATAGAGCGCTTGCTTCACAAGTGTGAAGCCCTGAGTTCAAACCCCAGTCCCACCAAAAAAAAAGAAAAACAAATTTGGTCATTATGTCTAGAATTCTGAGCTATGACCTGGTGAGGAATTAATATTTAGTTAAATATTTAGCAAGCTACATATTCCTCCTCTTAAGGCAAGGGTGACACTCTTGAGATGGCCAGGAGCACAAAGGAAACACAGTTGTGTGCGAGTGGGGGGCCCGAGGGCAAGGGGTCCCCACCCTAGAAAATGTGGTCAGGGGCACGCCCTCCCCCACATCTGGAGGGAAAGGAAGAGGAAACCGCAAGTGCAAAGGCCCAGAGGCTTCGAAGTGCTGCAGGGAGGGGGAGGGGGCTGGTGGAGCTCAGGCTTGCCTGGGGGAGGGGTCCCTGAAAGCTTGGTTTTTAGTAACCAGTCCTTGGCAGTGTTGGAAACAGACTTAGAAAATAAAGATCCCACACAGCCATCTCCCAGCCATTCCTGGTCCTGTGCTCAGGGTCTCTGTGCCTACCTTGTTTCCTCCCTAGCCGGAGCTCATGCCCCTGCCATTTGGGGCAGTGAATGATGGACTTGCCTAGAAATGGTCCCTCCGCCCAGTGCCCTTCACCAGTCAGAGGACCAGCATGCCATCAAGGGAGAGGGAGTGCAAGGTGGAGGAGGGCCGGTGGTGTGGTCCTGCATCCTGGAGCACCCCAAGCCTGGCATCTCCCACAGATGCCTCTAGATTGTCCTCTAGGTCTTCAAGAGTCCTTGCGCCCCTCTTCTATGCCTCCAGCCCCTGGAAGCAGGTACAGTTGCTGCTGACACTTGGGAGCCTTTGTGACCTGTGCCCATCAGTCTAGTCCCCTTAAAACCTCCATAGACCTGGAAAGGGATTCATTCCACCGAACAGGCCACCGAGGCCGAGGAAACAACTTCCCCAAAGTCACAGGGCTACGGGAGTGAAGAAGCTAAACACACCCAGAGGCCAGCCTCAGCAAGTTCCCACCTCACTAACTTAATGCCCACAGCATTGTGCCTCATCTGTGTCCCTAACCATCCCAATTTGTCTTTCCCAAGACCACCCAGTCACCCCTGAGGACCTTGTTTTCTCTCAGCACCCCCCTCAAGACTTGTTCATATGCAGCAGGTACCCCCCACACACACACAAAATAAAAACTGCAAGTGAACTGGGCATGGTAGAGCACAGCTGTAATCCCAGCACTCAGGAGGATGGTGAGTTACAGACCCTGTCTCAAACATGAAAAACAGAAACCAGTGTAATTAGTGGGGAAGTGTTTATTGAACGTGTGTGAGGTCCTTGTTTCCTTCCCTAGCACCACAAAGAATTCAGCAGTTCCATTCTTGTGTTTATACCCAACAAAACTGAAATCACATCCACGTAAAAACTTGTATGAGTGACCCTAGCAGCCCTACTTCCACAGCCCCAACGTGGGAGTGCTGCAAGTGTGCAAGTGTTTATGGCTGGATGAAGTAGGGCAGGGTCTGTCCATCCTTTTATTAGTCATAAAAAGGGATGAACTAACTGCCGGCACACGTGACATGATGCACCTTAAAAACATGATGGCGAGTAAAGAAGACTGACACAAATACTGTATGACTCCATTTGTGTGAGGGGGAAAAAGCGGGGCAACTCATGGAGACAAAGTGGGTGAGTCTCTGGCAGAGGCAGGAAGAGAAGTGGAAAATAATTGCTTACAAGGGGGTGATGAGAATGTTCTAGAATTGATGCTGATGGACACACAACCTTTTAGATTCACGGTATGTGAATTAGTGAATTACATGTCAGCTTTTTTTGTGTGTGGGAGTGGGATTTGAACTCGGGGCTTCACACTTGCAAAGCAGGCACACTTCCAGTTGAGCCACACCTCCAGTTGATTTTACTCTGGTTATTTTGGAGATCAAGTCTTGGGAACTATTTGCCTGGGCTGGCCTCAAACCTCAATCCTCCTAATCTCAGCCTCCCAGGTAGCTGGGATTACAGGTGTAAGGTGAATTCTATCTCAGCTTTTAAAAAAATAGATGTCATCACTAGAGACTCCACTCCAGCTTGCTCCACTGCTCCCAGGGCCATAGAGCTGGCTATCACAAGCCTAGGGACTGGATCTGCTGATTTAGAGAAGGGGAGGACCACCAACAGAACCAACTGTTCAAGTTTTCTTCTGAGAAGGACTGGTGAGGATGTGGAGGAAGTGGGATTTGAACTCAGGGCCTTATGCTTATTGCACAGGCACTCTACCACTTGAGCCACTCCTCCAGCCCTTTTTATTTATTTTGCCTTTAGCTACTTTTTGGATAGGATTTCATGTTTTTGCCCAAAGGCAGGGCAGGCATCGGATCACATAGCTGGGATTACAGATGTGTACCACCATGCCCAGCAAGGACTGGAACTTTCTACTGTGCTAGTGGGTGGAGGAAGTGGGGAAACGATTTGCTGAATACCTTGCTACCTGTGCGTACTCCAGGCCCCTCTCTCTCTTACAAACATGGAAATCCATGCAAATATGCTCAACAAAACAAACTAAAACATTTGTGACAACTTCCTGTGCAACAGCTCCCGGCTGGAAATGTCCCAAAAGATTATTACCAGTAAAATGGGTGAGATGTGGGTGTTCACAGTGGTGTAATATACAACAATGAAAAAGGAGAATGCCCTTGAGTCTCAGTAACATGAGTCCATTAATAAAAAGATGCAAAAGCATTGGAGTGGCTCAAGTGGTAGAGTGCCTGCCTTGCTAAGCCTAGCAAGCATGAGGCCCTGAGTTCAAGCCCCAGCACTGCAAAAAAAAAAAAAAAAAGAAAAGCAGACTGGGAAGTGTGGTTCCAGTGGTAGAACACTTGCTCTGAGTTCAGTATCCAGTACCTGGAAGAAGAATCTGTTTATACCCACATCTGTGTACTTTAGTCTTGGAAAGAAACTGACTGCTTGCGCAGAGACCAATTTGGTAGGAAGGTATGTAGCCTCCTGTGTATTTCAAATTTTGCATCTTGTGTCTTGTCAATATTTAAAACCAAAATATACAAAAAGTTTAGAAAAAAAAAGCAAGACACGTCTGGAGTGGGCACGTGCTGGGCAGACGCCCACAACAGCTGTTGCGGACAGGTAACCGTTGCTCTGGGTCAGTATTATTTTGATTCATAACCTCATACCTGCCACCCGCCTTGCTGCGGCCACAGCAGTTCCGGCTCCCGCCACGAGGGGGCAGGAGGCGGTCGTCAGTGAAAGCCTGGAGCAGCTGCGTTTGAGAAACTCCAGCACAGCTGTAAGAAATGGGTCTGGGTAAGACAGAAAACAATTGCCTAAGGTCACTGGAATGTGAAGAAGCCAGGCATGCTTTGGAGGGACCTGACATTGAGAAAAAGAAAAGCACTGTGGAGTTTCTCGTCTGTACAGCATTTAGCCTGGAGCAGGCGTCCTGAGTGGCTGCTGAACTATCGGGGACAGCCTCCTCCCTGCTGGAGAGACGACAGCGACAGCCAACAACCAACAGCTGGGTGTCTCAACTGAGACCTAAGATGACCCTGCTGGAATTGGAAAAGATTGTAAAAATAGCTGTTATAGCAGGATTCCAGTGGTTTATATCTGTAATCCCAGCTACTTGGGAGGCTGAAATCAGGAGACCCTCGGTTTGAGGCTAGCCTGGGCAAATAGTTTGAGACCCCATCTCTAAAATAACTAGAGCAAAATGGACTGGAGCTGTTGCTCAAGTGGTGGAGCGCCTGCTTTGCAAGTGTGAAGCCGTGAGTTCAAACTCTGTTCATTGCAGTCCTCTCCAGCAAGGGGGAACTCCATCCTGACTTCTTGTCCCCTGGGAATGGAGTCCAGCAGTGTGCTCCTCTGCCTCAGGCTGCTTTTTTTCTAGCTTGGCATTGGTGAGATTCCTCCATGCAGTTGGGGATATGGAGCTCATTTTTGCTCCTTGTGCTGTCGCTTCCCCTGGGTAGTCTCCAGGATGCACTGAGCCTTCGACCTGTGGACAAGCACGTGGGTGGTTTCCTCTTTGTAGCTGTTATGAATAAAGCTACTATGAACCTTATATTGGTAACTTTTTGTTTTTTTAAGACCCAGGCTGGCCTCCAACTCATGATCCTCCTGTCTCCTCTGTGCTGGGATTACAGGCATGCCCTACCCCGCCCAAGTTGATGACCTTGTTTTTCTATTTGGGATCCACCAGGAGTAGCATTGCTGGAATGGAACTAAGGCATGTTCAAGTCCAAAGGTGTATTTAACCGTGGTCATGGGGCTGCTGAAAGAGTAAATGACATGATAGATGATGAATATTTTCTTGCCTGTAATGTCCTTGTGCCTTCTGCCCCTGACTGGATTCAACAGGACAAAGTATCTTTTTCAGTCACCTCATAACTCTCCTTTGCTCCTCCAGTGGCTCCCCTGTCACTTGGAGTAAATCCTGTCCACCCCCTGCTCCTCTCTGTCTCCCTCGCTAGGTCTCTGTCACAATCTCTTTCTTGTCCCACCAAGCAGGGTCTTCACACTGCCCTCACCTCCCGCCACCCTCTCTCTGGCTCACTCCATTCTAGCCATACCAGCTCAAACACCCCAGATCCACTCCTGCCTCAGGGCTTTTTCCCATGCTGTTCCTTCTGCCTGGAACTGCCCTTCCCGCCCTCTGCTTACCTCGGAGGCCAGTCAATTATCAGAACGTACCTACACTGGCTTACCCTGCTTCATAGCGTCTTTTGCTTGTGAACAAAAACTCTGAGCTGATGTGTCTGTGTGAGAGGGCAGGGCTTCCTGCCTGGCGTGTGCCCTGTACCACTCAGACTGCAAGGTTTATTTCTCTGGCTTTTTCTCTTCTTTTTGGTGGGACTGGGATCATTTGCAAAGCAATCTACCACTTGAGCCACTCCTCCAGTCCCAGTTTTAATCACCAGGAACCTCCTCAAACCCTGCCACCACCCACCTCCCATTTTCAAGTGCCCTGTACCAGCATGCTCTGCTCCCAGCCACAGCCCTCCCCAGGCCCCATCACCCCCTCAGAGAGACAGACACACGGTCGAGGCCCCAGCACTGGGATTTATTGTCCCCCTGGCAGAGGGGAGGTGCCTGGGACAGCGCTGGGGTTGGTGAGAGCCAGGTGAGTTTCTCAGTTTGTGGGTGAGGCTCAGATTTGGGCCTGTGGCAGTCAGGGGGGCTCTTGGAAGCTGGGAGATTCTGCCAGTGAGAAATGGGTGTCGTTCATCCTCCGGTCTCTGAGAGCCCCGGGCAGGGGCAGGGTGGGGGGCCCGGGTGTCTCAGGAAGAGTTGAGCCACATGGGTCCCTGAGAACCCAGGAGCAGGGGACACCCGAGCTGCATCTGCATCCCTCAGGACCGGACAAGAAGGGGGCTGCCACCGCCTCCCCTCCTCACGCCACCCACGGGGCCACGAGGCTGTGGCAGGCCCACGGGGGCTCAGAGCTCATCATGGTGCCGTGTCAGGTCCTCCCCGTAGTTGGTGGCCTGGCTGCCCACAAACATGTTCCAATTACCCAGGATTTCGGCCTTGCTCAGACGGCCATCCTGGAGGGAGGGTCAGAGGTCAGTGGGGACAGGACAGGGCCTCTGCAAGTAGCTGGGTCTCTGTCCCCTCTCTCTGGGTCTCTGTCAGCCACTCTCTCTCTAGGTCTCTGTCCCCCTCCCTCTGGGGCTCTGTCCCTTTCTCTTTACCCACTCCCTGTGCAGGCCTGGCCCATCCCGCACACTCAGCCCAGCGTCCTCCCTGAGCATCACCTTGTCGGTGTCGCTCTCGTGCAGCAGGTGGTTGGCCTCCACCAGAGGCTGGTCCTGGGAGGGGGGCAGCACCCAGTGGCCGACCTCACTGCCATCCAGCCGCCCATCCTTGTTCAGATCCCGGAAATCTCGGAACTGTTGTCGCTCTGTCTCTACCCAGGCGGGCTCCTCCTCCCCAGCCTCCTCTGAGTACAGGTCCGCTGGGGTGGGACAGAGGTACAAGCCAGGTCAGGGGAGCTCTGGGGGCCTGGTGGACCAAGGATCCAGTTCTGACTCCGTGACCTTGGTCAGTACACTTCTTTTTTTTTTTTTTGGTTTGGAATTGAACCCAGGGCCTCCCACTTAAGCCATACCCCATGCCTTTGTTTTTACTTTGTAAACACAGCCTCATGCTAACTTTGGCCCAACTGGCCTTAAATTTGTATTCCTCCCACCTGTGCCTCCTGAGTAGCTGAGATTATAGGTAGGTACCACCACACCCGGCTAACTCACTTTACTTTCTTTTGCTTCAGTTTCCCCTTCTGTTTAAATGGAATTAGTAACAAAACCTGACTTCCAGGTGACCATTATGTTCTGGGTGAAATTGCTTCATTGATAACTGACAGATCCAAGTGACTGACACACACAGACATAGTGTATGCTGGGTGGCTGAGAGCCGGCACAGGTGAGCCTCCAAAGAAGGACAAATGAGTGAAGACTGATGTGACCAGAGAAAGAAAATACTATGAAACTAGCAGGGCACCAGTGGCTCACGCCTGTAATCCTAGCTACTCAGGAGGAAGAGCTCAGGAGAATCACGGTTCGAGGCCAGCCTGGGCAAATAGTTCTTGAGCCCCTATCTCAAAAATACCCAACACAAAACAGGGCTGGAGGCGTGGCTCAAGTGGTAGAGGCCCTGTCTAGCAAGCGTGAGGCCCTGAGTGCAAACCCCAGTGCCTCCCCTCCTCCCACCCCCCAAAAAATAATACTATGAACCTTCCCACAGTACAACCTGGTGGCCCCCAAACTTCCTCCCCACGGCAAGGGTCTCTCACAGACTTCACTTCTAAACATTTGTAAAACTCCTGGCCCCAGGCAGACCCGGAAGGAAGTTCACAGTGACAAGTCTTTCCGTACCAGACAAAGCCATCGTAATTAGGACAGAAAGCTTCCTTTCCTGGGGACCAGGCCAGGAAGCTGCCACCCAGATGTTTTCACAGCTTCCTCCTTACCAGTCCTCCCTTCCCCATCCAAATGGTCCTAAGTCTCATCTTTTGTTTTTTTTCTTTTTTTAGCAGTACTGGGGTTTGAACTCAGGACCTCACTTTTGAAGCAGGGCCTCTGCCACTTGAAGCACTCCTCCAGTCCATTTTACTCTGGTTAGTCCGGGGCTGGCCTTGATCTCAGTGCTCCAGATCTCAGCCTCCCAAGTAGCTAGGATTACAGGTGTGAGCCCCCAGCATCCAGCATAAATGCATTTTGTGTCTGGCACACAGTAGGTTGTCCATAAATGCATGAACTCATGCATTGTCCCCGTCTCCACCTCACAGAGCCATTGCTCTCATGGCGCTATATGTCCTCCACCACTGTCCCCAAGGAGGGACCCACTCACCGATGTACTCTTCCACTTGGACATAGCCATCTTTGTTCTTGTCCAGGTCCTCCATGGTTTCCTGGGGAGAGAGAGGCACGGAGTGGGTGTGGGCCCACCTGGCTCCTGAGAAACTGGAGCCTGGGCTCAGGACGGGCCATTGTCTCCAGGGATGGCCGTGGGGATGGGCACTGTCTCAGTGATGGTGTGTGGGAAGTGCTGGAGCTTTGGGGGTGCAACAGTGACATAGTTCCATCTGCATGTAGCGGCTGAGAGCCAGGATATAGGCACAGAGCCTAACTCGGCTTTAGGTGCAAGCACAATGTACTCTGTGGATCATTTGACACATGCCCGACATCTCCACTCTTCCTTTTTCTGCTCTTCATTCTTCATTTTTGAGACAGTTTTCCTATGCAGCCCGAGCTGACCTCAAACTTGTGATCTCTCTGCCTCAGCTTCCTGAGTGCTGGGATTACAGACATGCACCACCATGCCTGGCATTTTTCTACATTTCCTGAGCCAAAAGTCTTCTGCTTTCCCTATTTTTATACTCAAATTCATTCAGTGTGAGATGTCCAGATATCTGACACTGTATGATGTCATTAAGGAAAGCTAAGTTCTTTTTTTTTTTGTGGTACTGTGGCTTAAACTCAGGGCCTGAACCTTGAGCCACTCCACCAGACCTTTTCTGTGATTTTTTGTGTGTGTGTGTGATTTTTTTTTTTTTTTTAAGAAAGGGGCTCTGGAACTTTTTCAAACCTTGATCCTCCTGATCTCTGCCTTCTGAGTAGCTGGGGTTACAGGCGTGAGCCACCAGCACCCAGGAAGTTCTAATATTTTTGATGGAACAGATAAAATACAGTACAAGCTGGGCGGGGTAGTACACTCCTATAATCCCTGTACTCCAGTGGGTGAGGAAGGAAAAGGATCCTTTTTATGGGTGGGGGGTGGCGGTTGTTTGTGTGTTTGGCAGCACTGTGGTTTGGACTCAATGCCTCACACTTGCTAGGCAGGAGCTCTAGCACTTGAGCCACTCCACCAGCAGAAGGATCATCTTTGAGACCAGCCTGGGCTACAGATCCAGTGCCAGGACCACCTGGGCTACCACTTGAGCCACTCTGGTAGCCCGTAAATCTTTATTTCTAAAAGATAGGGAGTCATTTTGCTATCTGTAAATATAAGAAAGGCAGTAGTCAGTTCAGATCGGGGCTCAGCAAACTTTCTATGAAGGTGCATACAGCATTTCAAGCTTTTTGTACAGTATAGTCTCTGCGGCAAGGATTCACAGTTTTGCTGTGAAATCAGCCATACACAATATGGAAGAGTGCTAATGTCATTATTGACTGTAGGTGACAATGATGTGTCAATGTAGGTTCACTGACTGTAACACCTGTACCACCTGGTATAGGATGTTGATAGAAAGGTGGGGAGGGGCAGACTGGGGGAGGCAGGAGACACATGAGAAATCTCCTACCATGAACCTACACTCTTCTAAAAATAAACTGTCACCCAGGTGCCAGTGACTCATGCCTATGAATCCTAATCTTGGCTACTCCTAATCCCAGCTACTCAGGAGGCAGAGATCAGGGGGATCATGGTTCAAAGCCAGTCCAGGCAAATAGTTCCATGAGACCCCATCTCGAAAAACCCTTCACAAGAAAAGGGCTGGTGGAGTGCCTCAAGGTGTGGGCCCTGGGTTCAAACCCCAGCACCACAAAAAAAAAAAAAAAAGTTTTGAAAAGAAAAATCCTCCTTCTATACAACAGAGCAGATTTTGGTAAAACTTGTAAGTGAATCATAAAAAAGAAGGACGTAACAAGGGTGGCCCCAGTGTGTGGGACTGGGGTTTTTCTGGGGTTCAGAGGATTGAGGTTCTCCAAGGTTCTTTGGGGGATGTTTTTGAGGCTTGGAGGCCTGGTCTGACAAGGTAAGACTAGATCCTGGGGTCAGGGAGAAGACATGGGACAGAGGACCCTGCTTTGATCTGTACTTGTGGCCTGGGTTCCCTGCAGAAGGTTCTGGAGGACCAGGTGACTCCCAGGTAAGCGTTAGGAGGCTGGACCAGGGATTAGAAGCCTGGGTCCCAGGATGGGTGGGAAAGCAGGGAGCCAGGTCCTCCACCCTCACTCACGGCGACCACGATATCCCGCATGTGAGGGAACTCCTCAGGGTGCAGGAAGGCTGTCAGCTCCTCTCGAGTGGCCATTGAGTCCCCATCCTGGTCAGCCACCCGGAAACGCCGCTCATCCCGAGCCAGCATCTTCTTATAGGTCTCAGCGTCCTCCACGTCATGAAATTCTTGCCCTGGAGAAGGGGACAGATCTAGGTGAGCCGTGACTTCCTGGAGCTTAGGCCAGGCACTTAGGAAAAGACAATGGGACCTAACTCAGGGTGACTAAGACTTCCAGAATGCCAAAGAATTAGCTGGACATAGTGGTACATGCCTGTCATGCCAGCTACTCAGAAAGCAGAGACTGGAGGATCTGAAGTTTGAGGCCACCCCAGGCAAAGTTAGGAGGAACCTGTGTCAAAAACAAAATTCAGGAGGCGTGACTCAAACAGTAGAGCACCCGCTTTGCAAGTGTGAAACCCTGAGTTCAAACCCCAATCCCACGAAGAAAAAAGTAAAAATTAAAAAAAAGAAAAGGGTGGGGGGCATACAAATGGCAAGTGCTTGCCTAACATGCACAAGGCCCTGGATTCGATCCTCAGCACCACGAAAAAAGAATGAAGTTATCAAATGTATGTACAGTTTACATACACTGTATACTACATATACAATAAATTATGTCAGATACTAGTTAACTGATAGTGAGAGCTTCTATTTTCAGCCCTGTAGGGGGGAGTTTTGGGGGCATGGCCCTTGCCAGGGGCAGGAACTGGGTGGGCGGGACCCTGAGGTGTAGCTACCTGCAATATTGCATTTAATTGTCACCACAAGCAAGAAAAGTGGGTTCTTTCATTTATTCTCACTTCGTATATGAGAAAAGTGACTCTTTGACAAGAAATGGCTTGGATTTAGAGCTGACACTGCCCTTTTGGCCCAAATCCTGCTCTGATGCAGAAAGTTATATTGACCGAGGTTCCTTGACAGAGAGGAGGGGAAGGGTTTCATTTCAGGGAACAGTATGTGCACAATGCAGAAGTTTGAGGTCAGTATGTGCACGGTGCTGAAGATCCATTTGGGACAGAAAATGCTGAAAAACATCCCGAGCTGCTGGATGTCGTACAAGGCCCGCCTCAGGGACTGGACTATCTCTGCGGACCCAGCACTGGGTGTGGAAAGACTCCTCTAAAGCCATGGGGGAACAACTGGAGGTGGAACTTGGGCGAGGGACCAGAAGGAAGAGAATGAGAGCTGTGGGTGCTTGAGGCGGGAGAGTTGGAACAGAGAGAAGAAAACCGAGTCAGGGGTCGGGGCAAATAGGCTCCTCACAGATCAGGGGTCAGGGTCACTGGGCTTGCAAGTTAGGTGTCCCTGATCAAGGATCTGATGTCCCCAGTCATCGGCTCACGGGGGTTGTGAAATCCAGAATAAAAAAGCAAGAGGTCAGAAATTGGTGACTTAGAGTGATGGGCCCTATAATGGGCTAGGGGCCAAAGATAGGAATTCCAGAGTAAATGGGTTAAGGGTCTTCAGGACGAGGGGGTCAAAAAGGTCATGGTGTGTTGTGGGGAACAGGGGTCGGGGTGTCGCCGCGTACCGGGCGCGTAGTGGCCATAGGTGGCGTTGCGCAGCTCCTCCCAACCCACACGCCCGTCGTGGTCCGTGTCGTACGTGTCCCAGGCCGCGCTCACCGAGTCCTGTATGTGCCGCTGCTGCGTGTGCGCGATCCACGCGCGAAGCTCGGCCAGCGACACCCAGCCGTCCCCGTCTCCCGCGCGGTCCATGCGGTCCACGATCCGCCTGCGAGCCGAGGCGGGGCACTTCAGGCTCGGGGCAGTCCCCAAGCAGGGCCACGCCCCCACAGTCCCCGCCCCCGAGCCGGCCACGCCCCATCCAGTCCCCGCCCATCGAGCAGGGCCACGCCCCCATGCAGGCCTGATAATGCGGTAGGCGAGTCGCAAGCGAACCACATGTCAATCTTGGGACTCCGCCCACCTCGAGTTCACGCCCTTATCCTCGACTCCTCCCTCAGAGGGGTTAGGGGATACCGGGTGCTAGTGGTTCTGATCTGTGATCTGGAGGATAGTGGTTCGAGCTCAACCAAGGCAAATAGTTTGAGAGTCGACCCCCCCCATCCAGAGAACAATGGACTTGAAGGGTGGCTCCAGTAGTAGAGCACTTGCCGTGCACGTACGAAGCCCTCAGTTCAAATCCGTCCCAACAACAACAAAAAAACTAAAAGGGATTGGGGGAAGAACCTAGGCAACCCGAGGCCACACCCTCCACTCTGGCCCCGCCCCCAGGTCCTGCCCCGTCTCCTGCAGGTCTGAGTTGGGGTGGGGAGAGGGAGCCGGACGTCACATTGTTCACTAATCCGCTGGGCCCAGGCCCGGGACAGACTCTCGCCGTCTCAAGTCCCGCCCCTTTCCCGGACTGCCAGTCTCCGGACCCTCCTCTCTAGTCCCGCCCCGTGCCCCGCCTCCTTCCCTTACAGAGCTGGTCCAGCCTCCAGCTCTGCCCTGTGTCCTGCGGCTTTCCCTAGCCCCAAGATTGTTGCAATCATCCTGAAGACTGTACTCGCTCCTCCCCTCCCATGCTCCGCCAGGCCCCTGTGCACCGCCCTGTCGCAAACAAGACACTCTAGGTGTTGGCAGTAATGGCGCCGATAGGTTTCAGTTCTTACTGCACCCTTAAGCTTCTGTTTCCCAGGGTCACAGTCCTGCCTCAAGTCTAGCTTGAATTCTCCTTCTGTCCCAACCCCCAATCAGCATGAACCATGAGATCCTAACCAATCAGATCATGCTGAGTCCCACTGAGGGGTATTTAAGCCCCTGCCCCTCTCTCCCCCTCTCTCGGCTCTCTGCTCTCTCCCTCTCCCACCCGGCAATAAAGAATCTCTTGGCCAGGTCACTCTTCTCCACGTGGTCACTTTTGGGGCCTATATTTCCTTACACTAGGTCGCATTCAAGCTCCTGGCGATGGCCCAGGAGCCCCTCCCGTCTACCCTGGCGACGCCCTGCAAGGATGCCACGATCCTGGTTCTCCATCAATAGCTAACACAGACCACATGGCATCGTCCTCCCTGTCACTGTCCCTTAAGCCCCAGGGTTCAGTCCACAAGGTAGAATCCAGGCGGCAAAGCCCTCCCTGGCTCTGAGCGGCAGCTGCCCTCCCTGGGTCTGTCATCTACAGTCCCTGTCCTCAGGACTCACATCCTACCTTCAGATCCCAGCTCTGGTTAACAGGGTGGGCTCCACATCAGGCATTCTAGGTCCAAATCCTGCTGCCTCTTCTTTCTAGCTGTGTGACCATGGGCAAGTGACTTAACCTCTCTGTGCCTCCGTTAACCCTCTGTAAAATGGGGTTAAATAACTACCTACCCCTCAAGGTGGTTTAGCGATTAAGTGGGTTAAAGCATGTGACACTCCTTGAACAATGTCTGGTGTAGTTAGTGCTCAGCTAAGTGTGTTGACCTTCTTCTGCATCTCCTTTACCCACGCCACCCTGGCACTATCTTCCAGCCAGCAGACCTGCCCCTCCTGCCCTGGTCTCCACCCTCACCTAACCAACCGTCATCTCTGGAGGGTTTCTGTTAAAACCTGTCAGCTCAGATCTTTCTTCGGCTCTGAGTCTCATCTGAATCAGAGAATTTAATTCATCACTGTAACCCAAAAGGCCCTACAGAATATGAACCTTTGTTCCTTCCTTGCCTTCACCTCCAACCCTCTCCCCTTCACTCACTGAGTCTCAGACACATGGGCCTCACTGTTCCTCAAACACACCAGGCCTGCTCCTGGCTCAGGACCTTTGCACTTACTATTTCCTCTGCCTGGAATATTTCTAGCCACATGGCTCAAAGACTACCTTCGTGAAAAGCCTCCTCCCACTTCCCTGTTTAAAATTGCAACCTTCGCGGGGTGCCGGTGGCTCACGCCTGTAATCCTAGCTACTCAGGAGGCAGAAATCAGGAGGATCATAGTTAGAAGCCAGCCTGGGCAAAAAGCTCTCAAGACCCTATCTCGAAAAAAGCCCATCACAAAAAAGGCTGGTGGAGTGGTTCAAGGTGAAGGCCCTGAGTTCAAACTCCAGTACCACAAAAAAAAAAAAAAAAAATTGCCACCTCTCCCTCCACCAAGATCTCCCCTCCACACTTCCTCACTACCTTGCTTTATTTACCTTTATTTGAGGCATTTTATATTAACTGATTTATTATTGCCTCCTCTCCCTACAATGTGAATTTTATGAGGGCATGAGGGTATGGCCTGGTTCAAGTGGTACAGCACCTGCCTAGCAAGCACTAGGCTCTGAGTTCAAACCCCAGTACCACCAAAATAAAATTTAAAAAGAACATTTCACGAGGGCAGGGATTTGTTCACTGCTGTGATTTCACTATTTAGAGCAGTGCTGAATAAACAGTTATGGGTGATCCGTTGTACAGAGCAGCAAGCTGAGGCCCAAAAACGAGAGGTGTCTGGGACAAAGGAACAAAGAGTGGCTTGAGGGTAGAATCTGAATCTAGAAGTTGCTGCCCTCAGTTGTCACATCTTGGGTCAGGCATAATGGTTCACATCTGTAATCCCAAGCTACCTGGGACGTGGAGGTAGGAGGATCAATACTTCCCAGGTTAGCCCTGTGGAAAATTGTGAGTCCCTATCTGAAAAATAAACTAAAGTAAAAAGGGCTGGGGACATGGCTCAAGTGGAAGAGCACCCCTAACAAACACCAGAGTTCAAACCCAGTACTGGAAAAATAAAAATTAAAAAAGGCGTATCTTCAGTCCCCAGTTTTAACCTGTGCTTTTTCCCAGGAGGGGAGGTGGAACTTTGCTATTGGATTCTCACGAAGAACCCAAGTCCTGTCCAGTCATGCAATCCCCGTGTCTCCTGATCTGTTCCTCACCAAACTTCTCATCTCTTTTCCCCAAACCCCAGCTCTAAACCGTCCCCACCCACCCCTTGTCTGTCCTACCCCAGCCGGGCCTGGCTTTCCTCTGGGCTGAGTTGGTCGAATTCCTTGGCCACTTCCCGTCCCAGGAAAGCCTCATGGTCGTACTGGAAGTTCCCGTGGGCGTCATCATGAGTGGCCTCACTTAGGGGGACCGCCTGGTGCACCCTCCCCTGGCCATGAGGGCCAGCGTCGGGAGAAGGCTTTCCCTGGGTCCCGCGCCTCAGCAGCAACAGAAGCAGCAGAAGTGATGCTGGCCACATTATCGGTCCCTGGCAAGTGGTGAAGGCCAGAGGTCAGGGGTCACAGAGAAGAAATCAGAAACGGGACCTAATTGGAGGGGGGGAGGGTTGTGTCTAGGACAGAACAGAGATCTGGCAGCAAAAAGAAGTTGGTTGCAAAAAGTCTGGGACTCCAGAAGGACCGGCAATGGGGCCAGAGAGGGCACGGTGGTCAGTGGCAAACCCAGCTGAGAAAGACCCAGTACAGAAGGGGGGAGAATTGGAGACGTGGCGCACATCCTGCTCAAAGTGCCGGACATGGTGGTGGCCAGCGACAGATCAGGCAGGCTCCCAGCGTTGCCCCCGGTATGGACTCTGGCCCTCGACCCGACTCTCCCTCCCTGGTTAGCCCCCCACCTCCACCCCTTTACCCCGTTATCCGGCCTCGATTTGCGCTCCACGCTCAGCTCTGCGCTCTCCAAAGATACCCAACTTGGCGGCTCTCCAGTCAGACCCCACCCCCGGTAGCGCAGAGGCCCCGCCCTCTGACCAATGAGAGCTCAGAAGAGCCCCGGGGGCGGGGCCAATGAGAACTGGTTGCGGCGGACGCCCCTCGCCACGTCCACAAAAGAAAAGCGGGGCGGCCCAAAGCAGGCAGAGTGGGCAACACGGCGGTGGAGAACTACAACACCCGACAGGCGTCGGGGCGACCTGCTCGCCCATCTCCAGCGCCTCTAGCCCCAAAGTCTCATGGAAGATGTATTTTTCTCCCTTTCCTTTTGTTGTGATGGCATTAAACAAAGAGGAGGGGTTGAAGGAGGCATCCCCATCCCTGCAAGAGAGAACAACTCCTCTCTTCTGCTCCACCAAGAAGGATTCAACATAGACTTCAGCCAGGGATCCCTTAAGGTGCCTGGCAATGTGCAGGCGTTTGAGAAATTTACGAACGGACAAGGCAACTTGTTAACCTCAAGAGATCTGAAGCCCAGGACTTACACCATTCATCCCCGCCCACCCATTCCCTTACCTCCCCTGCCTGAAACCTGAAAAATGACTGAGAACACGTAGATTCGGGCCCAAACTCATGTTATAAGTGGAGATGGAAAAGAACCATACATATTGGGAGGGGAAACTGAGGCAGACCACAAAAGGAAGGATCCAGAGGGAGGACAACGGGCCCAGGACTCCTTCTGGAGGCTCAGAGATGCCAGGATTCCAGGAGGTCTCACAGCATGACAGGGACACGACTACATAGGCTATTTGAAGCCAGAATGGGGACGGTCAGGCATTTGCTGGGAATGTGTTTATGTCCTGAGAGTCGGCATCCTGGGCTGGGCTGGGAGTGGACAGGAGGGCGCCGTCATCGTCCCCACGAAGAGAGATCCAAGGGACTGAGGAGAGATGAAAGTGGATCATCAGGATCTCTGATCTCTGGATTTCTGACCTTCCGTTCCCAACACCTGTGCCCATCTCTCTCTGCCTCTGATTTACTTTCTGGGTCTCTGTCCCCTCTCTCTTAGTCTCCCTCCACACCCCTAAATCTTTCTTTCTGTCCCCTCCATTCTCTGTCACACCTATCTGTATCTTTCTCTAGGCTTCTGTCCTCATTGGTCATTGTGTCCCCTACCCCCCATCTGGGGTCTCTGTCCTTCTCTCTAAGGCTCTTCCTCTTCTTGCCCCACACCTGACAGTCCGTTCCTCATCCTCCTCCACAGCAGAACTCCTCCTGCCGCTAACACCAGGAGCAGCAAGAGGCCAAGGATGATTCCAGCCACTGGCACAGAGGACTTGGCCGTTGACTCTGCATCCAGAGAATGCTGTGAGGACTGGAAATGGGGGCGGGAGGGGGCTAACTGGTCCCTCCCAACCTCAGAGATCCCCCAGCATCAAGGGCAGAAAGAGCCAATCAGGTGATGCCCTGCATCTGGGCAGAATGTCCCCAGGTTGGATGCAAGAACCTGGCATAGTGAGAGAGTGCCCAGTCACCCAAGCAAGGGACCATCAGCAGCGGGTGGCAGGGCTCCAACTCAGGAGGGAGGGGCACGCATAGCAGTGGGCTAGTCTCTTGGAGGACAGCAGTAGCAAGGCAGTACTTGCTTAGCTTTGGTGAGGATTGACAATGGCAGAAAATAAATGTCAGACTTCATGAAGACTGGCAGCAGCAAGATGGAAGATGGTCAGACTCAAGAGGACTGACCACCATGGTGAACCGGTGGTCAGAGTCCAGGAGGCCAGGAGCAGCAAAATAGAAGGCAGTCAGGAGTGAGGAGAACTGGCTTCAGTAGGCACAAGACAGACTGGGGAGGAAGGCGAGACTCAGCCATGGCAAAGCATAGTCAGGAATGGGGAGGATGTCACACAGTGGGCCCTCACCCAGCTCCACAGTGAGGGGCTGTGCCAGCCCCCCGTGCTGCACAAGGCAGCGATAGTGGTGCTCGTCACCACTTTTAACTTCCAGCGATGACCAGGCGTGGAAGGAGCCATCGCCATTGGGGCCCAGGCCGCCCTCTCCGGTGCCAGCTGCCAGCCCGTTCCTTAGGAAGCGAAGTTGCACCTCCGGTGGGTAGAAGGAGAACGCACTACAGGTGAGCGTGGAAAAGCCGGGGCTGCTGGGCCGGGCCTTCAGGCGCATGGAGGGTGGCTCTGCAGGATACAGGCACACAGCTGAGCCCCCCCTCCGACCCCCAAGAGCCATGCCTGGTTGCAGGCCTGGACAAAGACAGAGACCTCCATTCTGTATGCCCTGCACCGTGCTGAGCCATCATCAAAGAGGGGAACACCTTCCCAAGGTGACAGAGACCCAACCCTGCCACCCTGGCCTCAGGAGGCCACTTCATTCCTACTGTGGAAATGTATTGAGTGTCTGTTCTAGGCATAGATTGGAGACGCAGCAGCAAACAACACAGACAAAAGCTGCCATCTGAATGGAGCTTAAAATCTAATGAGGGGAGACACACAGGTATTGCATGAAAATAAATAAAAGGGAAACAGCCCAAAAGAGTGATGGCAGGGAGCACAAGACATACTATAACCATTAAAAGACAGTAAGGGAGCTGGGCATGGTGGCTCATGCCTGTAATTCCAGCTACTCAGGAGGTGTAGATAGAAGAAAGGAGGGCTGAGGCCACTCCTGGGCAAACACAAGAGACCCTACCTGAAAAATAACTAAAGCAAAAAAGGACTGGGGGCATAGCTCAAATGGTAGAGTGTTTGTCTAGCAAGCACAAGGTCCTGAGTTCAAACGTCAGTATTGCCAAAAAAAAGAAAAGAGCTGAATAAAGGTGTTTCACACCTGTAATCCCAGCTACTCAGGAGGCAGAGATCAGGAGGATTACGGTTCAAAACCAGCCTAGGAAAATAGTTCATGAGACCCTATCTTGAAAAAACCCTTCACAATAAGGGGCTGGTGGAGTGGCTCAAACTGTAGGCCGTGAGCTCAAACTCTCATCTGAAGAAAAAAATAAAATAAAATAAAACAAAGATAGGCAAATTTCCCACCAATGCACTTGAAAACCTAAAATGATCCAGACACATTGCTGAGAAATACAATATTCCAAAACTGACACAAAAAGAAATGAAAAGTTTAAGTAGTTCTGTAACTATTTAAACTTTTATAATCCAGGCTGGGGAAGAAGCTCGGCTAGGGAAGAGGCTCTGTGATAGAGTGCTTGCCAAGTATTTGAGAGGTCTGGGTTCAATCCCCAGTAACGCACACACAGACAAATTATTAATCCATAATTTAAAACTTTTGGGGGGTTTGTTTTTATTTATTCTCTTGTTTTTAAAACAGGGTCTCCCTATGTAGTCCAGGCTGCCCTTGAACGTCTTCCTGCCTCCACCTCCTTAGTGCTGAGATTACAGGCATATACCACCACACTTCCAGGTTCAGGGATGGGGTTATGGCTCAGTGGCAGAATGCTTGACTAGCTTGCCTACAATGCACAAGGCTTCCATCTCCAGCACCAAAGAAAGAAATAAATTCTGGTCACTCACATTCTCTCTCTAGAGATAACCACTTTCAGTCTATTGAAAGTGTATTCCTGCCAGGCACCAGTGGCTCCTGCCTATAATCCTAGCTACTCAGGAGGCAGAAATCAGGAAGATGGTGGTTTGAAGCCAGCCAGGCAAATAGTTCTTGAGATCTCATCTCGAAAAAAACCAACGGAAGAAAAGTGGTAGAGGAGTGGCTCAAGTGGTAGAGTGCCTGCCTAACCAGTGTGAGGCTCTGAGTTCAAATTCCATGACCTCCCCCACAAAATGAAAGAAATTCCAAGTCCAGAGAACATCAGTTAGTATCAGAGCAACTAAAGAAGAAATAATATTACCTTTTGTTTTTGGTGGGACTGGGGTTTGAACTCAGGGGTTCTTGCTTGCAAAGTGGGTGCTCTACTGCTTGAGCCATTTCTCCAGAAATTATACCACTCTTATTCAAACTCTTCCAGAGAGCAGATAAAAAGGAAATACATTTTTTTGTGGTACTCGGAATGCAGGCAGGTGTTTTACTACAGCCTCTCCCAACACATTTTATGAGGCTGGTATAATCTTTTTTTTTTTTTTCCCTGTTGGCAGCTGGAGTTTGAACCCAGGGCCTCACACTTGCTAGGCAAGTGCTCTACCACTTGAGTCACACCCTTAGCCCAGGGTCTTGATTTTTGGCGTCAGATGAGCCTCGGACTGGCATCCTCCTACCTAGAGCCTCCGAAGTAGCTGGAATGACAGGGCCACACCACCACACCCAGCTTGTTGATTGAGATGGGGTCTTGTTAACTTTTTGCCCAGGCTCGCTTAGAACCTGCATCTTCCCAATCTTTGATTCTTGGGTTGCTGGGATTACAGAGGTGTTTCACCTAGCTTGGCAGGCTAGTATAAATTTGTTAATAACATTTCTTTTTATTGTTTTATTTTGGTGGTACTGGGGTTTGAACTCTGGGCCTCACTCTTGCTAGGCAGGCGCTCTACCATTTGAGCCACTCCACCTGCTAATTTTTTTTTTTTTTTTTTTTGGTGATAGAGGGGTTTGAAACGGGGCATTACTCAAGTGGCAGAGTGCCCACCTAGCAAGCACACGAACCTGAGTTCAAACCTCAGGACTGCCAAAAAAAGAAGTAAACAAACCAACAAAGGCATGGGCAGCGTGGCTTGAGTGCCTCACCGGGGCTGGCTGTGGCTTGGGTCATTCCTACCACCAAGGGCACGTCTCACAATCTCAGCAGAAAACATGCTCAGCGCTTTCTTCCGAAATGGGAAGCCAAGCAGCTTCTCTGGAGGAGAGCTGGCTCCCTGGCAAGCTGGCACAATTTGCTGCAAAGTCAGGACAACTGAAGAGGGCCAGGCTGTGGCCATCAGCAGTTCTGTGTCCTGCCTACGTGTGTTTTTCAACACATGTGTATCGCCCTGTGTACTGTACTCACTAACAATCTCTTCTGCCCCCAACAGCGTTCACAATCTGGGCCAAGTCCAAATATAGGAAATCTGTGTGCTTTTGGGCTCTGCTTAACAAAAAACTAAAACCAAAAACAGAAACAGAATTAAGTTGTAAGCTGGTCCTGGTGGTCCATGCCTGTAATCCCAGCTACCTTCGAGGAAGGAGGATCAAGAATTTGAGGCCAGGATTTCAGGTGTGGCTCAAGCCTTACAGTGCCTGCTTTGCAAGCATGAAATGATGAGTTCAAAACCATCTCACCAAACGACAACAAAACAGACAAAAAAAGAGTTTGAAGCCAGCTTGGACAAAGTTAGAGAGCCCTTATGTCAAAAAACAGAATTAAAAAAGGGCTGGGGGTGTGGCTCAAGCAGTAGAGTGCCTGCTTTCCAAGTTCAAAGGCCTGAGTTCAAATCCTTCCAGTCAAAAAAAGAAAAAGACGTGGACAGGAAAAAAAAATGACACATACAGGATTCAGGCTGCAGTTCAGTGACAGGCTACGAAGCAACTTTTTTTTTTTTTTTTTTTTTTGGTGGTACTGGGGTTTGAACTCAGGGCCTCATGCTTGTTAGGCAGGTGCTCTACCACTTGAGCCACTCCACCAGCATCATTAAAAAAAAAGAAAAAGAAAAAAAAAGGTGCCGGTGGCTCACGCCTGTAATCCTAGCAACTCAGGAGGCAGAGATCAGGAAGATCAGGTTCAAGGCCAGCCTGGGGAAATAGTTCTTGAGACCCAATTTTGAAAAAAACCCATCACAAAAAACGGCTGGTGGAGTGGCTCAAGGTGTAGGCCCTGAGTTCAAGCCCAGAACCACAAAAAATTTTTTTAAAAAAAGGTACATTTGGGTGCCTGGCACACTACAGTCACAGCCACTCCAGAGGCTGAGATGGATGGATCATTTGAGCCCACAAACTCCAGGTAATACAAAGCAAGGTCCTGTCTCAAAAAAAAAAAGGAAGGTAAGAAACAGCCAGGCACTGGTGGCTCATGGCTATAATCCTAGCTACTTGGGAGACTGAAATTAGGAGGAGCAAGGTTCAAGGCCAACCTGTGCAAATAGATCGAGAGATTACTGGAGGAGTGACTCAAGCGACAGACTGCCTGCTTTGCAATCAGGAAGCCCTGAGTTCAAACCCTAGTCCCACCAAACAAACACACAAACATGACAGGATCGTTAAGCTTGTAACAATATTTAGAGAAAAGAAAACTTGACTGATTCCTCTGAAGGTTGAGCATTGATAAGACTCCTTTTAGAATCAGATAATAAATTGAAGTGCAAAAAAAATTAAAATACTATTCTTTCTAGATGGAATTGTGTCTTTTCTACAAATTCCTGTACTGAAGTCCTAATCCCCTGGACTCCTTGGAAATAGGAACTTTTAATTTCTTTTTTTTGTTTGTTTTATTTTGTTGAGATAGTGTCTTGCTATGTAGCCCAGGCTGGCCTTGAACTTGAGATCCTCCTGCCTCAGCCTCCCCAGTGCTGGGATTACAGGTGTTTGCCACCATACCTGGCATTGCCGATAGGAACTTTACAAAGGTAATTATGGTAAAATGAGATCATATGGAAAGGTCCTCGTGCAATATGTGTCTTTTTTTTTTCTGGTGGCATTGGGGTTTGAACTCAAGCCCTGACACTTGCTAGGCAGGTGCTCTTACAACTTGAACCACTCCAAAACCAGGCCTTTTTGTGATACATATTTTCAAGACAGGGTCTTGTGAATTATTTGCCTGGTCTGGCTTTGAACCGCAATCCTGATCTCTGCTTCCTGAGTAGCTAGGATTACAGGCATGAGCCACTGGCGCCCAGCTATGACTGGTATCTTTAGAAATAAGCGATTAAGTCATAGGGATGACCACGTGAGGACTCAGGGAGAAGGTGGACATCTGGAAACCAGTGCCAGAGGCCAATCCTCTGTCACCTTTGATCTTAGGCTTCCAGTCCCCAGGCCTGTGAGAAAATAAATGTCTGTTGTTAGATCCCCAGCCTGTGGCATTCATTGCTGTGGCCCTTTTTGAGTTTCCTTCTGAAATAACAGTTCAAGGCAATGCCCCGAGAGCCACTAAAACCATTAGATGAACACCTGGCAGAATTCCGTACCAGCCTGATACCCACCAAGATAGCACAAAACAGACAGGGGACAGACAGTCAGAGCACTTGGGCATTGACAAACACTTGTGGGTTTTTTTTTTTTTTTTTTTTTTTTTGCAGTACAGGGGTTGAACTCAAAGTGCTTGCTATTAACCCAGAAAGTTTTGTTGCCATAAAAATTGAACCAGAAGCTTTATCAGTCAAGCTTCTAGATCAGACTAATACCTTACAGAACAGAAAGTGAACACGACAGAGATGCACAAAGCAAAATCCAGATGGGGTGAACCCCAAGAAGACAACTGACTTTCTTCAAAGCAATTTTTTTTCCTTTTTTTGGCAGCACTGGGGTTTGAACTCAGAGCCTCACTACCACTTGAGCCACTCTACCAGCCCTTTTTTGTGAATGGTTTTTCCAGATAGGGTCTCGTGAACTATGTGCTATGATCCTCCTGATCTCTGCCTCCTGAGTACCTAGAATTACAGATGTGAACCACCGGTGCCTGGCCTAAGCAAATTTGTTGGAAAGAAAACTAGAGAGACAGATTAAGAAAACCTGCAGATTCAAAGACACTCACTATCAACCATAGACCTAATGAATTCAAAAGTATAACACTATCAGAGATAACAAAGACGATTGAGGTGAGTTTGGTTTTGACAAAGACTTTTTTTTTTCAGTAGTGGGCAAGTGCTGTACCACTTGAGCTGAGCCTTTGGCAATGGCTTCCAAGATACACCACCAAAAACACAATCCATAAGAGCAAAAAATGTTGACTTCATTACAATTAACAATCACCTGAGCATAGTGGTGCATGCCTGTAATTCCAGCACTGGGAAGCCAGAGGCAGAAGGATCTTGAGTTCAAGGCCAGCCTATGCTATGTAGTGAGACCCTATCTTAAAAAAAACCCCAAGAAACAATGACTGGTAATGTAGTTCAGTGGCAGAGCACTTTTCTAGCATGTGCAGGCTCTAGGTTCCATCCCCAACACTGCAAAAATAAAAAATAAAAAACATAGGGGTGGCGGAGTGGTTCAAGCACTATAGCACCTGCCTAGCAAGCGTGAAGCCCTGAGTTCAAACCCCAGTAAAAGCAAAACAAAAGAAAAAAATTCAAAAAGCTAAACACAGGTGGGGCCCTGTGCTGGGGGCCCGGGGAGGACAAGGGGGACAGTTCTAGTGCAGAAAGATCTTCTGGAGCTGGGGCCAGTGGCTCACACCTATAATCTTACTTTGGAAGGGAGGATCAAGGTTTGAGGCCAGCTGGGACAAATAGTTCACCAGAGTCCATCTCCAAAATAAGCAGAATAAAATGGACTGGAAGTGTAGCTGAAGGGGTAGAGCGCCTGCTTTGCAAGTGCAAAGCCCTGAGTTCAAATCCCAGTTCCACTAAAAAAAAAAAAAAAAAAATGTGGGGACAGGCTACATAGGTGGGCATCCAGGGAGGGGCCTGAGGCCAGGCTCTGGTCATCAAGAGGATGGACTAGATAGAGGTTAGGCAGGAGGCTCACCCTTCCACTCCAAGTTCCCACGGCCTCGCTCCAGGTGCCCCATCAGTCGCTGTGGGCAGGAGTAGAGCAGGAAAGTCTTCTCCTTATTCACCGTTGCTGCCTGCTGCATCCACAGCTCACTGACAGTCAAGGACTCTGGCCACTCCCCAGTCCAGTTGCCACTTGTGGGGTCGAACTGCATGAACTCCTCACCATTCAGAGCGAATGTGGCCGTGGGCACCGAGGTGTTGTCAGGGCCCAGTTCACAACCCAGCAGGCCCTGCAGGGTGTAGGGACCTGGGGTGCCCACACACAGGTAAGCAGGGCCCAGGAGCAGGGACATAGTCTTCCTCCCTCAGACCCAGGGGTCCAGGCCCTCAGACCCAGAGATCCAGGCCCCAGCCTCCCCCCTCAGACCCAGGGGTCCAGGCCCAGCCTCCTCCCTCAGACCCAGGGATCCAGGCCCAGCCTCCTCCCTCAGACCCAGGGGTCCAGGCCCCAGCCCTCCTCCCTCAGACCCAGGGGTCCAGGCCCTCAGACCCAGAGATCCAGGCCCCAGCCTCCTCCCTCAGACCCAGGGATCCAGACCCCAGCCCTCCTCCCTCAGACCCAGGGATCCAGGCCCAGACTCCTCCCTCAGACCCAGGGATCCAGACCCCAGCCCTCCTCCCTCAGACCCAGGGATCCGGACCCCAGCCTCCTCCCTCAGACCCAGGGGTCCAGACCCCAGCCCTCCTCCCTCAGACCCAGGAACCAGACCCCACCTTCTCCTTTCAGGACTTTGAGAGCCTCCTGAAAGAGATTCTCCTTGCTCTTCAGGTCTGTGGTCTCTTTCTCCCAGTACCATGCCACCTGGTTTTCCCAGATCCAAGCCCCACAGGGCTCAGCCACAGGCCGCAGGTTGCTATAAGTCAGATACTGCTGGGGACCCAGCCAGCCTGAAGCCCAGAAGGCAGGAGTCCCCGGGGCAGGGGAGGACACGGCTGTGAGGTGGTACAGCAGGGAGAGATTGGTCTCTGCGGAGAGAACGGAGTGAAGAAAGTCAGCGGAGGAGGGGACCTAGACTCCTGCCAGGACCTGAGGCAGGACTTAACCAAGGGGAGAAAGAAACACTCAGAGAGCTGGGGACAGAGACCCAAGGAAGAGACCCAGAGAAAGGGGGCCAGAAGGACAGAGACTCAGAGGGAGCAGAACAGAGACCCAGAGAAAGGGAGACAGAGACCCAGGGAGAGAAAAGGATAGGGACCCAGAGAGAGGGGGGACAAAGAGACAGAGACTCAGAGATAGAACAGAACAGAGAGAAGGACCAAGACCTAGGGGTGGAAGGGACAAAGACACACAGAGAGAGGTAGATAGTAACCCAGAGAGACAGGGGGACAGAGACATGAAAAGAGGGTAAGAGTTGAGTTCCTGACAGGCAGCGCCAGGACTGAGGCTGGTAAACAAACTGGAATTTGGAGGAAAGCAGGGCTGAGCCAAGCTCGGATTTCACTTCCTTCACCCCTTTCCCAGCTGGGGACGTCCTTCCTTCCCGCGGCCCTCCCCACAGCCCAGGCCCCAAGTGGCTTCTCACCTGCGCCCCACGCTCGAGGCAGGAAGGCCAGCAGGAGACCGAGTGCCCAGGGTTGAGGCCAGGGCACCTCCATGCTGAGAGGGTGACCTGGGGCGGGAGGGGGCATGTGAGACTTCCGGACCCCGTCCCGCCCCTTCCTCCAAGGGGTACCCTGCCAAGACCAGGACCCCTAGAGACTCGGGGTTCGGGGCCCTTGCCTCAATGAACTTTCACTCCGTAATTTCATCCAGTTTGGTTAATTAATTACAGAAACTGGATAGGCTGAAACTCTGATTCTCATACCTTCCACCCAACCCCTCCTTCCCTGTCAGACCCAGGAATGCAGGCCCAGCCTCCTCCCTCAGACCCAGGAGGAAAAGGCCCAGCCTCCTCCCTCAGACCCAGGGGTCCAGGCCCAGTCACTCCTCCCTCAGACCCGGGATCCAGGCCCCAACCTTCTTTCCTCAGACCAGAAAGCACAGGCCCCAGCCCTCCTCTCACACCCAGTAGGCTGGATCCCAGCCCCTCCTCCACCAGACCCAAGGTTCCAGATCCCAGCCCTCCTGCCTCAGACCCAGGGGTCCAGGCCCCAGCCCTCCTGCTTCAGATCCAGGAGTCCAGGCGCCAGCACTCCGCCCTTGTCCCTGAGTCTGGGCCCCCCTGTTGCTCACCGCAGCCTTGATCCTTCTCAGCTGCAGCCCTGGCTGGCTCTCGTGACTGGAGACCCCAGTTCCTCTCTCATATCCTGTCCGGACACTGTACACAGACTCCAAGAACATCCAACCCCACCCCCCAGCTGCAGGGCACACCCCGGCCCTAGGCTCAGCCTCTCTGGAAACTTTTGTCTTTTTGCTTCTTTGTCTGTTATTGCATGTATTCTATTTTGAGGTTGGCAGCCATTTAGCCAGAGCTGGGAACAGAACACAATCAGAGCTCTTATGTCCAGGTCCTGTGGTAGCATTGCCAGGACTCTTGGAAAGCTCCTTGGAACAGTCCACGGTCCTCAAGGGGCCTGTTTCCAAGGTCAGTTACATATTCTGAGATCATATGACAATGTCCACAACAGGTCCCTGGACGGCAGGCAACCTATAGTCTACTTTAAGGCACTCCAGAATTTGGGGAGTGGGGAAGGTAGCTCAGTGGTAGAGCACTTGCTTAGAGTATGCAAGACCCCTGGGTTCTTCTACACCCCACCCCATAAAAAAAAAAGGGTTTCAAGAGGCACTGTCATGCCCAGCACCCTGCTGAGTTAACTAACTCCAACCCTCTTAGAGGCCCCTAACCTTCTCCCTCAGCCCCAGGGTTATAGACCCCAGCCCTTCTCCCTCAGACCCAAGGTCCAGGCCCCAGCCCTCCTCCCTGTAGGATCTTTGCTAGGGACCCTCCCCTGTACCTGTGTCTCTAATCATCTCAATCACCCATCCTAGCAGCCCGAGACCTAGCAGCAAAGGCCTGAGGACACTGCACTCATGATCAGTGCATGGCGAGTTGACCACCTCACCCCAGGATCTCCCTAAAGGAGTCCTGAGTCCCAGTGGAACCTTGGCTCTGACTTGCTTACAGGACCAGCTCGGGGTGCCCAGCCCCAGCCCCTCCCCCTACTGCAGAGCCTGCTCTAATTCCTTCCATGTCTGCCTAAAACTGAATGAGCATGGCTCCCCAAACCACTTCCGGGTCCTCTCTGTTACCGGGGTCTCCCACCAGGCCCATCCTCCACTGAACCTCTCCAGGAAAGACATACAGAGACAGACAAACAGAGACAATGACAAATAGGTGTGTAGGTGGATGGGTGCAGAGACAGAAAAACACAAGTAGACAGATGGGTGGGGCAGATGGATAGATGGGTGACTGGTAGATCGATAGACAAGTAGATAGAATAGACAGACAAATAGAAACAATCAGACAGACCTATTGTACCACACCTGACCTAGCAAGCAGTCCCCCACAGGCTACTGGGTGTTTGCTAGCATGCTTCTCCTGCCCCTCTTCCAGTTACTGCTGTTCCAATATCACCACTAAAAGAGACCTAAGGGTCTGATATTTCTAAGGGTGTCTTAAGACACCCTGGGTCCTGCTCTGATGGCCAAAGAACTCTGTTAGAATACTCCTAGAAAGATAGGCGTGGTGGTACACACCTGTAATCCCAGCACTCAGGTCTCTGAGGCAGGAGGATGGAAAGAGTTCAAGGCTAGTCTGGGCTACATAGTGACATCCTGTCCCCCCCCCCACACACACACTCAAAAAAAAAAAGAAAGAAAACCCTAGGATCCTTCTCTATGATCTAAGTCCCTAATCTTGTCACTGGAGCCCTACCCACCACCACCTGGAGGCACAGCCCTGGGGCTTCCTTCCCCCTCACCCCTGCCCCCTCAGTCTTCCCACTCCACCATCCTTGAAGTCCTGGCTTACCCATGTCTGTCTATGTCCTTCAGGTGTTCAGGGTCTCAGGAGCTAAGCATAAGTACTGTATTAACAGGTAACTTGAAGTCTCCCTCTCCTCGGTAAGCTATGACAGCTAACCATGCGACAGTTAACCTTGCAACAATGATTTGCCCAGAACTCTAGATAAGCCTGCCCTGGGTAAATAGCTCAAGGAAAACTCTGGAAAACTCATCCTCCAACTAAAATGAGATCTGTTAAAGGAGAAGAAAAGATGTGCTTGTCTGTCTCTGCAGAAAGGGACCAAAGTCATCTGCAGGCTTGATTAGGGACACTGAGGCACAGGAATCACAAGCCAGGAGCTAAGTCTAAGTGGAAGTCTCCCTCTCCTCAGCCCCAGCAGGCTACACTGGCTACACTCTTAATCTAGCAATAATGACTTTCCCAGAGCTGCACATAAACACGTTCTCAGTAAATACCTCAAGAAACCCATCTGCCTAGCACTGGTGGCTAACACCTATAATCCCAGCTACTAGGAGGCAGAGATCAGGAGGATCTTGGTTCGAAGCAGTCCAAGCAAATAGTGCTCAAGACCCTATCTTAAGGGAGGGGGTGGGGGCAGGGGGGAGAAATGACCCAAGCCTTGTATGCACATATGAATAATAAAAGAAAAATGAAAAAAAAAAAAAAGACCCTATCTCAAAATACTCAACACAAAAAAAGGGCTGGTGGTTGTCTCAAGGTGTAGGCCCTGAGTTCCAATCCTAGTACCACAAGAAAAATAAACAAAAAATCCCTGGCTACCAGGTGCTGGTAGCTGTGTTCTTCTGGGGACTCCAAAGAGAATTGTTTCTCCCACCCCTTTCCCAGCTTCCAGAGGCTCCAACATTCCTTGGCTTATGGTCTCTTCCTTCATCTTTATATTCAAGACTCATCACTCTGATCTCTGTTTCCATCATCACGTCATCTCTCTTTGATCCTGACCTTCCTCCTTCTCTCTTATAACGAGCCCATGCCAGGTGCTGGTGGCTCATGCCTGTAACCCTAGCTACTTGGAAGGCTGAGATCCAGAGGATCAAGGTTTGAGGCAAGTCCTCAAACCCTCTCTGAGTAACTGCCCTAACAATCTCTCTCTCTTGTCCCTTCCTCCTTCCTGCTACAAAGGAAAAGGACTCAAAGTTTCTGGATGCTTGCTGGTCAGCTGGAGACCTGCTATGTCTTCAGGGGCTGTTCAAGACTCTTAGAAGACAGATTAGAGCTGGGTGCAGTCGTACATGCTGTAATCCTAGCTACTCAAGAGTGGAAATTGCGACAATTGCTATTCAAGGCCAGCCAGGGAAAATAGTTCAAGAGACCTTATCTCAAAAGAACCCATCGCAAAAAAGGCTGGTGGAGTGGCTCAAGCCATAAGAACACCTGACTAGTAAGTGTGGGACCCTGAGTTCCAACCCCAGTGCCACCCCAAAATAACAAGAAGGGAGCTCAAACTGGGCGCTGGTGGCTCTCGCCTGTAATCCCAGCTACTCAGGAGGCAGAGATCAGGAGGATCGCGGTTCAAAGCCAGCCCAGGCAAATAGTCTGTGAGACCCTATCTCGAAAAAAAAAAAATCACAAAAAAAGGGTTGGTGGAGTGGCTCAAGGTGTAGGCCCTGAGTTCAACTCCCAGAACTGCCAAAAAAAAAAAAAAGGCAGGGGGGAGCTCCAGACAGTTGCTGAGACAGGTGATGGAGACAATGAAGGTGCTGAAGACAACAAGCTGTGGGTTTCTAGAAGCATTCCAAAGAACTGCCAAGCCTTAAGGGCCAAGGTCTCAGACACCTGAAGCCTGAGAGCTGTAAGACTTGTCGCTGGAGGGCTGGGGGTCCCAGCACCTGAGGCTGAACGAGCTTCCTGCTGCTGCCTGCTGTGCCCGCTGCCTCTGCCCGCTGCAGCTGGAAGCTGAGGATTACAGTAGCTCCCAAGTGCCAGGGCTGCTGGTGGTTAAGGCCCAGGGCGATCAGCCTCCAGCCTTGAGGCTCTGCCTTCCGGGGGCCCCTCGCGTCAGCCTGGCCAGCCCCTCGGCCTGAGGCATTCAGGGGCCTGGGGTTGCCAGCGTTGGAAGAGCTTCTCCTCGCCTTCCCACAATTCCTATCCAAGTGGAGCAAAAGGACCCAGCCAACTGCTTGGCAACACTTAGATTAGACTTTCACTTGGGCCTCTCAGGATCCTGCTATAGCACAGTTCCCAGGGAGCTGCTATTTCTACATAAACCGCAGGGCCCAGTGCAAAGCGAACACCTGAGACCCCTTGTTTCACTGTCGAGGTGGCTTAAGCAGAGCATTGCACAAGCATCCATCCCTTCTGATCTACCCCAGCAACTGCAGGGGCGCTAGTCCTAAAGTGGGTGCCTGTCCTTCTGTCTGCATCTGCATGGCAGTGCCCCCTACTGGCTCAAGTAGGCCATCACACCTGAGCTCAAAACCAAACCCTGATTCTTGCAGGTCTGCCTCCTGTAAAATGGGGATAATAATGTACCCATCTCATTTGAGAGGCTTTTGAGAGTCAAAGGCTAGGTGCAGAGCATATAGCAGGGCTTCGGTAGCACCTCCTCCCCTCAGTGCCCACTACCCACCTGACAAAGCTGTTTAAGGTCCCCAGAGGTCCCATTAGATCATAGGCTCTCCAAGACACCTGAATTACTGTTGCTCACTCTTGCATCCATCCCTGGGGCCAGCTCAATAAATATTTGTAGAATAAATGAAGGAAGCAGCGAATGATCCTAGGCTGGTTTGATATGTCCCTAACACTTCTGTAGAATGTGTAGAGAATTCTCTAGAATTCCTTAGAATGTCCTTGCTGTCCCACTGGAATGCTCTAGTAGAAACTACACTCACCCCTGAAGAAATCCATACTTCTCGGTTACCATACGTGAGAGAGTCAGGACCTTCCCCAGGTTTTGCCTCACGGACTCAGGGCAAGGACAAAGCACAGCCATGGGGCTGCTCCAACACAGCAGAATCCCTCCTAAGTCCTTCTTCCCAGGCTCTGCCCACACACCTCAGGACCAGCTAAATGTACTCAGGTGCCTTCTACATATAAGTCATATATTATATAAATATCTATACAGCCGGCCCTCTGTGTTCATGGATTTTGCATCCATGGATTCAAATGTCTACACATCAAAAATATTTTGGAAGCACCAGGCATGATGGTGCATACCTATAATCCCAGCACTTGGGAGAAGGAGGCAGGAAGATTGCAAGTTCAAGTCCAGCTTTGGGTACATAGAGAGACCTTGTCTCAAAAATAACACAGTATGTGCGTGTTTATGTGGGGTAATATATAAATAACACATATATATTTGTTATTGCTTTGTATATATAAATTTTTTTGGTGGGACTGAAGTTTGAACTCAGGGTTTCTCACTTGCAAAGCAGGGGCTCTACCACTTGAGCCACACCTCCAGTTAATTCTGCTGTATTTTGGAGATGGGGTCTTGCAAACCATTTGCCCAGACTGGCCTCAAAATGCCACCCTAAATGATAAAGCATAACAACTGTTTTCACAGTGCTTGCATCTCATTGAGTCTCATGTCATCCAGAAGTGGGAGAGTTAGCACAGGTTCCATGTGAATGGTGACCATTTTCTCTAGGGACCGGGCGGTCAGTTATAACCTGGGTGTTGCATCCATCATGGGCCCCAAGGTGCTGCCGTAATAACCCACAGGGTGCTGCAACACACCTGCTGGCCCTTCCGCCTATGTCATAATATTCCCAGGGCCAGCTCTGCTAGGTCCAGGGCCATGACAGGATAGGACATAGCAAGCCGCACCTCGTCTCCAGGCAGTGGGTCTGAGCCTTCTGTCACTGTAAACCCAGGACCCTGCCAGAACTAATTTCCCTACTAAACAGCAATGCCACTGGGGCCTCCTGTAATAGGCATGCAACAGAATATTCCAGAAGCATGCTAAAACGGACTCCACATCTGTGACACACTACCAGGGCTTGCTATAACAGATCTAGGATTCTACAACCATTTACTGCCTCTGGGGCTATCTTATCTGCCAAATACCCTTGTCCTTAAGTCTGTCTGAAGGGACCCAGGCCTGCTATAGCATGGTACCACAGAGCCTCTCTTGACAACAGGCTTAGGGCTTTGACATAATTGCCACCTGTGTAGCATGTACCAAAACACTTTGCCACGATTCACACAGGAGCATTCTTTCTCCCAATGGGACAGGGAGGCATGAAAACACCTTAAAGCCAGGTGTGGTAGAGCACGTCTGTAATCCCAGCACTCAGGAAGATGAGGTAGGAGGATTGGAAAATTCAAGGTCAGCCTGAGCTACCTAGGAAGAAGCTGTCCAAAAAAAATTCACTCTATAGATTAGGAAATTGAGGCTCTGTGATTGGGGAAGTTCACTTGTCCAAGGTGACACAGCTAGCAGATTTAGGAGGTCTGTGTTTGGGGGTTCCTGCTCATGTTCACCACTTCCGGCTTAGGGGTCAAGTCTTCCCAGTGAGCATTGTGTACCTGGAAATCCATTCATCCTCTTGGTGACAAGTTTACGGAGAAGCTACTTGTTCCAGAAGCACCCTCCCTGCTTCCATATTCAGGTCAATGTACACACAGGTAGATAGGTAATATAGAATGGTATTTTTACTGTAAATAGACTCTTCATAGGACAGTTGAGCACAGGTGAGGGTGCTGTGGAGGGTGGGAGGCTTTGCCAAGTGGAACAGTGGTAAAGATTAAAGATGAAGACAGGTCACGGGAGTAGCTCAGGGGTAGAGCGTTTGCCTAGCATGTGCAAGGCCCTGGGTTTGATCCCAACGTTGTAAAAAACAAACAACATTGTAAAAAACAGAGAGGGAGCTCCTGGGTATTCTTGACAGAGGAAACAACCAGTGCAGACGCTCAGAGCAGGATGGAGGCCTGGTGGGTGCTAGGGGTGTGAGACTTTAGCAAGAAAGGCTTGGTTGTCTAAGCAGGACCGATGGTGCTGTGGACTTTCACCAAGGTCTTTTTTATCTTTTTTTTTAAGTGGACCTGGGGTTTGAACTTAGGGTTTTGCCCTTGCAAAGCAGGTACTCTACCCCTTGAGTCACACCTCCAGTCTATTTTGCTTTGGTTATTTTGGAGATGGGGCTCTTCCAAACTATTTGCCCTGGACTGTCTGTCCTTGATCCTCCCCATCACAGCCTCCCAAGTATTTAGGATTACAGCAGTGAGCCACCCACCAGCATCTGGTCTTTGCAAGGCCTCAGGCCTGCCAGTGACAGACCAGGTAGCCTGTCACAACGGGGTGCCAAGGAGACGCCCCAACAACCACTAGGAGGAAACTGGGGAGCAGGGACTGTTGTTGTAAACACAGGGCCCCACCCCAAACGGAAGCACCTGCGGCCAGAGGGGGCCGCACCTCCACGCCCTGACTCCTCTTTGGGTCTCTATCCCCTGCTGCCTTAAGTTGTCCCCTCCCTCCTGGTCTCTGATGCCCCTTCTCTGTAGGTTGCAGGTTCCTCCTGTTGGGTTCCTCCCCACCTTGCACAGGGCGGCGGCCCCCCTGACCTGTCCCTGCCCCTTCCTGCCCCCTTTGATGCGGGCCCACTTCCTCTGGCAGGAACCCCCGCCCTCGCTGGCTGGCCAGGGTAAAAGGCAGAAGTGGGGCCCACTGGGTGCGGCATCCCTGAAGCAGCATCGACTCCTCTCCTCATGGGCCCTGTCTCCCAACCCTTGTACCAGTGCTGTGCCTCAGACCCTGGTACAGGCCTGGGGGGCAGGGACCTGGGGACCTCAGCACCTGCAGACTGAGGACTGAAGGCAGCAGGCAGCTCCAGCATTCCATCTAGCTGTAGCTTGGACGTACGTGGGTCTCTCCCTGTAAGGTGCAAGTCCTCTCTCTTCTAAATTCTCCCTCTGCCTTGCTGAGCCTCTCTGCCTGTGTACCTGCAGGACACTTGTGGTTGTCCCTCCAGCTCAGCCTGGAGGTGACATTCCTAGCTCCCAAGCCTCCACTCAAGGAGGCCATGAGTCTTTCCCTGACCACCTAAGCCTTGCTACCATCCTCTCTGCCTGCAGCCCTCTCCTGGCTCAAGTATCAGTGAGCAGCAAGAGCCCTGGCACCGCAGAGCTGGCTTCCAGGCTGCTCCCCACCCAGCCACTTGCTCTCAGATTTTGATACTGCTGGTGCAGAAACTCCCACAATTGGAGGCCTCTGCCTGGGACTCCAGGCAGAGAATTTCCCTCTCCCAAGTGTTTTTCATTATTTCTAAGTGAGCACCTGGGTGCGCTTCTGTGAGAGTTGTGTGTGGGTAGGGGGAAGAGGGGAGGGTGTCCCAGGGCCCTGCTCACCTGTCAGCTCCCTCAGGGAGATGGAGGCTCAAGTGGAAAGCCACACCTTCCCAGTTCAGAGGCAGACAACTGGGAAATGCCTCAAGCCTACACCCTCCTGCCCTCCACTCAAGGAGACCAGAGGACCTCAACCAAAGCCCAGGAGACCAGGAGCCTCCGCCCTCCCTCATTTCCTCCTCAGAGACTGGTGCATTGGTGGTGGGGGGAGGGAAGGTAAGAAGGGGGAAGCAGCACACCACCAGGTAGTGGCCTTGTCTACTCAGATACCAAGAGATGGGGGACAAGGACCAAAAAGAGAGGCCTGGAAAGGGCTGCATCTTAGTTCAGGTGGTTCTATCCCCATCCAGAGAGGGACCAGAGCACTCCCCATCACAGAAAAGCCTCGCCTCTGACAATCCCTCCCGCTGCTGAGGCACAGAGAAGCCAAGCCTGGTCTATAAAATAAGTTTATTTCGTTTCAGGAGCAGGCAGGCTTCCATTAGGCTTAGAACTTCTGGAACTGCTTCTTCGTGCCAGCAGCCTTGGTGACCTTGAGCACATTGAAGCGCACTGTCTTGCTCAGGGGCCGGCACTCACCCACGGTAACAATGTCACCTATCTGGACGTCCCTGTGGAGGCAGGCAGCAATAGGTGATGGGGGGGTTGTCCTAGTGAACCCCCAGGAAACATTCGTCCACTTTACCAGGCTCAGGGCGCTCCACTTTGGCTCCAGTCAACCCCAGCCCAGCTCTTGCTACCCTCAGGTGGCCCCAGTTACTCAGCACAAGCCCAAGGCATCTGCACCTTCTGTGATCTACACCTCACCAGAGAATGAGGGCCCTCCCCCCGTGGGGTGGTCAGCAGTCACCTCCCACCCAAGGGGTTAGTGGTCTTGGTGACACTGAGCCGATCCCCCATCGCTCAGAATCAATGCCTACTAACCCTTCTCTCCCCACAAAGTCGCTTCCCCCTTCGCAGCTGCAGCCCCAGCCCCCAACATTTTCCCACTTGTCTGGGGGATTGGGACATTGCCCCTTTCTCCGAATGTCAGTCTAACAGTCTGGGATGTGATAAAGCTAATAGGAAACACACTCAACTAACAAGTGTTTCATTCTAACACACACAATACAGGAATAAACCTTTTGGTCCTATGACTCCTAGGACAGAGCATAGTGGTGTAGCGGGACGTGTGTTTAATCCCAGCCAATCAGGAGGATGGATCAGTGGATGTCAGATGAAGACAAGCCCAGGTAAAAAACTAGTGAGATCCCCATCTCAACCAACAAATCAGATGTGGGGGCCCATAACTGTTGATCCCAGTTACAAAGAATAGACAGGATGGTGATGGTCCTGCCCCACCCAGCAAGACATACTAACTAAAGCAAAAAGAACTGGAGCCCTGGCTCAACTGGTAAAGCACCTGCCTAGTAAGTGAGAAGCCCTGAGTTCTACCTATTAGGACAACTGGGAAGAACAGGATATTAAAAACTCTGGGGGTTATAGATTTGCCAGAAATGCCATCTAGACAGTAGCTCCCTCAGGCAGTTTCAAGAGGGGGACCCACCGCAGGAGGGACTACTCACCTGAAGCAGGGGGACAGGTGCACCGACATATTCTTGTGGCGCTTCTCGAAGCGATTGTACTTTCGGATGTAGTGCAGGTAGTCCCGGCGGATGACAATGGTCCTCTGCATCTTCATCTTGGTCACCACGCCTGGGGAGGGGTCAGATCTAGTCAGGCCCCATGGGAAAGGGAGCAAAGGGTGATGTAGGGCATGCTGGGAGTCAAAAGCTGGGGAGGAACAGGGGCTCCCAGCCTGCTTTTGGCTGGCATCAGCTTTGCCAATTGGCTTTCTCAGCAGTGTCCATGGTGGACATCTGAAGACCATCGTGAGAACAGACATCACGTGCCAGTGTCCCCTGAATTCAGAAGCCTAGGCACCCAAGCATCTTCCTGCCAATAACTCAGGCCCCCAGAGCTGCTCACTCACCAGACAGAATCCGCCCTCGGATGGAGACATTGCCAGTGAAGGGGCATTTCTTGTCAATGTAGGTGCCCTCGATAGCCTGAAAGGATCAGAGAAAGCAGTAAGCCTTGGGTAAGCAGCTCCTGAACAAAAGCAGGGGCGTGGCCTCTTGAACAAAAACTACAATTCCCAGCAGCCCAGGGACAACCACTCAAAACACATGGGTAGAGAACTCTGCTCCACACGTGTCCAGGTTCACAGTTGGTCTGTGAGTCCACCCACCTCTTTGGGCGTCTTAAAGCCCAAACCGATGTTCTTGTAGTATCTGGGGAGCTTCTCCTTGCCAGTTTCTCCCAGCAGGACTCTCTTCTTGTTTTGAAAGATGGTTGGCTGCTTCTGGTAGGCTCGCTCTGTCTAAAGGGATGAGGAAGAAGCTGGTGAGATTACAAGCTTAGAGTAGCAGAGACCTGGCCTAGACTCCTTCCCAAACCCATCCCCTACCCTCCCCAAACGCCAGTGCCTCTGAAATAAATTCTTAAAACACAACCACCCCAAACTTGCCTATAATTCAAAGGCTAAACTCTAAGGTAAGCACTTTCTTACTCTAAAACACCTCCCACAGCCTGCAGAATTCACCCCTTAAACCAGAACCATCCAACATCCTGGGCAACTTTCCCTTCTTTTTCTACTGTGCAACCCACTTCAGTGCCAGCGGCCTACGGGTAGAGGCCAGGCAATGGTTCGGAGCCACAGCTTGCTCTGGCATGGGACACTATGAAAGGCCCAGGGAGACGGGCCTGCCATAAATCCAAACCCATGCATCCTGGGCAACTTTCAGAATTACTCTCCCAGGCACAAGGTCACTCACTCAGGATCCACTTATTTAATACGAGGGTGAAAATTAAATTTAAATACCCACCGACCGTCTGCCTGGACTTGCCCCTAGGGCTCAAGTCCCATAGAATTAACCCTTAAGGTTAAAAACCTCTTAAACCTTGGATTTTAAAGGATAATTCCTAAAACGCTTGAGCTTCCATTAATGTGCGGAACCCCCGGGATTTAGAAAGCGCTAATCTAGATTAAGGCAAACACACGCGCCCTCCGCTGAGTTAATCCCTAAAATATGGGGCACGCCTAAAATAAACCCCGAAGTAGGGCGCGAGGTCTTGTTTCCCCAGACGCGCCCCAAAGCTGGGGACCGGCCCCGCAGACTGCACACCAACCCCGAGCACATACTTGAATGTCCGCCATCTTTCCGGCCGCCTGAAAAAAGGAAAGCTGGGGTAGAGTCCGGGTTTCCTTATCGACTACGCAGGGGCTGGAGAGGAAGTGACGAATGCGGCGTAGTAGCACGTCTTTGGGCGGTGCTTCGGGAGCGACTGATTGACAGTCATCCCTAGCCTAACACGCGATTCCGGGACTGTACGTACGCGGCCATTTTGGTGACGGACAGAGAAGCGGGAAGCCGTACACAATATCTCGCGAGATTCTCAGGCTAGTCTTGGGTCAGAAGCGTTAGTTCAGCCTAGGGTGACCTATGCTATCGCGAGATTCGTAAGGAGGCTGTCCTGTTTCTGAGGGGCGTAACTTCACGTGGGATTTGGAGACCGCATGGCGTATTGGTTGAACGTTTTAACGAGAAGTGGCGGCGGCCATCTTTCTGTGGGGCAGGCGCCCGGCGGGTCCTCCGAGTTTGATGTTGCTATGTTTGTGCGGGGCTGCACCTGCCTGAGCTTTTAGAAACTTAACGAAAGTTATTTGCTTCATTTCATCCACAGACCATAATTTAGTGAACAGGAGCCATTCTTCTATTTTTTTTTATACAATAGCGCTCAGGATTTATCGCGATGGAAATATTCTATACCCGAGCTACCCAACACCCTAGCAAGTGGCATTATTTGAAATGTGGCTTTGCTGGGACCTGAATTTTTAACTTTGTTTCATTTCATTAGATACAAATGTAAATAGCCGCTCGTGGCTTATGGTTACTCTGTTGAATAGCAGAGATCATTTCTTTCTTTTGGCCTTCCTTCCCTTCCCCTCCTTGGTTTTTGAGAGGGTCTCTCTGTGCAGCCCAGCTGGCCTTGAACTCGCGATCCTCCTCCCAAGAGTGTCGGGATTACAGATTACAGTCGTGCAGCACCACACTTAGCTCATTTTAAAATTTGTGGGCTGCGGTGGTAAGAGCGCTTGCCCAGCATATGCAATACCCTGGGTTTCATCCCCAGCACTTTGAAAAAGAAAAAAAAAAAATTGTAATTATGCCTAAATAAGTATGTCATGCAGATGGTACAAAAAGTAACTGGGGAAAGATGTATCAACCCTTTTTCTCCCCTCGACTCCCAGTTTGTTAGCAGCAAAGCTGGTTTTGGCTTTCAGTGTGTGTTCCCTACTGTGAGGCTTTCCTTTGTGGTGCTGAGTTTGGAACCCAGGGCCTGGCATGGCCTGGCACAGGCTAGGCAAGGGAACTACCACAGAGCTACACTCAAGCCCAGGAATTCTACTGAGGTGAATTATATGTGAACAAAACAAGCTGCAGGACACCAGCATAATGCGACCCATTATCCATCTGTGAGGTGGTTAACAGACTTTAAAAAGCTTATTACATAATTTTTAAAAGCATTATAGAATACTTTGTCCTACAGTGTAGCCATTAGGTTTACGTTTCTATTTAAATTTAAGGTTAAAAAAACAACAAAACAAGGGCTGGGAGGGTGTAGCACAGTGTTAGAGTTCTGTCCTGACATGGGGGAGGCCCTGGGTTCAATCCCCAGCACCTCAAAGAAAAAGTTCCCCTTTTTCCAATGTTTGCTCTTTTAAGCTGCAAACTTCAGAAATGCAAATACTGCACACAATCATTCCAAAGTCCCACATGCCAAGATCTGTGCCACTGAGCCACCACCCAGCCCTTTATAGATGCTTATTTTTTGGCAGTATTGGGGTTTTGAACTCAGGACCTTGAGTTTGTTGGTAGGCCATCTACACTGACCCACACTCCAGCCAATTTCCTTTTGGTTTTTTGTTTCTGATTCTCCTTAACTTTTCCCAGGTTGGCTTAGAACTCTTGACTCCTCCAGCCTCTGCCTCCTGAGTACCTTTGGTTACAATTGTCACTAACCCAGGGCTGGTTTGTAACTTTTAAATACTAAACATTGTAATTGTAGATGTTTGTTTCTGCCCCTCTAAGGGTAGCAATAAAGAAACTGGCTGTACAAATGTGGGTCTTCCACTCAGTGACCCTGGAGTACCTTTATAATTTAGTCTCTAAATTTTTTGTGAGTTTCTTACTGACTTGAAAAGGATTTGTGATTTTCAGAAAAAAGAAACCCTCAAGATCCATAGTTCTGTCTACAGCATGTGCTGAACCATGTACAAAAGTTACTAAGCTGGAAGTGTGGCTCATGCCTGGAATCCCAGCACTAGGGAGCCTGAAGAAGGAGGGTGGAAAGTTTGGTCAGTCCAGCCAAGGAGACCGTCTTAAAATACACAAAAACAAGTTAGTAAGAAAAAAGCCAGGAAGGAAATGCAAGTGATTTGGTTTGCCTGGATGTTTTTGATCTCGTTTTTTTAATGCATGGGAGTAGCTGGTGTGATTTTGATGAAAAAAGCAAATAAAAACAAATATATGCTTCACTGTGAAGGAGCAGTGATACGGAGATGTTTAGAGCTGTAGCTAATAGTTTTCAACCACAGACAAGAGCAGAAAACATATTCCAGGGCTGGGGTGTCATTCATGGCAAAGTGCTTGCCTAATGTGCTTATAGGCCCTGGGTTCTACCCCAGCACGAGAAAAAAAAGAAACAAAAAACTGGGTGGCCCCAACACAGGGAGCTGCCCTCCTCTGGCTTGCTGACCTTCCTCCCTCAACACATTCCCCTCATTCTCATTATCTCATTAGTTTTAATTCAGCAAACCTGTAAGCCTTACTTGGCGGAAGGTGAGGTCAGGAGAATCACAACTCTCAAATGGGGCAAAGTTTGCATGACTCCATCTCCAAAACAAGGTACGATTCAAACAGAGCACCTGCTTTGCAAGGGTCAAACCCAGACTCCCCTCCTCCCCCCAAAAAGAAGTCACAGTTCATTTTCTTTTCTGGCAGGCCTTCTAATGCTTGAGCCAAGCTTCCAGCCCTTTAGTTTTCTGGTAGGGCCTCATTTTTAGTTTAGAATTGGCCTTGGACTGCAGTCTTACCTCAAGAAGCTGAGATGGGAGCACACTACCATAGGTGGTCTATTTGCTGACATGTGGTTCATGCCACACTCCCCCACCAACTGCTAAGAACTGTATAGATGTGCCACCCGCTGAGATGTATTTAGCATTCTTACTCCAGTAGCATTTCTCTTGCACAATATTCACAAATCCTGAATTTACTCAGGGAGTGATTTGCCTGTGGCAGTCCTATACCCTGCAGCTTAACTAGAATGAGGCTTCGCATCACTGGGAAGCAGGCACCATGACTATACCCTAACCCTTCTGCCAAACGCGGGGCACAGACACACTCATGGACTCGAGCACAGCCAGTCCCAAACTTAACAGCTCCTTTGCTGCCACAGGCCCATCTCCACAGCAGACACACAGGAAGACACCAGACTTCTTTACAAATAATTTATTTCTGATACATGAGTGGAGGCAATGCCTGTAACTTCCCAGTGTGCACCTCTAACACCAGGCAGACCGCAGCAGGTGCACCCCATTCTGTCAGCTGCAGGGCACTGGGCACCCCTCCACCTCTTTCCCAATACTAAACCAAAGCGACCCGGGCGTGTTAGCACTGTTCTAGGAACTCGGGAACAAGCAGGGACTAAACCCGAGGTCTGCACAACTCTTAGAGCTGTTTAAAGCAGAGACTAAAGCACCTTCTGTCCCCAGCTTCCTAGGTCCCTGGCTGCTTGTGGCCCTGGGACAGCTGCCCCTGGGAACCCCACATTCCAGAGCGGCGATGAGGAAGGGCAGGCCAGGCCAAGCATGAGGCATAAAGTCTTTATTTGGCTCACACCAGGAGTCCATGGGTCTTGAGGACATCTGTGAACTTGTTGATTTTCTTCTCCACATTCTTTTCTGCTTGCTTCCGTAGCCTCTGCAGGGATGAGGACAATGGTAGTTGAGTGCTGACTGCCTGGGGTCCCTTCACCCCAAGGGCCCCCAACCCAGGAACGCTGCGCTGCCCCTTCACAGCAGCTCAGCCCTCACCATAAGCTGCTTTTTCTTCCGGTAATGGATCTTGGCCTTCTCCTTCCTCTTCTCTTCCAGGGTGGCTGTCACTGCCTGGTACTTCCAGCCGACTTCATGAGCCAGACGCCCCAGGTAGGCAAACTACAGAGAATGAGATTGTAAGGACGTGAGGACACACAGCTCCCCGGCTCAACTGTGCTGGTGGCCGGAGGACAGCCTGCTGGGAAAGGACACACACACCCTGGAACCCAGGCTCCCACTCCTGGCATCAGTAGAGCTTTTGGCATTATCGGCACTGCCCAGAGACATCCGCAGACCATCGTGAGAAAAGGACATCATCTGCCAGTCTTGGGACCTCGGACCCCCCCACCCAGCACCCCATCATCCCAACATGGAGCTCACCTTCCTTGTAGGCTTCAGACGCAAGACCTTGAGGGCGGCCGGGACCACCATGCGCTTTTTCTGTTGGAGAAGGAGAGGGGCTTAGACACCCACGGCGAGCAACACCTGGGGAGGAGGCTGCGGGGCGGGCGTCTCAGCCAATGACGTTTTCATGCGGCTCAAACAATGTAGGTAATTGCGTAACATCACAGACGCCAGGTGCATGGGTGCTGCGTGTGGGCTGGCGCAGCTCACCTTGTCGTAGGGTGGTGGGATCCCATCAAACACCTTGAGGCGTTCCAAGGCTGCCTGGCCTCTCTTAGTCTTGTGTGGCAGCATGCCTGTGGGCAGAGGGATGGCAAGCCTCTTCAGTGGGGTCACAAGGTGCCACCCTCCCACAGGGCAGGCCCAGGGCAGCCTCAGATGGTAGTGCATGTGAAGTTGTCTCATGGTTGGGAAACTCGAACAAGAGTGGGAGATATTGTCATCACTGGCTGCCTGCCACCACCCATTGTCCTCGGCCCCAACTCACCTCGCACAGTCCGCCAGAAGATGCGGCTGGGGGCCCGGAAGTGGTAGGGACCCCGAGAAGGGTTGGTATTCATTCGCTTGCGGAGAAAGGCCAGGTACTTTACTACAGAAGAGAAGGGAGTAGTATGAGGCTTGCTTAAACTCCAGGTAAACCCATTCCTACCCACCCTGCTGAGACTGGTCCAGGAAAACCTCACAGGCCCTAACTTACACTTATTTCTATAGAAATTGCCAGAAATGTTGATGCCCTCACAGCGCACAACCACCACTTTTCGGCCTAGAAGGGGAAAGGGCAGGGTTAGGATGGGCAAGCCACCTGTCCAAGGACAGAAGAGAGGGGAAGTCCTGGCAGGTCTCAGAGCGGTGCATGGGTTGATCTCATGGTCGTGAGACTCAAACGAAAGATGGTGATTATTGCTCATCATTGACCTCCAGGTGCAGTCAAGAACAGGGAGAACAACAAGTGACTTACCCAGCAGTACCTGCTTGGCCACAATGGCCGCCAGACGGCCCAGGAGATGGCCTCGGCCATCCAGCACCAGGACCTGTGAGACACGGGTTGAAAGCTCAGAGAACAGTCAAATGTTCCCACCCCTAACCCAAGGGCATTCAGGGAAACAGCCCAGAAAAGCAAAATGCTGATGTAGCGTCAGCCAGTGAGCAGGACACCAATCCCCCTTCCCCACATCTCAAGGGCTTTGTTGGTAAAAGAGCTACCCTGGCAATACTGTGCCCACAGATCACCCAGCTCCAAAAACCTGCCACCCATATCACAAATCTCAAGTTTGTAAACCATCTAATTCTCTTCTAATGTGAATAGTGTAGTTTGCACCATGAATTTCCTCTCCTGGGCTCAAACGATTCTCCTGCCTCAGCCTCGGGATAGCTGGTACTATTGACACAAACCACTACGCCACACTACCACGAAATGAAGAAGACAGTTTCAGGGAGATGAAGATGGCTCAGCATCCCTGATAAACTGAAGCAGCTTCCTCAACAAAATTATGTACCTTTAAACTCTGTAGCTCAGTCTAATGGCGGCCCCTCAGGCTTTGTTGATTGTTGGAAGGCAGGGTAGAATGGTAGTCTAAAGCCAGATTTCCTGACTGTGTGACCTTGCCCCAAATTCCCCAAGTCTCAAGATCGTGGGCAAGAGCGACGCCAAACCTTCAATCCCAGCATGCAGAAGGCTGAGGCTGGAGGACATCTTGGGCTACATAGCAAGACCCTATCTCAAAAGCAATAAAACCCCAACAACTTCTAAGTCTTCACTTTCTGACTTCTTCACCTGTAAGCCAAGACTAGCACAGGCCTCAGAAGTATTACCACTAGCACATAAAACAAGCGAAGTGCCCTAGGCACAGGGACACAGGCTGACTGATTCTACCACTTGCCTAGGTCTGGGTGGCTAGAATGTGGTTCCCCTCATTCCCAAACCTATAGAAACTCTTTTCGGAGCCATCGCCACTTTGTATACAAACAAACAAATAAATAACATCAGAAGACGGGGTAAACTCAGCTCTAAGCTTCCGTTGTGTTCCCTGAACGCCCTCAGATGGCTTTAAGGCAAAGAATGTCCCACAGTCGTGGGACTACTGTTCAAGGCCCTCTTCCACCAGAATGTGCCTGTAAACCAACTATCAATCCCCGTAAGTGAAATAGCTATTCATTCCTGACTGCCAGAAAGCAAGAGCCTCTGGACCCACTACAGAAAGCGATTTCGCACTAAAACCCTAGGAGCTGCAGGAAACCCGGCCTGGCACTGCCATGTTAGAGCACAGCAGCTCTCGCTTTGGGCAGAGTGGCAATAGCCTCCATTTTGGCAAATGCTTTGCCGGCTACACTTTCACGTGTTCATCGTTGGGGTCATCCAAGTGTAGAAATTCGGCCAAGAGCCGTCCCCAAGGGCTGCCACCCACTACTCATGGAACAAGATAAAATACAAGGTCTTTGCCTGTGCGGGAAACTTCCACAAGCCCTCACAAGAGCTGGGTATGTAGTCTCAGACAGTCTCACAAATAAAGACAGCGACTTCCTATGCCCACGCTGCAGGCTCCCATTACGCCAAAACAGCTTCATTCTGATTAACTGTCGACCTTAAGTTTCACACACACTTATGAAGAAATGGAAGACCCAACCCTGTACCCGCCTGGATCCCACCCGACCCCACGCCGCCCCGAACCGCGCAGAGCCCGAACCTGCCCCTCCGCCATCTTCGGCAGCCGCCTGGGAAAGAAGGAAGTGTAGGTGCAGGGTTTCTTATCCCTTGATTCAGGGGCGGAGGAAGTGACGCCACCTTGGCTGCTCAGACGGCTTTCCGTCTTTTCATTGGTTAGAGTATTCTGCGCGTGCGCAGACATACCCCACTGGAAGGCGGGTCATTTTCTGACTGCCCAATCAGAGTATAGTTCTGCTCGAACTTGGGCGGCCATAGCTTTGAGGGGCGAGAGATCACGTGGGTCCTGAGGTGGTTCTGCCAGGACAACGCCGTCCCGCCTCGGCGGCCATAGCTTTGAGGGACTAGATAACTACTCTGTTCCCTTCTGTGTGTCCGCCATGTGTGTGATGGGGAGCGCCATTACATCCGTAAGTCACTGAAGGCTGCAGGGCATTTGGTGGCCCACAGAGGGCGAACAGACGCCTGGCCCGCCCTTCAGCCATCAGTCTAAGTTTAGAGATCTGGGTTCCTTTCTGCACATGATCGGCCTCTTTTGTGACCTGGATAAACCCCTGGCCATCCCTGGACCATAGCGTCCCCGTCTGTAAAACAGGTGGCGGTGGTTGGTCCTCCGCTGTCTTTTGCCTGGGACAACCTCCCTGCTCCCCCATCCATGTCGCCTCCAAAGTCTGGCTTGTCACCATCCCAGTGCCCTGTGGCTCAAGAGTCCTTTCCCCCAGAGACGCTGCCCGATCCATCCCCGCCCGAATCGGGCGCCTCCTGGGGACTCCACGCTGCCTGTGCTGCCTCCACCTAGAATGTCACCATGTCCCGCGGCTCTGGGGTCCAGTGTCTCCTCCACAAAGCCCCGGGAGGACTGGGTTGCTCTGCCTCATACTTGGGTCTTAGCATTGCCCAGCGCTGGCTTTGGGCCCCCAGGAGGCCTCAGGAAACACATATTGAAGGTAATACTGTATTCCTGAAAAAACAAAAACCCGAGACTTTGAAACTAAGGGCGCCATTCACACCCTGTCCCATCCACAGACAGACCCCACAAAGCTGGTAGAAAAAATGATTTATATACAAGTTCACTGGGATTAGGGCTTTGTACAGAGGCCGGTAAGTGGGGCAGGTGCTGCATTCTGGCATCTTGGGGATGAGAACAGGCCCCAGGAAGGAACCAGCCTCCAGCCAGTTTCCTCTGTGTCCTGGTTCTGCATCCTCTGGCAGGTGACTCCTCTCGCTGGGCCTCAGTGTTCTCACCTGGAAAATGGGATGATGCACGTGTCTGTCCCACTGGGTTGTTAAAGGCTCAGTGTACAGAAGAGAGGGGAAGTAAGTAGCTCAGGGATGGGCACAGACTCCCACCCCAAACAGCGAGGTGGCACCATTGAACAAAAGAACGGGACAATGCTTGGAACCGTATTCCATCTTTGCTATAAGTCACCAGCCACTGAGCTTGGCCAATGTGGTCCATGTAACTGAGGAGTTGAAAAAAAAAATTTGTTTTTTCAATATTGGAGTTTGAATTCACTTGAGCCACTCCACCAGCCTTGTTTTTTTTTTTTTTTTTTTTTTTTTTTGGTGGGGGGGATGGGTTTTTTTCGAGATAGGTTCTCAGGTTGCCCTGGGGCTGGCTTCAAACCCTGATCCTCCTGATCTCTGCCTCCAGAGTAGCTAGGATTACAAGCATGAGCCACGGGCACCCAGCCTAGATAACTGATTATTAAGGATGGAAAAACAACTTCTCAATGTATTACCATTTCCAAAAAAGTCACAACAAAAATTACTGCTCAAGCTGGCGATCTGTGGTTCTGGCATATAATCGTAGCTACTCAGGAGGCAGAGATCAGGAAGATTGCAGTTCAAAGACAGCTCGGGCAAATAGTTCTGTGAGACCCTATCTGGAAAAGCCATTCACAAAAATAGGGCTGGTGGAGTGGCTCAAGGTGAAGGCCCTGAGTTCAACCCCTAGTACTGCAAAAAAAAAAAAAAAAAAAAAAATCAACACAAAACAGGGGTGGCAGAATGGGTCAAGTGGTAGAGCACCTGCCCAGCAAGTGTGAGGCCCTCAGTTCAAACTGCAGTATCACTAATAAAAATAAAATGAAAGTAATAACATTACTGCTCAGAAACAAGTCTTTGAGTGAGAAAAAAATTTGGAAAATTTAGAAATTGGTCCTCAATCCAGCAATTGGAAATTGTTTGAAAAACTTAAGTACATGAACCTACTTTTGCAAGTGTACATTTCCTGAAAATTAAACACAGATCAAGTGTTTCTGATAACAATGTATCCTTGGAAAACAAAACAAAACATGTCCTTGTTTGTTCCAGATAGGGTCTTCCTTTGTAGCCTGGGCTAGCCTGGAACTCTCCAGCCTTCTGTCTCCTCTTGGGCTGGAGGTGTAGCCCAGTGGTCAGGTGCTTGCCTAGCATGTGCAAGGCCCTGGGTTCCATCCCCAGCACAACAAGGAGAAAAAAGAAAAAAAAAAACTGTCCTTGCCCATGTAGAATGCCTGTAGTCCTAGCTATCGGGGAGGCTGGGGCAGTAGGATTGCTTGAATAATTCAACTGAGATGTTCTAAAAAAATAAAAACAATATTGAGGGGGTGGGGGGGAGAGGGAGGGGCGGGGTGGATAGTAAGGGAGGGGGTGAGGGGAGGGAGGAAACAAAAAAATAAAATCAAAACAAACAATGCTAGGGATGAGAACAAAACCCTAGTTTCCATCTTCAGTACTGATTTAAAAAAAAAAAAAAAAAAGTACAGGCACCCATGGCCTGTAATCCTAGCTACCTAGCTACTCAGGAGGCAGAGATCAGGAGGATCATGGTTTGAAGCCAGCCCAGGCAAATAGTTCATGAGACCCTATCTCGAAAAAACGCATCACAAAAAAGGACTGGTGGAGTGGCCCAAGGTGTAGGCCCTGAGTTCAAGCCCCAGTACTGTAAAGAAAAAAAAAGGGTTTTCTGACATGAAATGTGAGTATAAAATATACACTGGATTCTGAAATATTAAAAATAATGTAAAATATCAATCATTTAAAAATAACTGACTCCATTTTGGATGCCCTTGGTGAAATAAAACAAGGAGTTTCCTTGCTGGCTGTGGTGGCTCACACCTATAATCCTAGCTTCTCAGGAGGCAGAGATCAGGAGGATTGTGGTTCAAAGGCAGCTGGGGTTAATAGTTCGAAAGACTCTATCTTGAAAAAACCCACCACAAACAAAAAGGGGGCTGGTGGAATGGCTCAAGGGGTAGGTCCTGAGTTCAAACCCTAGTATGGAAAAAAAAAAAGTTTCTTGCTTTTAACTTTTTTTCTTTCAGATGGGATCTTACTATGTAGCGCAGACTGAGTTGCAACTTGCTATGTAGCCGAATTTGGCCTTGAACTTGAGATTCTTCTGCTGCCTCTCAAGTGCTATGGAAGCCACCATGCTAAGCTGAAAATTGTTTCTTCTTAGATTCTTCTAGGCCTGGGGACCTACTGGGATCTCCCCTTCTTCCTCCCTCCTAGCCTACCTATCTCCTGACCCCACACCTGTTTCCAGATTCTTCCCTGTCTCACACACCATCCATGGCTCCCTTCTGCCTTATGCTGGATGAAGTTACAGGAACACCCTGAGCTTTGTCACCCTGGAGGCTCAACAAAGGCTATTCCCTCCTCCAGAATGCCATGCTTTTCCTGCCTCAGGAAGCCACTCTGTCCTGGCCCTCAGACTCCTGCATCCCAGAGGTTCCTCATTCCCACAAGCCCCCTGAGCTCAGTGTCTATCCTTGGTCTCACTCCTCTCCTAGGTTCTCCACTGGCCAATCCATCACTGGGCCACACCCAGAGTTATCTGTACCAACTTGCCAACCAAGACTGTTAGTCCCCACCCCAGGCTTCCTGATCCCGACACCTTACCTTGCCATGTCCCTCTATGCCACTATCCTGGCCCTGGCTGTGGCCTTGTCCTCTCTCTGGACCCTCCCCATCCCTTCTCCTTGGCCTCCATTCTCTTTTTCCACTAGGTCTTCATGGGGTCTTTCTGCACCTAGAGCTAGCTCTGACTCTCCCCTGCTCTCAGACTTCCCGTGGCTCTCTAGTACCTCCCACACCTTGTATGGCGAGGCCCACAGTGTGTAATAAACTCACCAAGATGAGGACATGGCCAGGTCACTGCTCCTCGAGCAGCACTTCCTGGGGACAAGAAACAGGGGGCAGCTGCGGCCCCCACAGGGTCAGCCAAGTGGGTGGGCAGGTCCTTGAGCCACCCTGAATCCTGCTCTGCCTGCCTGGCTCACCTGCTCCCCAGGGCGGGGTGTGGTTCTCGTGATCCTCCTCCTTCTCCAGCACAGACACCAGGCAGCGACTGGCAGCAGGAGGGTAGGGGGTAGTAGCAGTAGGAGTAGCAGCAAAGGGGACTGTGAGGCTGGCAGCATGGTTGCCTCCAGGGCCCCAGGGCTCCTTGGGGGTATCAGGGTAGAGGAGTCTGGTGAGAGAGAGGAAGCTGGGTGACTAAAGAGGAGAAGGGCTATGTCAGGGAGGGAAGGGGAGGCCTGCCTGGCTCTGGCTGTGTGACCTTGTGCTGGCTAGCCTCTCTGTGCTTCAATTTCCCCATCCCCAGAAAAGTGTGGGGGGTGATCATTATACTTGCTTCATAAAGGTGGCACAAAAGTTAACAGTGACTAAATAAGGCTGGGCATGGTGGTACATGCCTGTAATCCCAGTACTTGGGAGGTAGAGGCAGGAGTATCTCAAGTTCCAAGCCAACCTGGGTTACATAGGGAGACCCTGTCCTAAAATCTCTGCACCCCCCAACCAAAAAACCAAAAAACCCCCACAATGAGCAAATACACCAAGAAGAGGCTTAGAAGAGGACCTGACACTTATTTTACAGTTAAGTCACAATATTTCTAGCATTTATGAATATGTGTGTCTTTTTTGCCCAAAAGTGTGTGAGCTCTGTGTGGACAGCAGGAATTTGCCTGTGTTATTTGTCACCAGAGCCTACCATTTAGTTCTCATTAACTATCTGAAGAAGCCGGGCACTGGTGGCTCACCCCATAATCCTAGCTACTTGGGAGGCTGAGATCTGGAGGATCACAGTTTGAGGTCATCCTGGGCAAATAGTTTGAGACCCCATCTCCAAAGTAACCACAGCAAAATGGACCAGAGGTGTGGTTGAAGCAGTAGAGTGCCTGCTTTGCAAGTGCAAAGCCCTGAGTTCAAATCCCAGTCCTATCAAAACCAAAACAAAAATCTGATGAGTGGTCAGATACAATGTATAAGGCTGTAATGAAAGAGCCTTGCAAATCTTACCCTGTTCTGTTTTCCCTGTTCCTTCAATTTTCACTGTTCCTAAGACCCTGAGACCCTCTGCTCCAGCCACATGGATGTCCTTGTGTCCCTTAAACACATAGGTAGTTTTCTGCCCCAGGGCCTTTGCACCACTGTTCCTTTGTTCCCAACTTTCAGTAACTTTCCAGTCAACCTCTTAAGTACACAACTCCATCATCCTATTTGAATTTGAATTCAGTGCACTTTGATAATATTTTTTGGTTTTTTTTGGTGGTGGTGGCGCTGGGGTTTGAACTCAGGGCCTCATGCTTGCTAGGCAGGTACTCTACCACTTGAGCCACTCCTCCAGTTGAATTCAATGCACCAGGCTGGCCTAGTACTTGAGATCCTTCTGCCTCAGCCTGCTAAGTACTGGGATTACAGGTGTGCACCACCACCCTCAGGTAGGTACTTCCTTGTTTGTGTGTTGTGTGTTTGTTAACTGTCTCTCGAGTTAGTTGTCAGCTCTGAGCAGTGGCAACTTGGTCATTTTTCATGCAGTGTCACTAGACAGGAGACATTGTTACTGTGTGTGTGTGTGTGTGTGATGCTGGGGTTTGAACTCACAGTCTACACCTTGAGCCACTCCACCAGCCCTTTTTTGTATGTGTGTTTTTTTTTTTTCCCCCAAGATAAGGTCTCTCGAACTATTTGCCCAAGCTGGCCTCAAACCTCAATCCTCCTGATCTCTGCCTCCTGAGCAGCTAGGATTACAGCATGAGCCACCAACGCCCAGCTAGGAGACATTATTAACCAAAAAAAATTTGATTGAATTAATGAATTCCACCTAAATATAAATGATAAAGGAAGCTGAATATGACAAAAGCTTTTAGAAATGCAGGGAGAAATAGGGGAATGATGATTACTGTGGGAGGTTTTTTTATATCTTCTCAGATTGATAGATCTACTAGATAAAATTAACAAGGACAGAATGAGTCTTATTACCATGACCAGGGTGATAGAATATATACACATATAGCCAGGCATGGTAGTACACCCCTGTAATCCCAGCTACATGGGATGCTCAGGTAGGACAACCAAGAGTTCAAGGTAGCTGAACTATAATAATCCTAGCTTCTCAGAAGGCAGAGATCAGGAGGATTGTGGTTCAAAACCAGCCTGGGCAAATAGTTTGAGAGACCCTATCTCAAAAATACCATCACAAAAAAGGGTTGGTGGAGTGGCTCAAGGTGAAGGACCTGAATTCAAACCACAGTATTGCCCAAAAAAAAAAAAAGGCTGAGTGGAATGGCTTAAGTGTTAGAACGCCTGCCTAGCAAGCATGAGGCCATGAGTTCAAACCTCATACTGCCAAAAACCAACCAAACAAAACCCCCCTAATTTTGCCATAAGGAAAACTTCAGTGAATTGAGAAAGTTGAGTTTTCCAAGATCCTTCATCACAATCCAGTTATGAATAATTTCTAAATTGTTTCATTTTGATATTTAGTGCTGTGCCAATCCAGAATAGCAACCATTTGCCCCATGACCTGTGACAAGTTTGAATTAAGATCATGTTGTAAGAGACACACCATGTCCTGCTTTACACTAGGTTATTATTTTTTGGGGGGTTTTATTTTCTGGTGGCACTGGGGTTTGAACTCAGGGCCTTGCACTTGCAAGGCAGGCACTCTACCATTTGAGCCACTCCACCAGCTTCTTTTCCTTTTTATGGAGACAGGTCTCACTATGTAGCTGAGGTTGGCCTCAAACTCTCCATCCTCCTGCCTCAGAGTCCCATATGTGCCATCAAACGTGGCAGCATTTGTGAATCCCCATCACCATCAAGATACTTAACAGTAGCCAGGCACCCGAGGCTCACACCTGTAATCCTAGCTACAAAAAAGAAAAAAAGGGGGGGGGGCTGGTGAACTGGTTCAAGTGGTAGAGCTCCTGACTAGCAAGCATGAAGGACTGAGTCCAAACCTCAGTAACACCACCAAAAACATTCATTAATTTTTAAAAAACATACTTAACAGTAACCTCCAGCTCTGATCCCTGGAACCACTAATCTCCTCTCTGTAATTATATTATTAACTTAATTGTAATTACTTTAAATTCTCTTTTTTTTGAGGGGGGGTGCTGGGGATAAAACCCAGTGGTAGGCAAGCACCTACCACTGGGTTTATAATTCTAATAACACTTAGCTATAATTCTTATAATACTTTATTTAATGCAATATCTCCAAAACAGTACCATTACAAGGGCTGTGTGCATGGCTTAAAAAAATTGAAGTGAGCCAGGCACTGGCGGCTCACACCTGTAATCCCTCTTACTTGGAAGGCTGAGATCAAGAGGATCACAGTTCAAGGCCAGCCCAGGAAAATAGTTTAAGACACCCCCATCTCCAAAATAACCAGAGCAAAATGGACTGGAGTTGTGGCTCAAATGGTAGAATGCCTGTTTTGCAAGCATGAAGCCCTGAATTCAAACCCCAGTCCCTCTAAAAACAAAAACAAAAACAAAAACAAAATGAAGTGAGAGCTGCCTGTGATCCCAGCTCTGAGGCAGTAGGATCATGGGTTTGAGGTCAGCCTGGGCTGCACAGCAACCCTGTCCTGTGTCAAAAACAAAGGGAAAAAAGGGCTGGAGAGAAGGTGGGTTGGAGAAGAGAGGAAGAAGAAGAAGAAGGAGAAAGAAAAGAGGAAAAGGAAGAAGAAAAGAGACCAAAAGGGAATGTCCCAAGTCACATCTGAGGGAAGCGGGGAACTGAGAGGGAGGGTGGGGGCTGGATAGGTGGTGGGCTGGCTAAGGGGGAGCCATTACCGGGCTGGCACTGCAGCTCCAGGCACTGAGAGAAATTCCTGCGGGTGATCCAGGGCTTCAGGGCCACCAGCTGTGCGGAGATGTCCTGCAGGAGGTGGGAGATGTCGGTCTGGACGAAGCGAAGACAGCTGGGGAGGGGCTGGGGGCAGGGGAGGGAGATGTCACGGTCACATCACCCCCAGCATCTTCTCAGGCCAAGGGCCTAAGACACAGGGAGGCCTGGGTCTCTGGAGGTCTAAGACCTCCATCCTCCCTGCTGACTTGGGGAGAGAACCCCTTAGCAATAGCCTTCATTAGGGCCTAAGAAAGCTGGGTTCAGGGCTGGTGGAGTGGCTCAAGCAGTAAGCCACTGCTTACTTATGCCTGACTAGCAAGCATGAGACCCTGAGTTCAAACCTCAGTACTGCCAAAAAGAAAAAAAGACAGAAAAAAGAAAGCTGGGTTTGGAGCCGTCACCATCTTCTGGTCCCAAGAGATGTGTTAGTCCCCAGCAACAGGGTCCCTCCCAGAGAACTTCAGAGATTGGAGGGTCCAGGTCTGCCTCTCTGGGAGTGCTAAGTCTAGACAGCTAAGAGGTTGTCCTTGCTGTCATGCCCGGAGGGGAATCTGTTTCCCCCATCTGTCTCCTAAGTTCAGGGCTGACCTGGAAGGGACATAAGGTGACAAAATGCATCTCTGTGTTGACAGACTCCAGGAGACGCTGCATGTGGGACCCAGCCACAGTCTTGAGTTGCTCCATCCAGCGCTGGGCCAGGACCAGGCGCCACAGTCCCTTGCAGAGCTCCTCCTGCCAGAGAGAGAGCCACACCCGGTCACCAGAGGAGGGGTAGGGCCAGATGCCCGGGTCTGAGGGAGGAGGGCTGAACCTGGACCTCTGGGTCTGAGGGAGGAGGGCTGGGCTCTGGACCCCTGGGTCTGAGGGAGGAGGCTGGGCTCTGGACCCCTGGGTCTGAGGGAGGAGGCTGGGGTCTGGACCTCTGGGTCTGAGGGATGGGGGGTTGGCCCACCAGCCTTGTCCCTGCAGGGTGGTGCATCTGGAGTCTGTGTCCCACCTCCATCCCGGGGCCCTCCCAGCTGTGACTCACGTCCTGCAGGTTAGAGGCCACCGTGACTGGATAATCTTGAAGCAGGTAGTCAGACTGCAGGAGAAAATAGGGTCAGACCTACCTGACTGAAAATGGGGAAACAGAACTCCAGAGAGTCAGAGAAGGGAACCCAGGTCCAGCCCCAGGACAGTGGCCACACAGGCCAGGAGGCTCACCAGCTCTTGGATTTTGATGGCAAAGTTGGAGGTGATGGGACTGTGGGTGAAGGAGCAGTCGGGGGTCCCTCGGAGGCCGGGGCTCAGCAGTAGCAGCAGTAACAGCAGGGACGACTGGGGGTGGCTGTCACTCAGTTCCAGTCCCCCCTCCCAAGCGCTCCCTTCCAACCTCCCTCCTCCTCCTCCTCACCAGGTCTCCTCCACATCGTCTGTCTCTCCAGCATCTTGCCTGTCACCCATCTCTCCCCACTCCTCTGTCCAGCACTGTCCTCCCAATTGACCCTGTCACTCTTCTCACCTGCCCCACCTCTGCCCACCTGCCCCTGGTCCCCACCTCTACCCTTCACCCCCACTCCCCCACTTCTGTCCCCCAGCCCTTCCCATCTGTCCCCCACCTCCCCTCTCCTCTCTCCCTGACTCCTCTCCACCCTGCCCCATTTTGACATCATGCCCCGCCAACAGGTGTACTTACAGTTGGGTTCCAGGCTAGTGCCAGCACTGTCATCTCGGCCGGTGGCCCCTCATGCTTGTGGCCGATTCTTGGGAGGGACAGAAGGGCAGGTCTCGGACACACACCCCGTAGCCCCTTCCTCGCCCTCCCCTTCGCCTGGCCGCCCCTCCCTCGGGCCCTTGATGTGGCTAAGTTTCCGCCTCTCACTGTCCCAGGCTTCCTGCGTGAGCCCCAGTTACGGTGACAACTCATCTCCCCTTCTAAGAACCCCGACGTCCGGTCCCCGGAACCCTCCCCAGGTCGGGGACCTGGGAACCCGGCCCCGCACCCCCAGCTTCCTCAGCCCCAGGAGTGGGGACCCCGCTCCGCCCCTCGGGGACCTGGAGTCCCATTCTCTTCACGCACGAGGCTTGCCCCAGCTGGGTGTGGAAGGGACAAACTGGATGACAGCCAGAGAGCGAAAGTGAAAGGAAGTTTTTCGGGGAGACTGCAGCACAGGGCTGGACTCGGGCCGAGGCGCCCCCTGGCGGTGACAGGTGGCTCCGCCTGGACGGCGCGCACGGTGTGCGGTGAGCTGACTTGGGAGCCCGGGTCTGTTTGTGGTCAGATCAAAGGCCTGGGAAAGGGGGGAGCAAGGAGCGGGCACCCCCGGAGCCTTATGGTCGCCCTGAAGCCCCCTCCTTCCGCCTCATGGTCACCCCATCCCATCCCTCCCGGTGCTCAGAACTAAAGCCTTGACATACCACTTGAACTCCCCTCTGCGTCTTGGCAGCCCTGTCCATCAGGATGTCTATCAGCACAGACGCCTTCAAAATGTATTCAAAAATTGTTTTTTTCTCCTGGGATGCTGGTGCCTGGAGTTTGCTTTGTGAGTGGAGCCATGTCCCCAGCCCTTGTTTTTCTTACAGACAGAATCAGCTCAGCTTGGCTTTGAACTTGGTATGTAGCCAGGCTAGCCTTAAACTAGCCATCCTACTGTTTCAGCCTCCCGAGTGCTGGCATAACAGGCATGCACCATCACCCTGGCTCAGACTCCAGCTATTTCTTGCTACCCTAGCTGACATCATCAGTGTCCTGCCACCACCATCTCCCACCTGGAACATCACAGTCACTTCCGTATAGCTTGTGAAAACCTGTCAGCTTGTGTCCCTCCTGGGGCTAAAAGTTAAGTCCTCACGTGGCCAACACGGACTTGCAGGTAATGTCCATTGCCCCTCTTCAACACTAACCAGCCCTCCTTGTAGTGTCAGAGGTGGGTGTACTCTTGCCCCAGGGCCTTTGCCCTGGCTGTTTCCTCATTCTGGAATCTGCGAGGTGGCTCACCCTCATCTCAGTCAAACCTTTGCTTAGATATATAAGGTTTCCTGATACCCCTTTTCAAACTGCACCCTCCCTGCTTTGTAGTTATCAGCTTCTAACACTTCCTGGGGTTTACGTATCTTTTCCATTGTCACTTGCCTCCTGGAGGCATCTCTCCAGCAGGTCCTCAACTAGAGCTATACCTGGCACTGGCAGTTTCTCCACAAATATTTGCTGAATGAAAGGCAAGTGGTCCTGACCTCTTTCCTTCATGGTTGTGTAATGGAGAGTGGGTTTGGTTTTAACTCCTGGCGATTACCCTAAGTATTCAGTAGCACTATGAATCACAGTTGGCACCTAGACCACACCTGAGGTCATGCTGAGGTGACTCAGGAAGGGGTTGGTCTTTCCAGAAAGACCAAGGATGTGATCAGAGGTTTTTGTTTTGTTTTTTTGTGGCAGTACTGGGGTTTGAACTCAGGGTCTCACGCTTATAAGGCAGGTACTCTACCACTTGAGCCATACTCCCAATCCTTTTGCTTTTATTATGCTGGGGCTGGTCTCAAACTCACAATCCTGTTGCCTTGACCTCCTGAGTAGCTGGTATTACAGGGGGGAACAGCCACACCCAGCTTAATTCTTTATAGTGAAGTGGATCATAAGTGTAACAGTTTCCTGTTTTGTGAGTTACTGAACCTGAATGTCATGGGAACCCCTGAATTTGTAGCCAATTGGTTTTAAGTGCAGGTGGACTGAGGAGCCACCCTTACCCTGAGGGGCTCGGGCCACTCCAGTAGTGCGCATGCCAGAGATAGTGTGCAACAGAAAAGGAATTAGAGTGAAGCCAGGAGGGAAAGACCTAACTGGATTGGGCATGGTGGCACACACCTGTAATCCCAGCATTTGGGAGGCTGAGGCAGGAGGAATGAGAGTTTCAGGCCAGCCTGGGCTACATAGTGAGACCTTGTCTGTGAGTAAGAGAGACAGAGGAGAGAAAGAAAGGAGAGAGATGAGAGAGAGTGTGTCTGAGACTTGACCAGCTTGGAGGGGCTGGAAAAGGCAGCAGTTAGAGCTCCCCGAGAGCCCCAAAAAAGAACACAGTCTGCTAACACCTTGATGTTGGTGGACGAAATTCATTTCAGACTTCTGAACTTCTCGTTTTCTTTTTCTTGCAGTACTGGGGTTTGAGCCACTCCATCAGCTCCTTTTTTGTGATGGGTTCTTTCAAGATAGGGTCTTGTGAATTATTTGCCCAGGGCTGGCTTTGAACCACCATCCTCCGGATCTCTGCCTCCTTAGTAGCTAGGATTACAGGCCTGAGCCACTGGCGCCCTGCTTGTTTTCCTTAAACTGCTAAGTCTGTAGGAATTTGGGGCAGCAGCGACACGAAACACACATCTCTCAGCCACTATGTCACCTCTAGGATGCCAGGTCCTGCCTTGTTCCTGGCTGTGTCCCCAGCACACCTGGCCCATTGGAAGTCCATCAGCAGATTTTGTGGAGCGCTGGATAGATGACTGTATTAGAATAGCCAGACATAATTGGACCAGAAGTGGACACCTGACACAGACTAGCCAATCAGATTTCCCCTTGAAGAGAAGGGTTGGGGGTACATAAACCTGCCTGCTGCACTTGACTCTGGCTGGTGAAAGGAACAGGAGGATCAGAGAGAGGCTAATTAGGGACATTGAGGCATGGGAGCCAAGAGCCAGGAGCGAAGCATAAGCACTGCATTACTAGGTAACTTGAAGTCCCCCTCCCTGTTAGACGACATTGGGTGGCCATGCTCTTAACCTTGCACTAATGATTTGCCTAGAGCTCTGGATGTAAGCATGTCCCTGGTGAGTATCTCAAGAAAAACATTTGGCCTGGCAGCAGTGACTCACGCCTGCAATCCTAGCTACTTGGGAGGCTCAGATTGGGAGGATGGAGGTTCAAAGCCAACCCGGGCAAACAGTTCTCAAGACCCATCTCCAAAATAACTGGAGCAAAATGGACTGAAGGTGTGGCATAAGTGTAGAGCCTGCTTTACAAGGCTGAAACCCTGAGTTCAAACCCAGTCCCACCAGGAAAAAAAAAAATAGTAAAAGTGAAACAACTGTCAAAACTCATCCTTAGGCTAAAAGACCTTATTAAGGAAGATATCTCCTAATGATAGCCTTTTCTGCCCTAAGTAAATATCTTCTAGGGAAAGCACCTGGCACATGCTCAAACAAGTCACCCATGTCAATGAAGGAGACTTGGTCTTTAGGAATCCCAAACTTACCAGTTCCAAGAACATAAGATCCAGCTAAAGCAGGATTGTCACAGCAAATGATTAATGTGGCCAGATGGCGGAAAGGAAGATGCGTGCGCAGAGATGAGGCCCTGGGGAGCCTGACTCAAGCCTTCCAACTACGCATGCGTGACACATGGCACACCCGTGTGCCCACACCTCCAGCCTCCCAGGATGGACTTTGTTTCCTGCTTTTCTGAATAAAACTTCCATCAACTTCTCACCTAATTACACTCATCCTAAAATTCTTTTCTGTGACGATGTCACAAACTCAGTGCCATGAATATAGCACCCCACGTCACAAGCTCATCCCCCCAGGTTGAGGTTCATACCCTCTGGAAACCTCCCTGAGTTTGGACAAGTCCTAGTTGCAGTGACAGATCAACAGGAAGGACCCACAGGCGGCCCACGGAATCCAGGACAGAGCTATGAAGCTGAGTCCATGTACAATAGGGAATAGAACCTTCCAGAGACTTCCCTTCACCTCCCCCGTTACCCCTGAGAATGCCATGTATGCGGGGGTTCTGAGTCCCCTTTATCTGTCTCACAAACGCGGTGTTGTACTGAAGCCGCCCACTGGGCTGCTGAACCCACTACTAAAAGGCCTCACTCAGCCCAAAAGCTGCTGTTGCCTTCCTGCTGAGAAGCACAGTCAGGGTTGGAAGACAGTTTATTGAAAGATGCGGGAACCATGAGAGGAAAGTTCCAGGCATCTGCTGTCTGTTGGGGTCCATCTTCCCTCCATCCAAGATGGAGCAGGTGGTGTTCAGCCATCAGTCCCCCATAGGCAACCACAGGACCTTGGTCCGTGCTGCTCGCAGCCCCAGCTCTGGGCCTGCTCCCTCGGCCTCTTGATCCCAGGCCCTCAGGCAGCCCCTGTTCACCCACACAGGCTTGAGGTTTCCTGCTGAGGCCCACTCCACAAACTGGGAGCCCTGGGATGGGGAAGATGGGATTAGCACAGTCAGCATCTTGGTTGCTAAACAGCTGCTTCCTTAGCAACGAGATCTAAAGGCTTGACTTAGCTCCATGCCTTGCTCCTAGCAAGGGACCCTTCCAGATGCTGAGGGAAAAGAGCTTGACCCTGTGGCTAGGGAATTTCCTCCCCTCATAACCCTTGTTCAAGAGCACGGGGTCCAGGGCTCTTGTCAACAGTAGTTCCTATCCCTACCAATGGGAGGCTTAGAAGGGTGGACTTGGGGCAGCTGACTCTGTTGCTAGGGTGTGGTCCTTAGCGACAGGCCATCCAATCAGATGTCTTTGGGCAGGGCAGGCGCTTAGGTCCTTGTTGCTAAGGAGATCCTTTTCCTTAGCAACTGGGTTCTAAAGGGGCAGGACCTCAGAACCTTGTTGCTTAGCAACAGGAGTTCTCAGGGGGTGGGGCTCTGCTCTCAGAGAAGGAGGAGCCTGTGGGTGAAGATGCAGACCCTGAAGGCAAAGAGAAGGGTACCTGGGCAGATCCAAAATACCACAGGGCCTGGATGTCCTGGTGCAAGGCCAGGCAGCGGGTCAGGTGGTCCCCATCTCCTGTCACCACGTTCACCAGGCCGGCAGGGAACAGAGTGGCCATATCCTAGGGGTGTGAGAGTGAGCCACATAGCATTGGAGGGCAATAGAGTCAGGGTGGAAGGTGGGTGTTTGGGGAGTGGCCATGATGCTCCTGAAGGAACAGAATGGTGTAGGTTTGGATGGGATGCTGGGACTGGGGTTACCATAGTTACCAAGGAGAGCGAGGGCCAGCAGAACTCCTGCAGACCTGGGCGCCTCTCATTTAGTGCCCCAAGGGCTGCTGGGAGCAGGGGCAGTCAGGAGGGAAGGCAGGTGACTCTACCTGGCAGACCTCCAGGGCTAGCAGAGGACAGGCCCCGCTGGGCACCAAGACCACAGTATTGCCGTGGGCTAGGGCTGGAGCCAGCAGGGACACAAAGGCAAGCAGAGGGCACTCGTCTGGGCACACGATAGCCAGCACACCTAGTGGCTCCCGAAGACGGAGCACAGGGCCTTTCAGCCCTGCTACCTGTAAGGACAGACAGCAGGTCAAGGGTGGACAGGGAGACTCATCTACCCTTTCTTCCTGTGATTCCCATCTTCTCCAGAACAAATCAGTAGTACGACCAGTTCTGCTCAGAGCACAGTACTCTGGAGCCAGTCAGCCACTGATCAGCTGGGTGACCCTGAGCGACTCACTTAACTTCTCTGGACTGTTTATGTCCCGCAGAACAACAGTGCCTACTTTAAAAAATTGTGGTTAAGATGAAATGAGTTCATGTGCACCAGGGGTTAAGAGCCTGGTTGGGGTGTGTGTGTGTGTGTGTGTGCGTGTGTGTATTTGTTTTGGGGTTTGAATTCAGGGTCTCACACTTGTCCATGCTCTGCTTTTTTATTGGTTGAGATGCAGGTTGCCCAAGCTGGCCTTGAACTACAGTCTTCCTAAGTGGCTTGGATTATAGGCATGAGCCATTGCCCTCACCCTTGTGGGTGTGTTTTTTTTTTTTTTAGCAAAAACTTTATGGAACAAAATCTATATCTGCTCTACTTTACACATTTGTAAAGGGAACAGACTGACAAGTTTTGACAATGTGTACACATACACCCATGAAATGAACTTCACCCCACTCCTGTATGTTTGGTAATCCTCTCTGATCTGAGCCTTCAGTATCAGATCACTGATCTGTCTTCTCTAAGCAGAGATGAGTTTGTATTTTCTAGTTTTATAGCTAGGATTCTTATGTCTGAACTTTTGTCTGGCTTCTTTTCCTCACAGTAATCATTCTGAGATATACCGTGTTGTGGTATTGTCCCTCCTGAATGCTGATCAGGGATCGCTGTGTTAGCTGGGGATGATGGCTCATGCCTGTAATCCCAGCTATGCAGGAGGCAGAGGTCAGAAAGACTGAGATTCAAGGCCAGCCCAGCAAATAGTTTCAGAGACTCCATCTCAAAAATAGCCAACATAAAATAGGGCTGGTGGAGTGGCTCAGGTGATAGAGCATCTGCCTATCAAGTGTGAGGCTCTGAGTTCAAACCCCAGTACTGCCAAAAAAATAATAATAACACATTTTGTTCATCTATGAACCTGCTGAGATAGGGAAGATCGAGGTTCAAGGCAAGCTTGGGGGAGGGGGAGTTCAAGAGTCCTCATCTCAACCAATAGCTGAGTGTGGTGGAGTATGCCTACCATCCCAGCTCCATGGGAGGTGTAAATAGAAGGACTGTAGTTCTAGCTTGGGCAAAAACTGAGGACCCTGTCTCAAAAATAGCTAAAGTAGCTCAAGTGGTTGAGCACTGCCTCAAAAAAAATTTAAAAATCATGGTTATAGTACACTGAATGGATTTCATGACCCACTATTTGGAAATCACCACTGTCTCAGGTGGACTGTATATCCATTGTACAGATGAGGAAACAGAAATAGGGATGAAGTTACCTGCAGCTGGGTGGTGGCTAGATTGGGCCAGGACCCTAAGCCTGGTTCATCCAGAACCTTCATGCCCCATCTGCCTGCCCACAGACCCCTCTCACCTGTAGGGTGTGGCCTTGGGCCTGTGCCTGGGCCCCCCATGTCCGGAGTCGCTTAACACTTAGCTCCACCTCTGCCTTGGCAGTCTTGAGATCCACTCCCTGCCTCTCCAGCCTTGAGAGCAGGGTGGGCTCCCTGCGTTCCAGGGCGGCTGCCAGGGCCCACAGGAGGGATGCCCGAGCTGCTGGTGACTGGGCCATCCATCTGTGGACAGACCGTACATATTGGAGAAAACATTCCAGTCCTGGTTCTTTCCAGATACTCACTCTGTCAACAGCACCTACTGTAGGAGTCCCAGCGCTGAGTCCACCAACTGCAGAAGTCCCGTGCAGGGTGCAGTGGCACCCCGTGACCCTGCACAAGCTCCTGCCTCTTACCCAGGGGCAGCCTGGTGAGCAGCCTCCACAGCACCTCTGATATCTTTGGCTCCACCTTCAGCTACATAGCCATGGATGTTGCCAGAAGAATCCTGGATGGGCCTGGAGCTCCGGGACCCAGCAGCCTGGAACCGACCCCCGATGAAGAGCCCATAGGGGGGAGATGGGCTGCAAAGAGTGAGGTGTGAGGGGGAGTCCTGCTGCCTGGGTCTGCTCAGACCCACTGAATGGACCACTCCAGGTCCCATGAACCTCTGGGCGGCCCCAAACACCAGCTCCCAGAAGCCTCTGGGGCACCCAAAACTCTTGTTCACATCAGGCCTGAGGTAGGGGATTCGGTGTGGCTGAAAGACCCATTCAGTAGCACCCGGGGAACACATGAAAAATTTAACAAGTCTCCCTCCAGTCGCCTGACTTGGGCGAGTCTGACACACCTTCTCCCATCCCCTTCCAACCCTCAGACCACTGGGTCTGGCAACAACTTACCTGGGCCCCACTTCCGGCCCAGCTGGCGGGGTTGTGGGCACAGTGACGCCAAAGCTGTCATAGTTCAAATTCTCACAAATGAAGGGTTGCCTGGCAGGGGCTCCCAAAGGCCTCAGATACTCATGCAGACCCTGTAAGAGGAGCAGTGTCATGAGGAGGTAGGGAGACACCAGGTGGGTGTCAAGGGGAGGCAGGGGTGATGATGGGGATGACTCACATCAGGGCCCCCATGCCAGGAAGACCCACTCTCCTTGCAGCCACCCACAGGCACTGCGGAGTCTCTGAGGCCATGGGCATTGATCCACACTGTACCCATCAGGAGCCTGTGGGGAGATGGAATAATCAGAGAGAGAAACAGGGAGTTGAGGGAAAGCCAAAAGAGTGGGGAGGGGAGGCCCAGGGAGGGGAGGGTAGACTGAGGGACAGAGGAGTGAGGGTAACCTCTGGGCCCTAAGAGGTGCCCACTGACCCGTAGCCCAGTTCCAGCGCCTGCCCCAGCTTCTCACTCCACACACTGGCGCTGCCTCCCCGCGGCGTCCCGTTGGCCAGGGCCAGTGCCTCTTTGGCTGTGCGGAAAGGGGAGGCCACGACCAGGGGCCATGGCACCTGGAAGGGTATATGGGGGCTCAAGCGTCTGGTAAGCCTTTCCCCTTGAATTCCCCAACAGTAACAGCAACCCCACATCTGAGTCCTATGGTCACCCCAGGGCTTCTGAAGATGGGGGCTACTGACCACAGCTGGCTGAGGACAGTTTTATGGAATAGGATCACTGCGACCCGAGGGGATTCACCTCTGTCTGGGCACATGGAGAGGCAGGGGGCAGGCCTGAGACCAAGGTTGCGGGGTAGAATAGGCTGTCTGAGGGCATGTCGCCAGCCTGGAACACCTAGTGAGAAAAAGAAATGGGTCTAGATTAATGCCCGGCTCTTCTCTCTGACCCATGAGTCCAGACCCCAGCCTCCTCCCTCAGACCCAGGGGTTCAGGCCCCAGCCTCCTCCCTCAGACCCAGGGGTTCAGGCCCCAGCCTCCTCCCTCAGACCCAGGGGTTCAGGCCCCAGCCTCCTCCCTCAGACCCAGGGGTTCAGGCCCCAGCCTCCTCCCTCAGACCCAGGGGTTCAGGCCCCAGCCTCCTCCCTCAGACCCAGGGGTTCAGGCCCCAGCCTCCTCCCTCAGACCCAGGGGTTCAGGCCCCAGCCTCCTCCCTCAGACCCAGGGGTTCAGGCCCCAGCCTCCTCCCTCAGACCCAGGGGTTCAGGACCCCAGCCCTCCTCCTGCTGACCCTGGGTCTCAAACCTCCTTCTCCCCCAGCACCAGTGTCTGTGACCCGAGGCTCACCTGTGCACCCTGTCTCTGGGCCTCACACACATAGTGCTTGGCCAGGTAATGTGAGTCAGTCCCTCGAGTGCCCATGTCCACTGCCCCATCTAGTCCTTGGCCATTCCGAAGTCGCCCCATCCTGGCCTGGAGGCGCCTTATGGCTTCATCCCACACAGATTCCTGGATAAGAAGCCTGAGGCCGCCCTATTAGGAAAAGAGGCATCAAGAGTGGAGGCATTGAGCCGGGCACCAGTGACTCATGCCTGTAACTCTAGCTATTCGAGAGGCAGAGATCAGGAGGATCGAGGTTCGAGACCAGCCCAGGCAAAAAGTTCACTAGACCCTATCTCAAAATACCCAACACAAAAAAGGGATGGCAGAGTATCTCAAGTGTTAGTACCTGACTAGCAAATGTGATGCCCTGAGTTCAAATCCCAGTACCACAAAAAGAGTGCGGTGGGCTGACTTGGGAAGACAAGTCCTCACAGAGGTCTGGGCCTCAGGCACAGGTCATGGAGAAGGGGTGAGGACTAAACTCCAGGAAGGATGTGGAGTTACAGAGAATCGGTGATTAAAAATCTGAAGACTGGCTGGGCACAGTGGCTCGCCCCTGTAATCCTAGCTACTCAGGAAAACAAAGAAACAAAAACTGAAGACCGAGAAGACAGAGTTTAGAAAACTAAGGGTAGTACACTCAGAGAGAAATGAAGAAACTCCTGGCCTGGTGCAGTGGCTCACAACTGTAATTCCAGCTCCTTAGGAGGTAGAGATAGGAAGATTGTGGTTTAAGGCCAGCTGGGGCAAAAACGTTTTTGAGATCATTGTCTTAAAGAACAAGCAGGCATAGTGGTTCAAATCTAAAATCCTAGCTACTCAGAAGGTGGAGTTAGGAGTACTGTGGTCCAAACCCAGGCCCAGGGAAAACTGTAAGACCCTAACTGAACAATAACAGAAAGTAAAAAGGGCTGAGAGCAGGCCTCAGGTGGTAAAGTGCCTGCCTAAAAGAGCAGGAGGCTTTGAGTTTAAAACCTCAGTAGTGCTCGCTTCGGCAGCACATATACTAAAATTGGAACAATACAGAGAAGATTAGCTTGGCTCCTGCGTAAGGATGACACGCAAATTCTTGAAGCGTTCCATATTTTTATTTTATGCAGCCATGAAGAAGAACGAAATGTTATCATTTGCTGGTAAATGGATGGAATTGGAGAACATCATTCTGAGTGAGGTTAGCTTGGCCCAAAAGACCAAAAATCGTATGTTCTCCCTCATACGTGGACATTAGATCAAGGGCAAACACAACAAGGGGATTGGACTTTGAGCACATGAAAAAAGCGAGAGCACACAAGGAAGGTGTGAGGATAGGTAAGACACCTAAAAAACTAGCTAGCATTTCTTGCCCTCAATGCAGAGAAACTAAAGCAAATACTTTAAAGCAACTGAGGCCAATAGGAGAAGGGGACCAGGAACTAGAGAAAATTTCTAGAAAAAGAATTAACCTAGAAGGTAACACACATGTACAGGAAATCAATGCGAGTCATCTCCCTGTATAGCTATCCTTAACTCAACCAGCAAAAACCCTTGCTCCTTCCTATTATTGCTTATACTCTCTCTTCAACAAAATTAGAGATAAGGGCAAAATAGTTTCTGACTGGTAGCAAGGGGGTAGGGGGGAGGGGGCGGGGGGGAGAAATGACCCAAACATTGTATGCACATATGAATAAAAGAAAAAAAATAAATAAAACTTCAGTACTGCCAAGAAGAAGGAAAAGAAAAGAAAATAGAGAAGGAAAGGAAAGAAAAAGGAAAAAAAAGAAGAAAAGGAAAAAAACCAAAAGAACAGGAAAGAAAAGAAGGATAAATAGGTAGATAGTTGGGCACTGGTGGTTCACACCTGTAATCCTAGTTACTCAGGAGGCAAAGATCAGAAGGATTGTGGTTCAAAGCCTGCCTGGGCAGATAGTTCCATGAGACCCTATCTTGAAAAAAACCCATCACAATAAAAGGACTGGTGGAGTCCAGGGCCCCAGAATGTCAAAGACCAGGAGAGCTGGTCATGGAGACTGGAGGCAAGGAATCCTAAACACACAGTGGTATAAAGACAGAGTTTCAAGACCCAATAAACTTAAAGTTAAAATGAAGTCTCAGGAACTCAAGATGTGCAGAGCGTTCAGACACTGGTGGCTCACACCTGTAATCCTACTTGGGAGACTAAGATCAGGAGGATTCAGGTTCAAGGCCAGCCTGGGCAGATAGTTCTCAGGACCCCATCTCCAAATAACCAGAGCAAAATGAACTGGAGGTGTGGCTCAAGTGGTAGACTGCCTGCTTTGCAAGTGTAAAGCCCTGAGTTCAAATCCCAGGCCCACCAAGAAAAAAAAAATCTGCAGAGAGACACAACAGCCCCCAAGATATTAGGGACATGACCGCAAGGTACTTACCATGCTTCGGTCAGACCAGGCTGCGTCAACAACGCCCTCCACAGCTGAGTCAACATCTGCCGAATCTGTCAGCAGTAGCAGCGACTCTGCACCCAGAGCCAGGCTCAGCTCGGCCTCCTTGCCTGCCAGTGTCCGGCGAAGAGCCCGTCCTTCCTGAAGGACCTCATAGGATTCAATTGGGGCAGAAGCCTCTCAGTCCCCAGGCATGTCCTGCCCCACTCTTAGCCCCAAAGATACCTCAACAGTTCCACAGAAGGTCACTTTCTGGACTCCAGGCAAGGAGGCCATGACAGGCCACAGGGTGGCAAAACCACTGATCACATTGAGGATTCCTGGGAAGGCGCCTAGCTCCCCTGCCAGCTGGGCCAGGAGTAGAGGTGTTGGGGAGGCCGGGGGAACAAGGGCCACCACAGTGCAGCCTGGGGAAGGGGGAGGACTCAAGGACCCTGGAGGATGATATCTGGCCCTGGGGTCCAGGCTCCAGCCCTCTTCCCTCAGATCCAGGGGTCCAGGCCCCAGCCTCCTCCCTCAGACCCAGATTTCTGGGCTCCCAACCTCCTCTTCTTGGAATTCGATCATTCAGACCCAGCCTGTCACTTACCCATAGCCAAGGCAGGGCAAATCCTCCACATCATCTCGAGGAAGGAGAACGTGGGTGGCAAGATGAGGCCAATGACTCCTAGAGAAAAGTTTTAAAATGATGGCCCTGGGGCTGCTGTGCTGGGCCATGTGGGAAGAGCGTCTGGGGCTGGAACTTCAGATCCTTACCCATGGGCTCCCAGCCTGCCAGTGCCTCTTCCTGGGTGTGTGCCTGGACTGCATGATACTGGAGCAGCTGCTGGGCCAGTGGGACATCCCCATCTCGAACTTCTCGAACAGCTCGCCCAGTAACCAGGGATTCCAGGGTCCAAAACAACCTCTGGTGTTTCTGGATCATCTTGGCTAGCCTATGAAGAAAGCCACAGGTTGTCTTTTCCCAGGGCAACCTGGACTACAATCCCCAAGAGCCCTTGGGCATCCCTGCAATTAACTAGGGGCAGAGGTACCAAGGACTTATGGGAAATGTAGTTGAGAAATTGTCAAACTCTGATGGTGTGGTGTAAAGGTATTGACTACCAGCAACCCTCCCACTTCCACCCTATACTGGGAATCTGAGTCTTAGCCTCTAATCTCAGTGGCATTTTGGGAAATGGAATCTTTGTCTCTAGCTAGAAAACAGAGAGCCTGGACCCCAGTAAACTGCAGAGAAACAAGAGACCCCATGATATTCTAGGAAATGGAGGCATTGTTACTACTAATCCCAGTGAATTATGGAAACGGACGTTTTGTCTAACAAAGCCCCAAGTGCATGCTGGGAATATTAGCCTTGGCTGCTGATCAAGTTGGTGGGATCTTGGGTAATGGAGTCACCACTACTACAGTCTTTTTTTTTTTTTCACCCTATAGTCTTGAGTGGATGCTGCAGAATGCAGTCTGTCCCCACCTCCAAGGCCACACCTCAAATCACCTGGTCAGGTGCTTGGCCCTCATTGTCCCAGAGAGTTTGCTCCAGCTGGGGAATGCTGTCCTGGCTGCCTCCACTGCTGCAGCCACATCCTCAGTGTCTGCCTCAAGGCAACTGGCCAGGCTCTTTCCTGGAGAGAGAAGTAGGGGGCCCCAGATGGCAGCAGAGATGGAGAGAGCCCATGTCAAAACTGGTGAGTGTTGCTTCTAAAGCCTGGAAGTGGGTTAATGCAGTAAAGCCAGTCCCCAGCAACCCTTTGAGTCTGTTTTACCGCTGGTCATTGTTCTGATAACCTCCCATAGGCAAAGGAATTTAGTAGATAGTAACTTCTAGTTATGGATTTGAAGTCTCTAGTTATGGACTTGGAACCCTAATTAGGGTGAATGTCACCAGGAGGAACAAGAAATCATAGCCCATTTCCAGCTAATGGCTGCTCCCTGTCCTCAGGATGCCCTGGGTGGGTACAGCTGGAAGACAGGAGTGACTCTCACTCCCACAGTGACTGGGGGTGGGGGTGGGGGGGTTCGGGGAGGAGCTCATACCTGTGATGGGATCCTGGCAAGATACTATATTCCTGTGCTCTGGCTTAAGCCACTTTCCATTTACATAGTGGCCCAACTGTCGATCCTGGGTGTCCAGCCAGGCCTGGGGGAAGGGAAAGAATTTGGAAAAGGGTCTATGAGGCAGCTGGGGCCCCTCAATTCCTACCCAGAGTCCTCTGGGAGGACACACCCCATTGTGCCATCAGCTAATTCTTTTTCTCCTGTTGTCTTTTATTTTTTGGTGCAGGGAACTGAATCCAGGGTCCTATGCTCTGCTATTGACCTACTCTCCCAGCCCCCATCACTATCTTTATTATTGGAACAAAATACACACACAATTCACTAGGTTAGCTGGGCATTGTGGCACATGCCTGGAATCCCAGCACTTGGGAGGCCAAGGGAGGAAGATCAAAAGTTCAGGGCCAGACTGGGCTAATTATCAAGACCATTTCAAAACAAGTAAACAAATCCCCCCAAATATCACTATTTTAACAACTTTATTTTTAGTGGGACTGGGGTTTGAACTCAGGGCTTTGTGCTTTCAAAGCAGGTGCTGTACCGCTAGAGCCACACCTCCAGTCCATTTTGCTCTGGTTATTTTGGAGATGGGTTCTCTCCGACTCTTTTCCTGGGCTGGCCTCCAACCATGATCCTCCCGATCCCAGCCTCCCAAGTAGCTAGGATTACAGGCATGAGCCACTTTTCTCCTGCTTTTTCTCTTGCCTTGTCAACTGATTCTTCAAATTTCCCTTTAAAGCAAAATGGTCACCTAGAATTTCCAAACTCAAATATCCACAGGGAAGGATTTGTTTTGTTTTGTTTTTTTGAGACAGTCTCCCTATATAGCTTGAGGATGGTCTTGAAGTAGTTATATAGCCCAGGCTGGTCTCGAACTTGAGGTCCTTTTGTATTAGCCTCCTGATTGCTGGAATTACAGGTATGCACCACCATGCCAGGCAGAGAGACATTTTTGAAATAGGGCTATGTGAATGTGAATTGGGCATTAGATACTGAAGAATGACTGTTAACGCTGAGTAACAGCATGATACCTGTGTAGCAAAATGAGTCCTTATCTGTCAGAAATGAAGATTTAGATGGGTGTTGTGGCTCACACCTGTAATCCCAGCTACTCAGGAGACAGAGATGAGGAGGATCGTGGTTTAAAGCCAGCCTGGGAAAAGAGTTTGCAAGACCCTATCTTTAAAATATTCAACACAAAAAAGGGGTTGGAAAAAAACAAAAAGGATTGGAGGAGTGGCTGAAGAGGTAGAGCACCTGCCTTGCAAGTATGAAGCCCTGAATTCAAACCCCAGTACTACCAAAAAAAAGAAAAAAAAAAAAAAACCAAACCCTAAAACCAAAAAGGGCTGTGGGCCCAGGCAAATAGTTTGCGAGACCCTATCTCAAAAAAAACTATCACAAAAAAGGGCTGGTGGAGTGAATCAAGGTGTAGGCCAGGGCTAGGGGGTATGGTCAAGCAACAGAGCACCAAATGCAAGGCCCAGTACTGTCAAAAAAATAAAATAACAATAAAAAATAGATAAAGATTCAAATATTAGCCAGGTATCCATGGCTCATGCCTGTAATTCTAGCTACTTGAAAGGCTGAAGGTCAGGAGGATTGAGGTTTGAGGCCAGCCCAGGTAAACAGTCGGAGAGATCCCATCTCCAAAGCAAAATGGACTGGAGATGTGTGTGGCTCAAGCAGTAGAGCGCCTGCTTTGCAAGCATGAAGCCCCGAGTTCAAACCCCAGTCCCACCAAAACAAAACGAAACAAAACAAAACCCCAATTGTGTGACACTTTAATTGTGGCCTTGTGAAATGCAGTGAGTCAGCCAAGCCATCCTGAATTTCTGATCTACAGATATGTGAGAAAAACATTTGTGCTGCTTTGGTTCACTGAGCTAGTGGTCACTTGTGGTTTCATTATTCTTGGTGGTACTGGGAATGGAACCCAGGGCCTCACACGTGCCAGGCAAGTACTCTATTACTTGAGCTTCACTTTTATACGTTTTGTCTTGGTTGGCATCACAACCCCTATCCTCCTTTTGTCTCTGCCTTTATGATACTGAGGTTTGAACTCAGGGCCTATACCTTGAGCCACACCACCAGCCCTTTTTTTGTGATAAGTTTTTATTGAGATAGGGTTTCAAGAATATTTGTCTAGGCTCACTTTGAACCATGAGCCTCCTGATCTCTGCCTCCTGAGTAGCTAGGATTACAGACATGTACCACCACACTAGCTTTAGTGGTCAATCGTTACCACACCCAGAAGAAAGTGACACAGGGCTAAATGGACACACAGGACTGGAAGAAAGACACACGGCTGAGGGCTGGGAGGGCAGACCCAGTTGGAGGTGACAGGCTTGGGGACTGAATGGATGGATGGGGCTGGAGGGGATGGAGTTTGTTCTATCAGGAAACAGTGTCTGAATGAGAAAATGAAGTCTGTAGACATCAGGCTGGGAGGACCTATTGTGGCCTAGCTGGCTGGGGCTTGGGGACAGATCCCAAAAGGAAAGAATGCAGCTAGTTATAAGAAATACTGGGCTAATGGCTCAAGTGGTAGAGCACCTACCTAGCAAGCGTGAGGCCCTGAGTTCAAACCCCAGTACTGACAAAGAAAAAAAAAATTCAAATATTTATGGGAAAATAAGGACATCTGGACCTCATTTACTCTTAAAAGGAAAAAGAAAAGAAAAAAACAGAGGGATGCATGTTAACTGCTGAAGTTGAGTGATGGGTAAAGAAGAATTTTAAATAAATATCTAGTAGTCTGTGGAAGATGGAATTCCCCCTTCTCCAAAGAAAAACAAATCCCCAGAAGAATTCCCACAGGGTCCTGGCAGGTCATGGAAGTGGGAGCAGTGGGCCTGTGCTAGAGACTAAGATCTTAAAATTTATGTGAGGGCAGTGAAAATGGGTTCCAGATGATTTTTGTCAAAAAACTGGAGCCAAAGGTTGCCACATTTTGGAAGTATCATTTTCCAGGGAAGCTAGAATCCCGGATGTTTACATGGAAATTGACATTTTCAAAAACAAAGCTTGGGCTAAACAAAACATGTTTGTTGACTGAGTCTGGCCCAACCAAACTTTGCTGAATCCAAGTTCAGAATCCAAGGGCTCAAGTTCAAATCCCATCACTTTCTTTAAGCTGTGTGCACTGTGGACAAAATTAATGACTTCTTCACCCCTCTGTGTCTTGTCACTAAAAAAATGAAAACAGTCCTCTCTAAGTTGTCCTGGGGCTTAAATGATATCATGCATAGCCCAGAGGCTGGCATTTTGCACCGAATCGACCAGTCCATTATGGTTTGTTTTTTTAGGTGGGACTGGGGTTTGAACTCAGGGCTACAGTTTAGCAAAGCAGGTACTCTACCACCTGAGCCATACATCTTCAGCCCATGTTGCTCTGGTTATTTTGGAGATGGGGGGGGGGTCTTAGGAAATATGTGCCCAGGCTGGCATTGAACCACAATCCTCCCGATCTCAGCCTTCCAGGTAGCTAGGATTACAGGTGTGAGCCACCGGCGCTGAGCTCCATCACTGGTATTTCACTTCACTCCTAACCAGCCTCCAAGAGTGGGATCTCTGTACTTTGTCCCCAGTCCTCTTATCTGCGTCGATACTATTTCTAGTCTCTCCTGCAGTTCAGTATCTTTCTATACTGTCGTCTGTCACCAGGACAGAGAACTGTCACTGTCCTGAGGCACAGGCCTAACCGGCACTAGACTCCCGCACATTGCTGTCTCCAGGACTATCACACACTCCCCAAGTCACAACGGAGCTCAGTGTCTTTCCTCCAATCTCACTGCCTCTGGGCTCACCATGCAGGGACAGCCATCCAGCCACAAGGCTATATGCCAGACTGGTCCCTGTCCTCTCAATCCTTTAAACCGTGCGGCACCTCTGTGCCGCCTTCTTGGCTGCATCCCCACCCTGGCCCCAGGCTCCCACCTCACGAGCGTGCACTTGAACCATTGCTCCAGCCTCCTGGCCTTCCTCTCAAAGAAACCCAAGCTGGGATCACGAGGGCCCCACGAGGGACTGGAAGGGCCCTTGGAGGTGACAAAACTCCAGGCATCCTACTTATCCACGGGAACCCCTAGAGGATTCTGGGGTTCTGATGAAATCCTGTGGCTCACAGGAGTCTTAAAAGGATTTTTAAGAGACTCAGGAAAAACACGAGGAGAGGACTGAGGAAAAACACGAGAGGGCATTCTGAGGCCTGAAGGATCATGGGGCCGCATCCGGGTATTCCGCGGATATTAGGCAATTACAGGAAGTTCTGTATTCTGGGGTCGGGAATGTTCATATAAGCCCATAAGTGTTAAGGGCCCTAAGGAACCACTAAGGGGCCTGGAGGATCTCGGATGTTCTGAGGGTCACCGGACCCTACAAAAATCCTCCGGATTTGGGGGATCACGGGAGGCTCTTGGAGGGGGCTTTAGGAACTACGGGCCCCTTGAGGGGTTTAAGGGATTTGGGGAACCATGGAACACGAGAACCACTAGAGATCATGGGGACAGACTAAGTGTCTTAAGCTGCAACCGCGAAAAGTTTAAGGGAAGGTCCCCCGGGGCAGCGTCCTAACTGGTGGCGGGAATCGCGGTGGCTGAGAGGGGCGGGGTTGCTGAGCTGCCGTGGAGGATCACGGGAGTCCGCGCGCAAAACGCCGCGGGGAGGTCTGGGGAAGAGAGCCGGCGGTGTCCGCGGCAGGCCCTCACCAATGCGCATGCGTGGTTCTCCAGCACGGGTCCGTACTCCATCGTGGTGAAGATCTCCAGGACGCTGGGCTCTACACGCGTCGCAGCCATCCCGGACAGCCTTCCTTGCACACTGCCCAAAGGAACCTCTAGGTCCGAAGGGCGGTACCACCCCCTCCAGCCCAAGGGGGCGGAGTCAACGATAAGAGGGCGGGGCCACGGGGTTGAGCGACTCTCTATTCACTTCCTCAGGTTTACCAGGGGACCCCGCCTTTAGGCCCGCGCTGGGTAATGTAATTTGTTACATGCGAACTCCTCAAAGCCAGGAGGCAGGCAGAACAGAAATCAGAGTGTCCTGCTAACTGAAGGGCTCTGGATTTAGAAGAGTGGCCTATTAATATGTCTTTCTTCTTTTCTGTATTGGTTTGAAATACATAAAGATCTGGCTCTAGCTCTGGGACGAAATGGTAGCTCAAAGAGCAGAAGCGATCATTTAGGGTAGACATTGAGATTAAAGTTTATAAGGTGTGGTATCCTTGGGGGTACTGGCTAAAGGTGGTTTTTAGGAAATAGCGGAAGTGTCGCTCTAATTCATAGAGGAAGTGTGGCGTACAGTGAGCTGCCTCAGGGCTTGGTTCTGATTGGCTGAGGCGGGAGGCGTGGCTGAGTACTTCGAATGTAATTGCTTCATAAGTAGTTGCCAGCTTGATGAATAAGGGTCAATGTAGCTGGAAGTGTGGCTTACTCTATTCCACAGGCACAGAGACCGGAAGTGTGGCTCATTTACACATTTGGCAATTATGACCAAGAATGAGTCTAGAGATAATAGGTCCCCACGGATTTGACGATGGTGTCTGGTCTAGAGTGAAACTGTAGCCTCAGACCAGATTCTTAGGCCTCTGGATATCATACTGTGTGTCAGGAGTCGATTCAGGGCCCGGTAGCAGGCTCCAGAGTTCTGATCTCGAGAAACATTCCCCAAGTCAAGGGTGCTGAGGACGACTAGGTCTCTTTCCCAGGGCCATGGCGGACTCGTCACTGCTAGCATCAGAGCTAAACGAAACAGAGACGATGGGTGAAGAGACTACGCGATTGGAAGAGCTGCTGTTGCAGGTGCGGACTGGCTGGATACCTGCGTCTTTGGGTGTTAGAGGATTGGTTTTGGTGCTCAGAGATGGGACTACAGCTCCCAGAATGCACTAAGGCAGCAATAGGGCCTATGGGAATTGTAGTTTCTTGGCGCAAAATTTGCTGCGCTCTGAAAGTGGGAGTGGGGTTAGAGTTGTTCTTCTGTTCTCAAAGGAGGAAGGGGACCTACAATTTGTGTGTGTGTGTGTGTGTGTGTGTGTGTGTGTGTGTGTGTGTGTCGGGGTGGGTAGGGGCTTGAATTCAGGAACTTGTGCTTGCTAGACAGGCGCTCTACCACTCGAACCCTAGAAAACTAAGTTTCTCATGTCATCCACAGTTCTCGTATATGAGTTGCTTTATAAACATTTGAGGAACAAATGATGGATCTGATTGCACAGACTCCCAGCCTGGAGACTGTTTTTCTTAACAGGCTTCCAAGGAACTCCAGCAAGCTCAGACAACTAGACCAGAATCTACACAGATCCAACCTCAGCCTGGTGAGAAAGACATAACTGGAGAGTGAGAGAGATAGAGTCTCTCAGAGACAAGAACAGAGACCTTGGAGGCAGGGGATACAGAGAGAGGAGGCAGGAAAAGAAAGTAGATGAAGGACAGAAAGCAGAGAGGGTTGGGGGACAGCAACCCAAAGAGGAAGAGTGTCAGCAGCCTCAGGGGCAGGGAGGGGAACAGATCTGGAAGAAGGGGATGGAGAGACCCAGCAGAAGGGGGATAGAGAGACTGAGTGGAGATGGAGCCTATGCTGAAACAGATGGTCAGGACAAACCCACTCACACAGGTTTCTGTATAAAGACCATCTCATCAGAAGGCAAGGTTTTTATCAACATCTGCCACTCTCCCTCCATCCCTCCTCCGGCCGACGTGACTGAGGACGAGCTGCTTCAGATGCTGGAGGAGGACCAGACTGGCTTTCGCATCCCCATGAGCCTGGGAGAGCCACACGCTGAACTGGATGCAAGTCAGTGCCCTCGGGGGACCAAGGGGTGTGCCCTCCAGGTCCTTCCTTCCCCAGGGATCAGGACTGGCTTCTCTGTCAGGTCCCTGGAAATCTGTTCTTCCTTCCCCCAACTTATCCTTTTCCTTGTGGCATATCTCTAGCCTCCTGGGCATCCTGTGTCCCAGCAGATTTGGTTCTGCCTACCTGGCCAGGATGGAACTTTCTGCCCCATCCGGGGAGGGGAAAGCCAGGCAGATGGCCAGCTCCTGTTCTTTCATTACATTTCTCCTCCCCCCTTGTCCCTTGTCCCTGTCTTTTTTTGGCAGTATTGGGATTTGAACTCAGGGCCTTGCACTTGCTAAGCAGGTATGCTACCTACTTCATGTTTCCAGCCCTTTTTTGCTTTCGTTATTTTTCAGATAGGGTCTTGCATTTTTGCCCAAAGCTGGCCTTGAACCTTTGATCCTCATCCTACACCTCCTGTGAAGTTGAGGATCTTGCTAACTTTTTGCCTGGGCTGGTCTTGAACTGTGATCCTCTTACCTCTGCCTCTTAAACCTTCTGTTTCAGTAACCTTTTTTTGCAATTCACATATATTTCCAGAAGTTTTTTGGGATCAAGCCTTGAGTTCCCCCAGAGGAGAAGGGACTTATTGAACCCAAATCCCACCCTTGAGAAACTCCCAGTCATGAGTGGGGTGTTTGGCACAGATGCAATTTCACTGTGGTGTGATTGGTACTGTATTGGAGGTGACCCAGTTCCAAGGGCTGGTCACTGGCGCTGAGGAAGACTTCAAGGAAGACTTCCTGGAGGAGGACATGTCAGATATAATAAGTGAAGGAATAGGAGTCCAACAGGCAAAGACAGAGAAGAGGGTTCTAGGCAGAGAGAGCACAGTGGCCCAGATCTGGGAATAGAATTATGGTATGGGCCAGCAATCTAGAGTGATGGGACAATTTAAAGGGACAAAGTCTCAAGAACAGAATTAAACTTTTCCTCAGAGATGGGAGGAATAGAGCACGCAGGTCTCCAATACCATATTAGGGGTCTCAGACCTTTGCCTGGGGGTTATTGGGAAGGGGCAGGGTCCACCCTGGGGATCATAGGTGAGAGACTGCAGCTGGGGAGAACTCTGACCTGAATCCCCTGCATAGTGTCAGTTCCTGCTGTCTCTGGTCCTTGTGGCTGCTGTCGCTGAATGGTTTTTCCTGGTCTGTGTCTGGACTGTTGGTGTCCTGGGGAGGGCTGGGGTTGGGGAGAGGTCTCATCTCCTGTCTCTCTCTGCAGAAGGCCAGGGCTGTACCGCCTACGATGTGGCAGTCAACAGCGACTTCTACCGGAGAATGCAGGTGGGGGGACAGGCTGTGGGTGAAGTCTGGGCAGAGCCTCTTCCGCTGACCCTGCAGCCCACCGCATCTCTTCTCTACTGTAGAACAGCGATTTCTTGCGGGAGCTCGTGATCACTATTGCCAGGGAGGGCCTTGAGGACAAATACAGCTTGCAGCTGAATTCTGGTGAGGGTGGGGTATTGGCCATTGCAAAGGAGGGGAGCTGGGAGCCGTTTGGGGGACACCCTGAGGTGAGATAGCGAGACCAGGGATTTGCTTTATATTTGTTTATTGGCAGTGCTGGGGTTTGAACTCAGAGCCTCACGCTTGCTAGGCAGGCGCTCATCACTTGAGCCACTCCGCCAGATCTGTTTTTTTGTGTTGGGTTTTTCGAGTTAGGGTCTTGCGAACTATTTGCCCAGGTTGGCTTCGAACTGCAATCCCCGGCTTCCTGAGTATCTGGGATTACAGGTGTGCCAAGGAGCACAGTTCAGAGATTTTCTTTTTCTGTGAAGTGCTGGGGTTTGAACTCAGGGGCTACATCTTGAGCCACTTCACCAGTGCTTTTTGGGGGTGGGTTTTTTCGAGATAGGGTTTCAGGAACTATTTGCCTAGATTGGCTTCGCACTGCAATCCTCCTGATCTCTGCCTCCTGAGTAGCTAGAATTACAAGGGTACCAAGGCGCACAGCTCAGAGATTTTCCTAATTTACATTGTTGAAGCTGAAGTTTCTAGGAAAAGGAGCAGCAGTTTTTAAAGTGAGAGGGCGGGGCCAAACCGGGGTGCGGAGTCAGGAGCATCTCCAGGGACGGATCTTATTGGCACATACCTGGGAAGGGCGGAGCTAAGGCGGTGTTGTGGGCAGGACCTGAAACCCGCTTGCGGGTGGGGCCAGGTTCAGACGTCGGGGAGGGGGTGGAGCCTCTTGTGAGGCTCTTGCCTGTGCTGAAACAGTGAACCAGCCAAGCAGCCTGAGTGATCCTTGCTTCTCTATCCTCAGAATGGCGGATGTTGAAGAACCGACCTTTCCTGGGCTCCATCTCGCAGCAGAACATCCGGTCTCAGCAGCGTCCTCAGATCCAGGAACTGGGGGACCTATACACGCCCCACTCTCAGCGAGCTGATGAAGGGTGGGCCTTGTTGGGGTCCCCTGTCTAATGGCTCCCCAGTGCTCTTCTGAATCCCTCCCTCACCTCTCCATCCCTACACTGGTCAATGCCCCAGGACTCAGGGAACCTTGAAAGCAGAGAGACAAAACTGCTTGGGAAGCCCCAGCAGGTGGAGAAAGGGAACAGCATGCTAGGTGGAGGGAACGCTCTGGCAAAGAACCTGGCAGGTGTCCCCAGTTCTGAACCTTGTTCGTCCTTAGGCGGGAGAAGCCTCACTTGAATCTTTGGCTGGAAGCCCCTGATCTCCTTTTGGCTGAAATTGACCTTCCCAAACTGGTGAGTGAGGGCTCAGCCAGAACAGAACTACAGGTCTGGGATGGCCGGTGCTGTCTCCCAGGAGCAGGGGTGCAGGGCTATCGCCAGACCTGTATAAACTGCCTCTTAAGGCCCAGGAGGCCACAGGTGCACCTTTTGGTACTGCCCTAAAGATGTCCAAGGGATTGTAAGAGCTGGTTCATTGAGATTGTCCTTTGTCACTTCCTTCCTTCCTTTCTTTTTCCTTCCCTCCCTTCTTCCTCTTCCCTCTTCTGACCCTTTAGCTTCCTAACTCATGAGGCCACTGTGCTTGATCCAGGTCATTATCCCATTATCACTTCCCCAGGATGGAGCCCTGGGGCTGTCTCTGGAGATCGGGGAGAACCGCCTGGTGATGGGGGGCCCCCAGCAGCTGTATCATCTGGATGCCTACATCCCATTGTGGATCAACTCTGAGGAAAGCAAGGCAGCCTTCCACAAGAAAAGAAAGGTATGAGGAGGGCTCAGGGAGGTGTGGCATTGGGGAGCCTGGACCCCTGGGTCTGAGAGAAGAGGCTGGACCTGGACCCCTGGGTCTAAGGGAGGAGGGCTGGGCCTGGACCCCTGTGTCTGAGGGAGGAGGGCTGGGCCTGGACCCCTGAGTCTGACAGGAGGCTGGACCTGGACCCCTGGGTCTGAGAGAGGAGGCTGAGGCCTGGACCCCTGGGTCTGAAGGAGCAGGGCTGGGGCCTGCACCCCTGGGTCTGAGGGAGGAGGTCTGGGCCTGGACCTCTGGGTCTGAGGGAGGAGGGCTGGGGTCTGGTTCCTGGGTCTGAGAGAGGAGGGCTGGGGTCTGGACCCCTGGGTCTGAGGGAGGAGAGCTCTATCTGCACTCCTACTCTAAGGCAGGAGGACTGGGGCCTAGGTCTCTGGTCCTGAACTCTCATTGCCTTTCCTTCTTCAGCAACTACTGGTGGCCATGCCCCTTCTGTCTGTCCCTTCTTGATCAGAGTGTCCCCCCCCTGGATTTCCAAATATGGAGTGGCTGATGGCTTCTCTACAGTTGAAATAAAAGATGTTTGCTTTGTTCTATGTCTGGCTGGGGATGTGGGCTTGGAGGGTAGGAGGAAAGAGACATTGGGTTCTGAGTCTAGAGTCTGCTGGAAGCCCCGCCCCAGCTCAGGGCTCATTCTCTCCCTATAGCCCCTCTCCCTGGCCTCTGGCCTCCTGTCTCTCCCTTTATTATCCTCCCCAGAACCCTGGAGCTGCAGCTGTCCCTTTCCTGTTCACAATCCTGCATGGCTGCAGTGCCCCCAGGAGAAGGTCCCTCCAGGCCCCTCAGCTTAGCACTCAAGCTCTGGGTGACCTGGCCGCCTTATTGCCTCATCTGACTTTTCCTCTCACTGGGGTCCAGTCACACTGGACAATGTCTGACCACATTGTGGATTCCTTCCTTCTCTTAGCTTCTGTTCCTTCCACCTAGTGCCCTCTTCTGCAGAAGTTTTGAGGTTGTCAGCTCTTGTGTAGTGGTTGCCTCTTATTTATTACTATTCTTGGGATGGAACCTAGGGCCTGAAGCATGCTAGGCCAGTGCTCAACCACTTGAGCCATGCCCTGGCCCCTGGGTTTTTTTTTTTTTTTTTTTTTTTAATGTAACTGGGGTTGAACTCAGGGGCTTATAGGGTCTCATGTTAAAGCCTGGATTGGCCTGGATCACAGTCCTCCTATTTATGCTTCTGAGTAGCTGGAATGACAGGCACATACCATCACGCTCAGCTTTTATTGATTGAGATGGGCCCTTGTGAACTCCCCATCCCGGGTGGACAGTGTTCCTGAGTAGCTAGGATTATAGGCTTGTGCCACCACACCCTAAGTGGCCGCCTTCCTGAGAAGGTGCTTCCTAACTGGGTGACTCATCCATACAATCTCTCTAGCCTTTCCTAGCCCTCACCCCATGAGCTTCCCACTCCTGGAGACCCATGTCACATCATAGTCACACCAAATGCTAGGTCCTAAACTACCAGGCTAGTTTTCTCCTGACTGTGCAAGTGCTGTTTCCTCTTGGAGATCCACACCCCATTCTACTTCCCCCTACACCCCTCCCCCTCTCTTTTTGGTGTTGGGGACTGAACCTAGGACTTCTGAATGCTAAATGCACCTTCTACCACTGAACTACATTCCCATCCCTTTTATGGAAAATTACCTGGAAAACTTTTCAAGCTTAATATTTTGATCTTCCTTTCCCCTCTCCCTCGTGGTTAGGCTGGGTTCTTTATCCAGAACTGAAAAAAAATATAAAGCCAGGGGGAGTGGTGCTTGCATGTAATCCTGGCACGAAGGATACTGAGGCAGGAGGATTGAGAGTTCCAGTTCAAGGTCAGTGTGGGCTTGTCTCATCACTCCCTGCCCCCTTAAAGAACAATCTTTCTATGGTGGGACAATGTCACATAATGGGAAGTTGACGAATGTTTGAGTTGCTGGCAATGCCCTCCCCTTCCTCCGTGGCCAGTCCTAGGAGGGTAAATGAACCTAAGCGGTAAACGCTGGAAAACCTGAAGGAGGCCAGTGTGACTGGTGTGAACTGGGCTAGAGGGAGCAGGTGGCCATGCCGGGTCGCAGAGAGAATAACGAACTGGGGTGCGTTGTTCACCAGAGGGCGCACAAAGCAGCAGCACGTGAACTCCAAGAACTACAACTCCCAGCAGCCCTTCCATCACAAGCAGAAATGGTAGAGGAAAGAGACTCAGATTGTGAGGCCCAATGGCCTCTGGGACTTGTAGTTCTGGAGGGAACCTCGGCCGCAGAGGCGCTCACTCCCAGGTTCTGAAAAAGCGTGGGGCTGGGTCCTTTCCCCTTTCTTTCGGTCTCCATGGTGATGGTTCCGGCTAGGGCCCAGGATTTGGCAGCGGCGGGGCCCGCAGTCCCACTCCCTCCTCTTCACCATCTGCTCCTCCTTCACACCTGGCCCGGAGCCGCGGCCGCCGCCTCCGCACACAGCCGGGGACTCTGTGGCCACACGATGGCGCGTGTGAAAGGCTCCGCTGGCTTCTCCTCCCGAGACCCTGGAGTCCTAGCCCGAAGCCTCCTCCTCCCCGGCGATCCGGGGGTTTCTCAAACACAGTCAAAATCGTGAGACCCAGAGACGCAGCCGGCCCAGGCTGGAGTTGAGGCACTGCGGCGGTCAGTGGCTCCTCGGCTGCCTGGCGCCCGCCCGCCGCCTGGTCTGCTCCTCTCACCCCCTAGCGGGCCGCATCATGAAAATTTAATCCCAAATGCATTTGCGGCCCGATGCGGGGAGGCGGTGGGGAAAGGAGTCCCAGCTGAGGCCTGGATCTGGAGGTAGACGCAGCCCGGGAGAAGGCTTGGTCTGGAGAACCGAGCCGGGCGGGACCTGTCTGGTGGCGGGGCACAGAGGAGAGTTGGGGTTCCGCCCTAAGGGGCGGGGCTGCAATTCAGGGGTGGGGACCGAACTCAATAGGCGGGGACAGGTCCCTGGGCCCGGTCAGAACTCATGGCAGGAAGAGACCCTAGGGATGAGACATATTTAGGGGGCGGAGGACGGATCCCAGAGAGCGGGTATATCTCGGAGTCGGGGACACAATTTAGAGGGCGAGGACAAAACTCAACCTGTGGGGACAACGACTCAAAGAGTTGAATAGATCCCTGGCAGCTAGAAAAGAACTCGGAGCGTGGTCAGATTCCAGGGGAGAACCCTGAGTGGGGAGGGCAGTACCGGGTCGCAGAGGGCAAAGGGAATGGGTACAACTCTAGGAAATTCAGAGCGAAGGAAATGTGGGGGGGGGGGACGCACCCCGAGAGGGAGGGATAGGAATTCAAAAGTAGAAAGATGGAAACTCAGAAACGAATGACACTCAAGGGTGAAACGTTGGGTGGAGGGAGAAACAAGGGGACAACGGGTGAGTGGTTGTAGGGGCTGAAATGGGAGGGGATCCCTGAGAAAAAAGTCTCGGGACGAGAATGTTGGATCGCAGATGAGACGGGATGAGGATGGAATGGGGTAGGGGGACAAAGTTCAGAAGGCAGATGGGGCTGGGAGGCACAGAATTAGGAAGGATGGGTCAGGAGGATGAAGCACAGGGAAGGCAAAGGAAGATGGAACGGTAGGGGATCGGGAGGAAATTTAGGGGAGCCGAGTCTCAGATGGGGAAGAAAACTCAGGAGCGGAGAGATGTGGGTGGAAGGACCTAGGGAGGATGGAACGCGGGGAGTAATTTAGAGAAGCGATTGGAGTGGCCGATGCAATTTCCAGTGAGTTCAGGACGAAGAAGCCACTGTCTTGGGACAGACAGACAGAGACAGACCCAGTATGAGAGGGCTGAGAAAGAGGGAGGGTCTCCCCTCAAGTGGGGCGTGGCCAGATGGGCGTAGTTTCTCCTCGCCCCGCCCTCGATGCTGAGTCCTGCGACAGCCCCCAGGCAGCCCTCACTCGCAGCCTTGTTCCCCCCGAGCGGAGCTGCGGGGCCGGCCGGGCCGGGGCGGACCCCGGGAACCCGGACGCGGCCGCCCGGGCCCGCGGGCGGGGGGATCGGAGGGGTCACCGGCGACAGAAGCAGCCACCATGGAGTTCCGCCAGGAGGAGTTTCGGAAGCTAGCGGGTCGCGCCCTCGGGAGGCTGCATCGGTGAGCCTGGTGGGGGTCTTAGGAGGGGAGGAGTGCGAGGGTCCAAGGAGGACGCTCATTCCCATCTAGGAGCAGACGGACAGATGGACAGGCGATCCCCCCCAGCATGGCGTGTGTGTGCGCCTGTGTGTGTGTAGGGTCCATCCATCCATCCATCCATCCAGTTTTTCTCTTGGTCTCCGACGGTGCGGTTCTCTCAGTCCAGTCTTGTCCACCTCACCCCACCCTGCGCTCTGCTTTTCCTCTGGGGCTGTACATCCCTTCTCTCTCTGAGTTTCTGTCCACATGTCTGGGTCTCCCTGTTTCCCCACTCGGATCTCTCTTTCCATTTATCTCTGACACTGTCTCCTCTTTTTCCGGATCTCTGTCCACTGTCTCTCTCCCCCTGCTTGGATTTCTGTCCCCCTCCCTCTGATTCTCCCTAGATCTCTACCCACCCTGACTCTGAATCTCAACCACCCTCACTGTTTTACTGAATCTCTGGCCTTCCTTCTTTCCATCTCTGTCTCACTCTTTCTCTGGATCTCTGGCCCCTCTCTCTGGGTCTCTCTATCTCTGGGTCTTTCTCAATTTCTGTCTGTCAGGGATTTTAATCTGCAGCTAAATCGGATTGGGGCCCATTGGTCCTTGTCCTTGAGTGGAGTTAAGCTGTGAGGAAGAAACCAGGGTATCCTGGGTCCTTGGGGGAGAAGGGAGTTGCAGGCCAAAAAATTAGACCCCTGGGATACGATGAACTTCCCAAGGGATATAGGCTAGAGAGGGACTTGCTCCCATCCAGGGCAATGACCCCAGTGACCTGGGTGTCCCTCAGAGTAGTCTGGACACCTTCCCTCAGTCTCTCACCCCCAACCCCAGCTCTGGCTCCAAGTCAGAGAAATTACTCAGCTGCGGAAAAGCCTAAAAATATCTGGCCACAGTATGGGGAGGAGACGTCTGTGCCCCCATGCCCTCAGCCCTGGCTCCACCTTTACTTGGCTCTCAGTCCATGTCACTAGGCCATCCAAGTCCTTTGCTAAGTCTTAACAGTCCTGCTTGCTGCATGCTCACCTCCTGGCTCCAAAGTTACCCCACCCTCTCATAAGATGAGAACACAAATAAGGCTGGACAGAGGGAGGCAGGATGGTGCAGTGTGGGGGGGGTGGCAGTGAGGGAGGGGGAGCTCAGATAACTTCACGCCCTCTTTTTCCAATTTTCCAGCCCCTCCCCACCCTTTTTCTCGCCTCCTTTCACGAGTTTCTCAAAATACATCAGTGCGAAGTCAGGAGAGAGAGACGTGCTGATGGAGGGGGCTGGGGGATGGCGGGAGGAGGGTTGCTTTCTTCTGGCCTCCTCCCTTAGTCTCTTCTCGGATTCTCAACTGGGTTTAGACACCTTACCCTCACCTCTCTGAGCTGATTCCTGGGTCCCCAGAGTTTGCTCAGAGAGCATTCACATCCAAAGCCCAGAGTTCTCTGTGATGGCTGGAGATACTGGGGAGTTTCCTGTATTGGACATAACACATCTCATTTAATCCTCAACAAAGCTGGGGAAGCTGAGGTTCAGCATGACCGTGGGAGCACCAATGGCTGAATTCAAAACCCATCATTTGAACCCAGCCCTTCTCCCTCCCAAGCCTGGGACAGAGACTACAGGTTTTCCTTGAGATGGATGATGCTGGAGTGGGTGGAGGACTGTTGGACCAGGAAACAGATGGTAACCCAGGGTGACTTGGGACAAGGACATGGAGGGGAATGCAGGAAAGATGAGGAGACACATTCCCTCCTTTCTGAGAGCCAGATCTTAGGCAGGGCAACTCTGAGGGCTAGGAATCGATCAGGCCCCATCGCTACTTTTGTGAGTGACCTTGGACATGTTATTTCTGGTTTCTGAGCCTCAGTTTCCTTAATTGTACAAGAGAAGGTAACAGAGGACAGAGATCCTGACACAGGAAAATGGAGAAATCTTCATTTTGGTTAAATATCTACTAAGCGTCACTTTTCCTCAGCATTGACTCCCCAGGCCTGAGTTGGGGGCATCCAAAGAAGGGAGCTGGACCTCTATCTCTGTTCTTGTTTTCAACGTCCCTGGCCTTCTTATCCTAAAATGATTACTGTCACTTTGACCTTCCTTATCTAGTGACTAACATTTCTACTCTTGCACCATTTTATAGATGTGTAATACTGAGGCTCCATTTCAAAAGCTTTGGTTAGAAAGATCTGACATTTCCCAATATAAACAATGAATATCAAATTTCAGGGGCTGAAATCATATCTTGAGTTTCAGGGTCAAATATCGTCCGATGGCAACTTGGGTCAAAGTCTAAGCTGACATGTTCTGATGGGGGAGGGCAGAGAGGGAGTCCTTACTGTTCTGAGTGTTCATTCCAGGGACTTCAATTCCCCTTCTCTCTGACTCTGTCCCCTCCCTCAGGATCTCATTCTTCCCTCCCCCTTCAGTCCACTGCCTCCCTTTTCACCCCTCTTCCATTTCTTACCTGCCTCTCCCTGTCTCTCCAGGACAGGGTGGGGTGGCTGTGTTCTCTCTCGGTCTCTTCCACCTCCCTCCCCCCAGACCGTCTGGCTGTTCTTTCCTCCCCCGTCCTCATCTCCCTCGCCTCCATCTGTTCTAGCCCCTTCCTGGGATCCAGCCCGATCCCCTGGCTGCCTACCCACCTCAGAGGGGCCACACCTCACACCTCAAGTCCCCAGTCTGTCTTTCTTCTGTCTTCCAGTCTCCCCATCTTTCAACATTCTAGGTCTCTATTCTCCTCGCTTTGCCTCTTTGTCTTTTCTCCTGGGTTTCTGTTCCTACCTCTTTTGGGTCTCTGCCTCCCTCTCTGAGTCTCTGTTCTCCTCTCTATCTCTTTCTCTCTGGGTTTCTGACTTCTCTCTCTCTTGGTCTGTGTCCACCCCCCAATCACTCTCCTTTATCCTGTGTTTCTGGCCCTCCCTCTGCATCTCTATGCACCTTTCCCATCTCTGTCACTTCCTTTTGGGTTTTTCCCTACCTGTCTTAAGGTACCTCTCTTTCCCTGCAGCTTCTCCCTGGTTTTGAGGCGGCCCTCCAAATTCCTTATCCATCATCACACTCAATCCTGGATCCAGAACGGGCGGGGGCGAGAGCCACGCTGGGGAATGAGCCAATCTCCCTGCCAGGGCCATCTGTCCCCTGCCAGGACACCAGCCGCCACTCCCCTTCCCAACCCCCTAGGCTGACAGCCTGAACTCTAGGTTCCCCAGGGATGCCCAGGCTGGGCTGCTGGATTCAGGACCATCCTGTACAGTCTCCCCACCCCCACGTTCCTGGGAATGGGCTTCCGGTGGAGTCAGCTGGATGTCAGCCCCACACCTGGGGCCTGGAAACAGAAGGGCATGCCATGGGGACAGGGGAAGAGGGGTCGGTATATATAGCAGACATGACTGGGAAGCATCTGTTTCTTTGACACCTTTGCTAAGGTTTCTCCTTAACACCTTTTGCTTCCTCAAATAGACTCAGATCTGGGAGATGGGGCTGGGGAGAGTCTTTGAGCCTTGTGATGGAGGTTGAAGGCACAGGCTGTTGTGTGCCCAAGGGTTGTCTGGAGTCTAAAACTCCAGTTGAGAGAGATGATCGGGCTTATGGAGGTGACTGAGGACTGACACCTGAGTCTGGGAAAGGAGACAGCTGTGGGCCTGAATTCCTGATTTGAGGGAGGTGGAGAAGAAAGGATCCAGATTTCTACGTCCTGGGGAGGGAAGAGAGTCAGGGGCCTGGACCCTAGGATGAGAGGGCCTGCGGGCTTAGAATTCGGGGACTTGAAAAACTGGAGGTTTTGTCCTGGACTCCTGTGTCACAGGGAGGTGGGGGAGGGGGCCCTGGACTGAGTCTTTGCCTCTTGCCGCCCCGCAGTCTTCTGGAGAAGCGACAGGAAGGTACGGAGACGTTGGAACTGAGTGCCGATGGGCGCCCAATGACGACGCAGACACGGGACCCGCCGGTTGTGGACTGCACCTGCTTTGGCCTCCCTCGCCGCTACATTATCGCCATCATGAGCGGTCTGGGCTTCTGCATCAGCTTTGGCATCCGGTGTAACCTGGGCGTGGCCATTGTCTCTATGGTCAACAACAGCACGACCCACCGCGGGGGCCACGTGGTGGTGCAGGTAGCTCAAGGCGGGAGCCCTGCCCACGCCCCGATGACGTCACACCCACCTACAACCGCCCAGGCCACGCCCCTTACAATCCACAGCCTAGTAGCCCCGCCCACGTGTACTGTCCCTTAGCTCTGACCTCTCCTCAAGGCCCTCCGAAGCCCCGCAAACGCAGCATTAGGTCCCCTGTGCGTTCCATCTAGCAGTTTTGCTCAGGACTGCTTCACGCTCATGTCCCTGGGTCACATTTGTTTGATTCAATTCCTATCTCAAATTCCTTCCAGAATTTGGATCCTGGCTTTTCTGAAGCTCAACCTCTACTTAAATCCCACTGGTTGGCTCTGGCCGTTACCTAAAGTCCTGTCCCATCTCAGACTTTCCGCTATTTTAGTTCAGTATAGTATAGGCCTCGGGGGGTGGGGGGAATCCTGTGGCCTGCAATGAATCCCACCACTCCCTTCCAATCAGGTCCAACCCTAATTTAGCTGCTTCTTGGTCTTGTCTAGACCCTATCCAGCTCACTCCATAAACAGTTGATAAGCCGAATAGAAATGGAGACAGAGAGCCACCCCCACACATGGGCCCTGGGACATTCAGGGAGGGGACACTGAGGCAACAACGCGCCCTGTTGTTGAGATGGTACACCGGCCCTAGCAACGATCGTGAACTCTGACAGAGGGAAGGTGTGAGCTCTGGTTGGCAGGTGTTTTGGAGGCGGGAGGGGCTCTCTATTGCTGATTGGCCAAGGGGCTAAGTCTGTGGGTGCTGATTGGTGGAGGGCAGAGCGTGGGGCAGGGCGGCTAGTTTGATGTGCCTTTTGGCCCACAGAAAGCCCAGTTCAGCTGGGATCCAGAGACTGTCGGCCTCATACACGGCTCCTTTTTCTGGGGCTACATTGTCACTCAGATTCCTGGAGGATTTATCTGCCAAAAATTCGCAGCCAACAGGTACGGTGGTGGGGTCTCAACGTGGGCGGAAACCACAGTTGTGTGCATGGAGTTCGAGAGCGCGGGCTTGGGCTGGGGGCGTGGCTCAAGTGATAGAACGCCTGCCTAGCAAGGTGAGGCCCTGAGTTCAAACCCGAGTACTGTAAAGAAAAAAAAGTGAGTGAGAGAGAGAGATTTTGAGAGATCCTGAATTTAGGGGTCCCCAGGAAAGTAGAAGAGCCTGAATTTGTGGGTAGGTTTAAGAGAAAGGCAGGACTGGAGTTCGGGGTACAAGAGACCTAGGCACCATGGGAAGGGCAGAATCATGGGAATGGCGGGATAGCTGGATCTTTTTTTTGGTTTTGCTTTTTTGGCGTTTTGTTGAGATGAGGTCTTGTTATGTTGCCCAGGGTGGTCTTGAACTCCTGGGCTCAAATGATCCTCCTACCTCAGCCTCCCGAGTAGCTGGGATTACAGGCGTGTCCCACTGTGCCTGGTTTAAGTGAACCCTTTTCTCCTGCTCCTCTCATTAGGGTTTTCGGCTTTGCCATTGTGGCTACCTCCTCCCTCAACATGCTGATTCCCTCAGCTGCCCGCGTCCACTATGGCTGCGTCATCTTCGTGAGGATCCTGCAGGGGTTGGTAGAGGTAAAGCTCAGCTTTATGTGACCTTGGCCTCTCTCTGACTCCATCTTTTCTTGTTGACCTTGGTTTTCTCCTCCCTAGGGAGTCACATATCCAGCCTGCCATGGGATCTGGAGCAAATGGGCCCCACCATTAGAACGGAGTCGCTTGGCAACGACAGCCTTTTGCGGTGAGAGGAAGGGGCTGGAGAACCAGCTCCTGTGTCTGAAGGAGGAGGGGCTGTAACCCAGAAAGGCAAGGGCTGGGGGTCGGCACTTCAGGATCCAAGGAAGATGGGTCTGTTCTCTAGCCTGCATCCTTCCCTCAGGTTCCTATGCTGGGGCAGTGGTCGCGATGCCCCTCGCCGGGGTCCTGGTGCAGTATTCTGGATGGAGCTCTGTTTTCTACGTCTACGGTGAGGGACTCAGACGTCTGGTTCCGTGTGGCTTTGGGGCAGAGCAGGACCGGTAGTCACCCCCCTCCAATCCCCCTCCTGACTCCCCTCAGGCAGCTTCGGGATCTTCTGGTACCTGTTCTGGTTGCTCGTCTCCTACGAGTCCCCGGCACTGCATCCCAGCATCTCGGAGGAGGAGCGCAAGTACATCGAGGACGCCATTGGCGAGAGCGCCAAACTCATGAACCCCGTCACGGTCCGGGCCCGAGACTGCAGGGGTGGGGCGGGGAGGGATGTCCGGGCTCAGACCTGCGCAGCGAGTAGATCCTGGCTCTCAGGGGAGACAGGACTGGAAGGCAAAGAGAGCGGGGCTTGATCCTAGCAGCCAGGTTAAGCCGGGTGGAGGACGTGATTAGCGGGTGCTGGGGGCCGGGCTAGAGCGCGGGGTGGGCGGGATTAGAAGCACAGATGGGCGTGGTTAAAAGAAGCGGAGGCGGAATCAGAATGTGGGAATTTTGCCAGTTGTTGGGGTGGGTGAGGCTAGACTTACAGGGTGTGATTGAATAGAATGACTCCTTGGCTCACATTTATGGGTCCCCGAGGGCCATCTGGGACCTAGACACTGCGAGGGGCTACCGGAGGGCCAGGACCCACCCCTTCATCTCTGATATACCATGGTGAGGATAGGATCCCTTGGTCCCCTCCAGGGCATGTGGCCAGCGCCCATGGGCCCCTAGAGGCTTCAGTGAGGTCCGGATCCCTGGATCTCTGCGGGACTGTAGTGGGGTTCCTGAAGGAACACGAAGTCCCAACCCTGGGCTCCGTGTTAGCGTCCTCTCCCATTGCCCTCCTCCCACAGAAATTTAACACACCCTGGCGGCGTTTCTTTACATCCATGCCAGTCTACGCCATCATAGTGGCCAACTTCTGCCGGAGTTGGACGTTTTACCTGCTCCTTATCTCCCAGCCCGCCTACTTTGAAGAAGTGTTCGGCTTCGAGATCAGCAAGGTAGAACCCTGGAGGAAGGGACGCCGTGGGGGTGAGACTTTGGGTCCGGAGGCAGGGAGTAGCTGGTGGGGCACTTAAAGACTGAGATCGCGAGTGAGCAGCCGCTGAGCACCCCCTCCACCCCCGTACAACTGCTTCCGTAGGTGGGCCTGGTGTCAGCATTGCCACACCTGGTCATGACCATCATCGTGCCCATCGGCGGTCAGATCGCCGACTTCCTGCGGAGCCGCCGTATCATGTCTACTACTAACGTGCGCAAGTTGATGAACTGTGGGGGTGAGTGGGGTGGGGCCTGGGCCTGCTTTTGGGACGGCCTGGGCGGAGTAGAGCGCAGTGGGCGGATCCAATGGGCGGGTCGAGGGGGGGGCGACGATCAGAAGGCGTGGCCAAGGGCGTGACTAATAGGCTAGGGTGAGGGCGGGCCTTTGAGGAAGAGAGCTGCAGGTGGAACCGCCGAGCGGGTGTGCATATCCAGGTGCAACAGAGCTGAGACCAAGGTGGCCCAGGAGGGGCGGGCCTTGCACGGGGCTGGGCAGAGAAGGACGTGAACTGGGGATGAAGAGGGTCGGAGTGTGGGACCTGGAGAGACAAGCCGTATTGTCTATAGAGTGGGAGCAGAAAGGGAAGGAACGAAAGAGGCACAGATGAGGCTGCGATCCTGCATCTTGAGGGCGTGGCCTAGCAAGGAGGTGGGACCACCGAAGACCACGCCAGTGGGCGTGGAAAAAGGCTGGACGTTGTGGCTGAAATGCCGGACCAGGCCCGAGCCAGGCGCTGAGGTGGCCAGGTCCGGACAGACTGGGGTGCAAACAGATCTGCAATGGCGGGGTTGGACAGCCTGCTCCCACCCTGGCCGGCGCTCAGGCGATGCTGCCTTCCGTAGGCTTCGGCATGGAAGCCACGCTGCTGCTGGTGGTCGGCTACTCGCACTCCAAGGGTGTGGCCATCTCCTTCCTGGTCCTCGCCGTGGGCTTCAGCGGCTTTGCCATCTCTGGTGAGGACCGCAGATCCACAGCTTAGGGGACTCTGGGCAACTCTGTAGGGAACTTTCTGGCTCAGAAATGTGCCTCCCTGTCTGGCAAAAAGTGGACTAAAAAGAGAAGGGGTGGGGGTGGGGGCCAGGAACGTCTCCCAGTGCGTGCGCTTCGGGTGAGGCGCCTCCTGAGTTGCCTCCTCGCCAGGGTTCAACGTGAACCACCTGGACATCGCCCCGCGCTACGCTAGCATCCTCATGGGCATCTCCAACGGTGTGGGCACGTTGTCGGGCATGGTGTGCCCTATCATCGTGGGAGCCATGACTAAACACAAGGTCAGTACACCGGCCCTGGCTCCCTCGCCCTCCAAATGCAAGCGTACTTTTTTTTTTTTTTTTTTTTTTGAAAAAAGGTCTGCCTAAGTTGCCCAGGCTGGCCTGGTACTTACAATCCTCCAGCCTCACCGCCCAAGTGCTGGGATTACAGGCGTGCACTACTAAGCATGACTTTATTAAAATTTCTTTTGAACTTGTGCCTTCTTGGTCACGAGTGTCACCCGCTCTAGGGCTTTGTCCCTTGGCCTCTCTGGTCTCCTTCCTCCCTCTTGATCCATAGCCCCCTCATGTTCACTCTCCACCCTCTTGTTTCCCTGTCCTCTTATTTGACCTCATTCACCATTGTTCTCCCACAGACTCGGGAGGAGTGGCAGTACGTGTTCCTAATTGCTTCTCTGGTGCACTATGGGGGAGTCATCTTCTATGGGGTCTTTGCTTCTGGAGAGAAGCAGCCATGGGCAGAGCCGGAGGAGATGAGCGAGGAGAAGTGTGGCTTCGTTGGCCATGACCAGCTGGCTGGCAGTGACGAAAGTGAAATGGAGGATGAGGCTGAGCCCCCCGGGGCACCCCCTGCTCCTCCTCCTTCCTATGGAGCCACACACAGCACAGTTCAGCCCCCAAGGCCCCCACCCCCTGTCCGGGGCTACTGACCACGTGCCTCCCACTGAATGGCAGTTTCCAGGACCTTCACTCCTCACATTGCTGGCCTGAATGACAGTGGCAAGGAACCCCACTCCCCTCTGTCCTGCCTCAGGCCTAAGAAACAGTCTCCCTTGTTCCCAGTGCTGTCGAATCCTCTTCCCTTCCCAACTGCCTCTCAGGCGTGGTGAAGTTGCCTATTGGCAGTTTCAAGGATACCTGAATTCCCCTAAGGTTTTCCTCCTTCTCCCATTCTGCCTCAGAGGTTCCAAATCTCTCTTTTCAGGGCTTTATTTGAATGGACAGTTCAACTTCTTAGTCTCTTGTGGTTTTGAGGCACCTCACCCTTTCCTTGAATTCCAGGAATGCTCAGGCTAACCCCTGAGACCCACCCTCCCCAAAAAGTTCAAGGTCCTCCTCCTGAAGTTCCAAATTTCACCTCACTCTATTCTGTATTTCCTAGGTTGGTTTAACCAATCACCCATCCCCGCCATTCCAGGGATTAATTCTCACCAGCGTTTATGAGGGGAAATGGTGGTTTCAAGTCTCCCCTCTCCTCCTTTCACCCCTTCCTTCACCAGCAGATCCTGCTGAAGGACTAAATTCCCCCATCCTTCTCCTTTAGCTTAGTACAATGTCTGGGGAAACAACCAAAATGGCAGTTTTGACAAAATGCCTCTTTCTATCCCATGCACTTTTTCTGAGTTTTCAGGTCTAAAATAGGGGCTGCTTGACTCAATTTAATTGTTTGAAGCCACCACCATTGAACTTCCCCTTGGTGGCTTCAAGGTGCCCTCTTCCCCCTAAATCCTTGCACTTTATTCTCCTGGGTGGTTTCAAACTACCCTTAGTTTCTCAGTGGCCATTTGTTGTGTCCCTCAGGGGTTAAATGACTCAGAATCTGGGATCCTTCTCTCCCAGATACCCCTCTTTCAGCTTAGAATTTGGGGAATAATGTAGAAGTCACAGAATCCCAGGAAGGGAATGAAGCTCCTAGAGAGGGGTGTTTTGCCTGGGCAGGGTTGTGTCTTGGTGTTTCTGTCTGTGACCGTAAATCCTGCCCTGCCCCACTCCCAATAAAAAGCTCTGGTGTACAGATTCAGTTGTCACTGGTTGTGGGGGTCAAAGGGATCCTGATCTGTAGTCTCTCTTCAGACCCCGGGGTCCAGGCCCCAGCCTCCTCCCTCAGACCCAGGGGTCCAGACCCTGGCTTCCTCCCTCAGACCCAGGGGTCCAGACCCAGCCCTCCTTCCTCAGACCCAGGGGTCCAGGCCCCAGCCCTCCTCCCTCAGACCCAGGGGTCCAGACCCAGCCTCCTCTCTCAGATCTAAAAATACTAGCCCTGGTACTTAGTCCCCTGTCCCTCCTCCCTCATTTCCACTGGACTGAGACCCTAGCCCCTGATGCAGCAGGACTCAGGCAGAGGAGGTGACTAGCTGTGGAAATACGGGATTTATTCGGTCTCAGACTGTGTTCCAGTCACAGCGAAAGCATCTGTGTGTTGGACCCTCTATGGGAGAAGTCCGCTAAGGAGCAAAGCATGCAGCAGGCACAGGCCTCCTAGATTCTCCTCTACTGTGGGAACTCACAGGTCCGGCGGGACCAGAAGGGGCTCAAACGAAGTTGTTGGGGAGCGTGGCGGGCGACAATGCCTCCAGGCGCTGGGGTCGAGCCCCGCGGGGCGGTGGGGGCAGCTTGGGTGGCAGCGGAGGTGTGGGCGGCGGCTGCTTGGTGGCGATGTGCGAAGGGACCCAGGCGTCCGGTGCATAAAAGAAGAGGTCGTAGGGGTCCTTCGGAGCGTCTAAATGCATAACTGAAGAAGCAGAGGGGCGGATCACTGGGCCGGGGCTCCGCCCCTCTGCTGTGCCTCTGGCCAATGAAGAGGCTGGAGAAAGGATTCCCGCCATCTATTGGAACTTGGTTTCAAAGAAAAAGGTGAGAATAAACCAGGAGGGGCGTGGCCTATGGGAAGGGGCGTGGCCTGAAGACTAGGGGGCGGGGAACACAGGGCTCCAGCGCGGCGCAGCGGAAGGAGGAAAGGGCGGGCTGGTTGCGGACCTGAGGTTCCAGATCTAAGGCAGTTGTCAGCCGGGCTAGCTGTGAACCTAGGGGGAACCAACGGTGGGGTCCAAGGTTTCACTGACCCTGGATGTGGGACCTGAACATTTGGTAGGGCGCTGTATAGTGCCCTGCAAGACCAGGTTAAGGAACTTGGAGGCACTCAAGGAACACAACACTCACCAGGTTCATCTCCACTGTCCCGGAGCCGGTGGTGTGAGAAGGGCCGGTGCCGGGCCGCCCGGCGGTAGAGACACCACAGCAGAAGGACGACGCCGATCAGCAGCCCGGTACCCGCGAAGAACAGGCACAGAGCCCCTCCTGTGGCGCCGCGGGGACGGCCCACCAGAGCCACGCCTGAAGGGGAGGACTGCAATCTGAGTGCCTAGCCCTCCTCCCTCCGACCTGACCTGGGGTTCCACCCACCTCCTCCACAAGGGGGTCCACGGACTTCCTCCCTCTGATCTGGGGGGGTCCATGGACCTCCTCCCTCTCACCCGGGATCCACCGACCTCAGACCAGGGAATCCAAATCCAGCCCTCCTCCCAGACACCCAGGGGTCCAAAGCCCCAAACATCCTCCCAGAGACCAAAGATCCGACTCCAGCCCTCCTCCCTCGGGAGGTCCAGGTCCCAGCCTTCTCCAGGAGTCCAGGTCCTCTGCCCACCTCCTTCAGACCCAGAAGTCCAGACCCCCATCCTCCTTCCTCAGACCCAGGAGTCTTGGCCCCAGCCCTCCTCCTTCAGACTCAAGTCCCTTCTCCCTCAGACCCAGGGGACCAGGCCCCAGCCCTCCCTCAGACCCAGGAGTCTGCTCTTCCCCTCACCGGTCTCTTTCACTCGCTCCACCACGATGATAGTGTTGACTCTCTCATCTCGGCTGCGCCTCTGGGGGACTCGTGGAGTGGCAGGGGCCATCCGATTTTGGGGCCCTGGAGGTTCAGGGGGGCCAGCAATCCGTGCTGAGGGGGGAGGGTTGTTGGGTGTTTCAAGGTCTGAGTTTGGGGGCTCCTTCCCTAGAGAATCTGAGGTGGGTGGTTTTGGGGAGTCAGGCTGTGTGGCTGCAGAAACTTCTGGGTTGGGATTCTGGTGCAGGTCATTCAGGGCAGTGGCCTCGTCCTTGAAGGGCACAGGTGTTTCTGGGTGGAGGCGAGTGGTTTCAGGATCAGAGGTCATGGGAGTCTCTGCTGCATCTTGGTGGGGGGTTGTGGGGTTCTCAGGGGAGCTAGAGGTGAGAGTGACATGGGACTCCGCATGTGGGGTTTCAGTAGGATCAGGATGGGTGTTTGGGAGTAACTCAGAGTGTGGGGTCTCAGTGGCGTCAGGGTCATGGGTTTCTAGAGATTTGGTGCCCAGTGGTTTGGTGGGGTCAGGACTTGGGGTTTCAAGGATGTTAGCAAGTGAGATTTGGTGGCCATTAAATTTGGAAATTTCTGGTAATTCTTGCTGTGTAGTTTGCATAGGGCCAATGTTTGGGGTCTCAGGAAATTCTGGGTGTGAAGTTTTGGTGGGATAAGATTTGGGGATCTCAGGGGATCCTGGGTGTGGAGTTTCAGTCACGTCAGTTTGGGGGGTCTCAGAAGGTTCTGGATGTGTCGCTTTGGATTGATTAGTTTGGGTGGCGACCAGGGATTCTGATATGGGGGTTATGAGTGATTCAGGCTTGGGGGTCTCAGGAGACTTTGGGTGGGGAAGTTCTTGGAAGTCAGGGCTGGGGGTCTCACTGAAGCCAAGGGCGGAGGTCTCGGGGGCCACTGCATGGGGCGTCTTGGAGGGCTCAAGATAAACAGTCACAGGGAATTCTGGGTTAGGCTGGTCTCCAGTGGAGGTTTCAAGAGCACCAGGTGAAGTCTCGGTGGGGTGGCCCATGCCCTGGAAGTCAGAACCCGCAGGCAGAGAGGCCGATGGGGCGGCCTTGGAACCCAGCTGGGCGAGGAGGAAGACCAGGAGGAAGAGGACCGGGCCAACCGAACTCAAACTCATAGCTCTGGAAGATGCCTTAGCTGTGGTGGGAGCAGGTAGGAAGGGGTCAAGGCGGGAGCACCCCTGGCACCCCGCCCACTCAACGAGACCACGCCCAACAGAGTCCCCGCCCACTCGAGAGGCCACGCCCACGGACTCCCAGGTGGCCCAGGTTGACCCTGGGGAGAGGAGCAGAACCCAATGGCAACTCCCCAAAGGCTATGGGGCAGTAGCCATAGTAGCTAAGAGAGACGGAGGCTCGAGGCTTCTTGGAAGTCTTAATTTCCTTTTCTGTTTCCCAGGAGGGTCCCCCCAAAATTGGGAAATCATGACGTCTCTCCAAGACCCACAAATCTTCAACTTGTACATTGAGGGGTGTGGAAACCCTGAGGGGACACAGAATCACATTCCTCTCTGAGAGAGCCCAAGACAAGGTCACTCAACAGTTGTTTACAAGAGAGGAAGCTCAGAAGGAAGGTCTGGGGACAGGAATCTGGGAGCCATGAGAGAAGACTCTTGGGTTCAGGGCAGTGAGATTTTGGGGCATTCAGACTCCTGAGTCCCACAGGGTGAGGGGATTGAGTATACAAATCCCTGGTTCTTCCCAGAGGTTAGAAGTATGGAAATTTTTGAAACAGGGTCTCAGGCTGGCCTTGAATTCTCAGAATCTCCTGCCTCAGCCTCCCCATTGCTGGGATTACAGACTAGCACAACCATGCCCAGCTACAGAACCCTAGACTCTTGGTGGGGGGGGAGCTGTATTACAGGGGAGAAAGGAGATGGTTGATGTTGGGCCTTGAGTTAGAAGGGGTTTGGGACCCCCAAGTCCTAGGGGTTTGGACTCAGCCTGGTGGGCCTGACTGGGGTGAGGAGCTCTGAGGCATGACTGTCAGGCTCCCTGTTTATTGAAGATGGGGTCAGGATCCAGCACTCAGGGGTTGGTCTTTACAGTGCATTGGTCTGTGGTCTGGTGGAATTGGAGATGGGATATGCCTGGGTGGGACAAGGTCTCTTGGGGTCCTGGGGTCTCTTACCTGCTCAGTAGTGTCCAAGAAAACAGCAGGTGACTTGAGGTGGATGCAGAGACCAGTGAAATCTGTAGAGTGGCTCTGGGCGTGGCAGGAGCAAGGGTCCCAGAGGCGCACAGGTGACACACCTGACCCCCTCCCTGGGGATCCTGGGAACCTAGCGACTAGTCAGGAGATTAGGTTCTTAAAGGGACAGACATAAAGGACATGTCTCTGGGGTGGAGAAGGAGTTTAAGGATTGATGATCTGGGGAGTGATGTCACATAAGCAAACTGTCTTCCTTTTGAAGCCAAGGGTCCACTGGCTGTGGTGGTACAGCCTATAATCCCAGCTCTTGGGAGAGAAAGGCAGGAGGATCTCAAATTGGAAGTCAGCCTAGGCTATGTAGCCCAGGAAAGAAAAGAAAGAAAGAAAGAAAGAAAGAAAGAATTCAAGAAAGAGAGAAATGGAAAGAAGGAAGGAAGGAAGGAAAAGAAAGGAAAGGAAGGCTCCTGACTTTCACCCTCTCCTACCCTCAACCCAAGTTTCCTGATTCTTCCTGACTTTTAAACTCTGAGTCAAGGTCCCTAGCCCCCCTTCACACTCCAGATTCAGAAATTCAGGTCCCCAAACTCTTCCTTCTGTAGCACCTAGGAGTCTGGGTCTCTTAGGTCTTGGAATCCAAGCTGTCTCCCTTCTTTCTGGGGCAGTAAGAGCCCCAGTTCCATATCTCAGATTGCTGCTGCCATATAGGACTTCCAACCTTTCCCATGTTCCCACTGTATATGTGGAGCTCCCCTTTTAAAAGTCCACATTGGCTTGGGTGTGGTGGTTCACTCCTATAATCCCAGCTACTCAGGAAGCAGAATTAAGAGGATTGAAGCCCGAGGTCCACCCAGGCAAAAATATGAGACCTTACTTGAAAAATAACAAAAGCAAAAAAAGGACTGGAAGCATGGCTTGAATGGTAGAGCACCTGCCTAGCAAGCATGAGGCCTTGAGTTCAAATCCCAGTACCACCAAAAAGGAAAGAAAGGAACATCCATGTGAGGGGATTGGGCTTTATCTTTACAACATCCACAGTGGAGCTTGAACCCTTGTCTGTGTTTCCCCCTTCACCTGTCTCCACATCTTACCCTGTGTGCCCTCAGCCACCTCTAGCCCGTTCTCCTTCCCATCTCTCCGTCTCTAGTTGTCTCCCTGGGTTTATCTGTCCAGGCTGCTGTCCTTCCATCTTCTCTGTTTCAGCCTTCTCCCTCCATCTCCATCTGGTTCTGGCTCTTTGCCTCTCTCTTCTGTCTGCCTTCCTTTTCCTTCTTTCTTCCTCTGATGTTCCTTTTATACTCTTTTTTTTTTCTTGAGTGGAACTGGGGTTTGAGTTTAGGACTACGCACTTGCAAAGCACACACCCTGTTGCTTGAGCCACCCCTCCAGCCCATTTTGCTCTGGTTATTTTGGAGATGGGTTCTAACTATTTGTCCAGGCTGGCCTTGAACCACAATCCTCCTGATTTTAGCCTCCCAAGAAACAAGGATTACAGGCGTGAGCCACAGGCACCTTTTTTATTCGTGTCCCCTTCCTGTTCACCCTCTGTCTTTGTCTCTTGTGATTATTTCTTCCCTTTGTCTCTGTTTCTTCTCATCAGTCCATCCTCTCTGTTGCCTTCTCTCTCTCTCTCTCTCTCTGACTTCTGTCGGTCCCTCTGCAGCCTCTATTTTTATCCCTCTGACACACCCCCTATGTCCACTTCTCTGTCTTGTCGTCTCTCCCCCTCCCTCTTCTCAGGTCCCAATTAGTTGGTGGCGGCCAAGGCAGCGCACGGCCCCCACGGCTCCTCATTACAGCCAGCGGCTCCTAATGAGCCCGGGGGGCGGCTGACCCGGCGCCCCCAGCCCGGCCTGCGTCACAGCCTGTGGCGGGGGCTGCGCTGGGGATATAAGGGGGCTGCGGGGCGGCACTGCCCAAGCCCACTGCGCAGTAAGGGGGCCTGTGGGAGCTGCTGGGGACGGTGGATGGTGGGCCTGGGGTTCTGGGCTTAGGGTGGAACTTCCCCAGCCCTTCCTTCTCTCTCTGCACAGGTGATGGAGACCCGTCAGGTGTCCAGGAGCCTTCGGCTGCGGCTGCTGCTGCTGCTGCTGCTGCTTGTGCCTTGGGGCACCCGCACTGCCTCAGGTGTTGCCCTGCCCCCCGCAGGGGTCTTCAGGTAGGTGCGCGGCCCGGGGACAAGGGGACAGAAGCCCGGAGAGAGGGCAAAGAGCCCCAAGGACAGACTGTCGTGGATTGCGGGGGAGGGAAGAAGAGCAGGGGGACAGAGAATCAGTAAAAGAGACACACAAAGATTCATTCAGGCTTGGAGAGATTTTTTTTTTTTTGGAAGGAGTCGGTGAAGAAATGGATTTTTTTTGGGGGGGGTCACATTTATTAGGGTCGTTTATTGGGGTCTACTGTGCCAGGTCATGCGGGCGCGCTGGGGGCAGGCAAGTGGATCCTACTCCCTCTCGGTAATCAGGAAGCTTCGAACCTGGGTTGCAGGGAGACAGACATCAGGAGACAGACAGACAGACAGAGATAGCATAGTAAGGAGGCTTCGCAGGGAAGACCGGCGGCGGCGGGTGGAGGGGCCTGGCCGCGCGTTCAACCGCGTCTCTCGGTGTCCCTGCAGCCTCCACACCCCTGGCCGGGCCTCGGCGGGTCCAGCCACCCGCCTGTCGCGACGGAGCCTGGCGCTGGCGGACGACGCGGCCTTCCGGGAGCGCGCGCGGCTGCTGGCCGCCCTCGAGCGCCGCCACTGGCTGAACTCGTACCTGCACAAGCTGCGGGTGCTCGGCGCGCCCTAAGCCCCGGCCTCCCCGCCCCAATAAAGACCCTGCCGCGCGCCCCCGGCTGCGCCTCCTTCCTGCGCCACCTGTGCGCGTGCGTGAGTGTGTGTGTGCGCGCGCGCGCGTGTAGGTCCTGGGGCGCGATCTGCGCCGGGCACTCTGGCATCTCACCCCTCAGCCCTCTCTCTCTCTCTCACTCTCTCTCTCTCTCTCTCTCTCTCTCAGGACTGGGGTTTGAACTCAGGGCTTCTCACTTGCAAAGTAGGTGCTCTACCGCTTGAACCACACCTCCAGTCCATTTTGTTCTGGTTATTTTGGAGATGGGAGTCTCCAAGAACTATGTGCCCTGGCCGGCCTTCAACCGAGATTCTCCCCATCTCAGCCTCCCAAGTAGCTGGGATTACAGGCGTGAGCCACCTGTGTCTGGCTCTTTTCTTTCTTCCCTTCCACGCTCCCCCACCCCCCTGCTTCTCTCTGACTTCCTTCCTCCCTCTGGATCTTGTTCTATTCCAGTTCTGTTCCCTCCTCTGACCTAGGACATACGTTCTTCCAACCTGTCGCCTGCTCCCTGGTTCCCAGTAACCCCTGAGGTCTCAGAGCCCTGTCTCTGGGTCTCCTTCCTCTCTGTCAGTCGTGCTGTCTCCTCTGAAGCTCTATATTTCTCTTTTCACTCCCTGCCTTCCTGGCCCTCCGGAGATTTTCTCTCTCTACTCTTTTCTCCTTGAAACTTTTCTTAATCACCCCACCCCTTATCTCTCTGCTTGGGTCTCCATTTCTCTCTCCTGCAGCTCTGGTTTTTCCTGACTTCGCTGTCTCCCCCTCTGTCTCCTCTAGACCTCTCCATGGGCGCAGGCACGCACCCTGCCTGGCATCCAAGCCCAGGCTCCCATTCCCAGCCTCGCGATCTTGAGACGGGCTCCTAAACTCTCTGCGCCTCCTTCCCCTCATCAGTTAATGAGAATTAAACCAGGTACCCCACTCGACGGTTTCAACACAGCGCCCGACGCCTTGATGAAATGCTTTTACTAGAAAAGGCTTTCTCCTCTCTTGAAGCAGCCTCCAGCAGTTTCTTCACGGCTTTCAGACTGCGACCTTCCGGAGACACCACTGGGGCGCCAGGCCCAGTGCGGGAGGGGGAGGGAGGAGAGAGGGGACCAGGAAGGGAGGTCCCCTGGGAAGGGAGGGGGGAAACACCTGGGCCGCAGGTGAAGCAAGGAAGCAGCCAATCAGATCCGCCTCCCCTCCCCCCGCCCCAGGCCAGGCCAGGCCTTCAGCCCCGCTCCTTAATGGTGACTTGGCATCTGGTTACTCCTTCGGGACGCGGAGGGCGCTGACCCACTGCCGCGCGTGTGGCCGCGAGGGAACGCAGCTCGTGCGGACCGCGCTCTGATTGGTTTAAAGGAGGTGGATCCCGGCAGCCGGCGCGCGGGAAATGGGGCGGGGCTGACGTGTAGTGGTTGGGGAGATCTCCTCAAATTTGCATTTCCGGAGGGTGGGCTGAGTTCTAATTGGCCCTTAGGCCGTGGGGGCGGGACTCTTTCTTTAGCGTCATTCAGAAATAACCGCACAAGGAATAACTGCATTTTTCACAACCATCCGGAGTTGGCCTAATTTTACAAATGAAAAATGGGGCCGGATGCTGGTGGCTGACGCCTGTAATCCTTGCTACCTAGGAGGCAGAGATCAGGAGGATTGCGGTTCGAAGCCAGCCCAGGCTATATACATATACAATAGCCAACACAAAACAGCTAGCAGAGTGGCTCCAGTGGTAGGGCCCTTGCCTAGCACATGTGGGGCCCTAAGTTCAGGTCCCAGTACTGCCAAAAAAATTACCGATAAAATAAAAATAAAAGCAGCTGGGTGTGCTGCATAATTCATGGGGTGGTGGCTGGGCTCTCCAGACCCTGGGGAGGTAGAGACACAGTGAGGAGGAGAGAAATGACAGAAGCGTCCAGAAGCCCCTTCTGAGCAGCCTGACAGTGTATGGGGGAGAAACCTTACAAGGCTGCACAGTGGCAGCCTGTGGGTGGCCCCCAAAATGTTTTGCAGGTCCAAGCCCTGCAGCACTTTTTCAATAATATGAAGCAATTGCTGTGGTAGACACTAATGCGTCTTCCTCAAATGCACCCTTACTGACAGAGATTCCATTTGTGCAGCAGCATGCCCAGCCCAGGAGAGGTGCTCTGCCTCCCAGGTATCCCAGCCTCCCTTTGCAGCTAGGGATGGTGCCAGCAGCATGGCCCATGAGGCTTACACACAAGTCTGCTGGCTGCTCTCCCTTGCCCCTGCAGTGTGATGGAGAAAGCTATGACAACTGTCATCTCCTAAGGACAGAGGGGCTAGAGACCTTGGCTCTGGGGCTGCTGTGACTCAGCTAAGGGCTCTCAGCTGTCCTCCTCCCTTCAGACTTGTTTAGTGAGGAATAATCCTTAGTGCTGAAGTTATCATTGGGTGTGTTTTGTTAAGAAATGGAAAGCCGGGCATGGTGGTACCCTTCTGTGATCCCAGCACTAGGGAGGCTGACAAAGGAGCATCACAAGTTCCTGGCTAGCCTAAGATACACAGCAAGACCCTGTCTTGAACCACTCCCCGCAAAAAATGGAGTCACCAGGAGTAGAGACTCAGGAGACATCATATAAAAAGTATTTAGTGACATGGATTCCCCTGTACTGGCTCTGGGATGAGCCCAAGAAACAGCAATAACGAGCAGGGCGACAGTAGAAAGCCTGGGAGGGGTTTGAACTAGACATTGAGCGCAGGAGCGCCTCACACTGGTGGGGGCTGGAGGTAGCAGAGCTGGAGGTGGGGCCAGGTAGGGGCCAGGGGCTGGCCCAGCAGCAAGACCGAGAGCAGCAGCAGGAGCAGCAGGCCCAGGAACAGCCCCGGGACCAACGGGTGCCCAGTGAACCTGGTGGGGAAGCAGGAGAGGGCTTAGACGCTGGGGAGCCATGGTCTCCCCACATCTGGCCATCTCTTTCCTGGAGATGTCTGGAGGGCGCACCTGAGTCTCTGGGGCTGTCGGGGGGGTAGGCAGCGTGGGGCCCAGTGCCTCCTGACTGGGACCAGTTCCATCATCACAGGCAGCAGGGCTCGCTGGAGCTCCAGCTCGACAGGGCTGCTGGAGGCACAAAAGGAAAAACAATCACTGCTGGGCGTTTTGTCCCCAAGCCCTCTTCAAGGACCCAGGAGTCCCTTTACCTCTCAAAAGGGCTTCCTGCGATGTCTCTGGGGTGAGGGTCTCCCAGAGAGATGGGGAGAGCAGCCTGGGAGGAAAAAGGAGACACACCTGTGGCCCTGGGTTCTGGACTGAGAGAGGCCTCACGCCAGCCCACAGTAACCACATGGGATTGGTGAGACACACAGCCAGGGTGGCAGCTGCGTCCCTTGACAGGTCACCACACCTCTCTGTCTCCCTTTCCCATCTGCTAGTCCCCACCTCAGAGCATTAACGCAGAGACTTAAAGTGTGAGTGCAGAAAAGGGGGCAGAGGGGGCTCAGAAAGGAGCCTGCTCATAGGGAGCAGGAACTGTGTGAGCTGTTCGTTATCACCACCTCCATTCCACTGGATTTTGGAAGTTCCTTAGCCTCTGAGGGCAGAGGCCCCATCCTCTACAGGTGCCTGTCCCTGTGCTGGGCTGGCATAGTAAGGCATTCCTCCGACACCTTCTTGCCAGTGCCAGAGCCAGCAGTTGCTTTAAGATGAAAGCCACACAGATCCCTCCAGGGACCAGGCCAGCCCACTTTGTCTCCTTATTCCCTCTTTTCTCTGGAAGGGCCTCCTCTCTAGAGTTTGGGCCTTCCCATGCCCATACCTTTCCTCCACAGAGGAAGATAATAAAAAACAATAAAACCAAACACCAGTCCCGACCACTGCCTTCCTTGCAGCCAGCTACTGTGCCAGGCATGAAGTCAGCTGGACGGAGATGAGTGCCAAGTGGGCCGTGAGGATGCTGAGGTGGGTCCCATTTCCGGGGCAGTGGCGTGTGTGTGGCACGAGGAGGTGGGATTTGGGGCCCTGTGGCTCAGAGCTAAGCTTCCTCAAGGGAGAGGCGAGTGTCCTTACAGGCTAGGGACACCTGAGGTGGACTCAGTCCTGGCTCATGAGTTCCGCTCCTCCGCTGAAGGCCATGGGCTCCTCACCTCTCCTCATGAAGTTTCTTTCCCTTCCTTTTACTGAGAGCCGGGCTAAGCCCTTGCCTCACACTGCCACTAACGCTGTGTGGCTCCCAGTAGGACTGCGCCAGGATGCTGCGTCCCAAGGGAGTTCTGAGGCTGGCTGGGGAGGCAGTCTTCCCCTCAGCATGTGGGCGCATGTGCGTGTGCACTGATGCAATCCGGGGGTGTAGCCACGTCTGTGAGGCCTGTGGTGTGGTGGCTGCAGCCCTGTGCGTGTATGCGGTGTGTGCGGGTCTCTGGGGAACATTCTGGCCACCCGCCTCCCCGCTACCTTACCAAATGCTCTCATTAGCTAGAGCAAGTGCCTTGTTATCTCTTGGCCAAATGATTTTTCTCTCTGCTACTGAGGAGTTGGGATGTGTGTGTGGCGGGGTGCTGGGGAGGAATTCGTTAGCCTCCGGGGACCTGGAGTGACTGGGGACCAGGAGGGTGCTGGGAACTGCTTACCGTGACCCCCCTTTCCTCCTCCTCTTCCTCTTCTGCTGCTTTCTCAGCCTCCTCTGCTTCCTTCTTGCCCTCTCTTCTGGGCACCCTGAGGCCAAAAAAGTAATTGCAAGTACCTCTCCTTGGCCTGGCTCCCTGTGTCACGGGGCTGGGAGGGGCCTTCAATCCTTCAATGCAGGGCTCAGCCTGATCAGGCCCCAGGAGTGGGCTGGGGTCCTGTGTATGGACTTCTCAGGGGAGTTTCTCCTCAAATTTTCAAGAGTCTGTGACCGCTGAAGGGTAAGGGGGCCTTTATCTCAGATTAGCTTCTTCTGCTGTCCCTTTCCAGTTGACCCCCCTAGTCGGGAACTGAGATGGTTCTCACCATCTAACACACCAACTACATCACCAGCAGCGTCTTTAGGGGCACACTGTTTCCTCAACCTCCACTCAACGCAGGTGCAGGCTAACAGGCCCCCAGCCTCTGTGCCAGCCCAGTTGTCTGACCCCTCCAATTCCTACTTGGGACCCAGGCAGTTTAGTCCCCTGGGCCCCTCCAGGTCAGGCCCTCAGCCACCTCTAGAGGCTGCATATTCATCACTTCCCTCCTCCTGGCTTCTAGCCTGGGGTCCCACGGCCTGCCCCTGCAGAAATGCAGAGGTACCAGCCCCACCCCCAGTACCACTCAGTCCCTGATGATGCAGGGGGAGGTCACAGCTCCTGAGCCCCCAGCCCGCCCAATCTCAGTTCTTCCCAGACAAGTCCAATTAGAGGCCATGCAGGCAGCCTCATTAGTGGCCACAGCAGGAGCCTGAAATGGGAGGAATGGGAGGCACCACAGTCATCCAGGGCCCCAGGGCAGGTCCAGACATCTAGTGCTTGCTATATGCTCAGAAGCTGGACACAGCCTCATGACAAGCACGTAACAGTCACGGGGCTGGGCTTCAAGGATACAGCTGGAAGCTCATGGCAGCCCCGTTGCAAGTTAACTAGGGTGGGACCTGAGCCCGGGCTTTCTGATTCTGGAGGCCTCGTGGTCTCCTGACCCTGAGCTCTCCAAGGGTCCATCTGGGTCTCACTCATCCCAGGGCTCCCTGGAGATTCAGAGATTATGACTGCGATGACTTGTACCATCTGCCTGATAATTGTGTCTTTTCTACAAGAGTTCTCTTATACTGACTACTCTGGTCCTACAGGGTCCCCTCAGCCATCTTCTCCTCAGGAAGACTCCCCACTAGTGGGTCAGATGAATGAATGAACAAGTGAGGGAGTGGCACCTGACTCCCCCAGGACAGTCAGTCCTGGTGTTCTTCTAAATATCCACGTATTAGATGTCACCAGAGGCAGAGGACTGGCTCAGTGAGGATCAAGCTCCTTACCACAGGGACGGCTCCTTGCTTCCTTCTTCAGGGTGCGCTGGCTCTCCGTGCAAGTTTCTCTGCAGAAACAAAAAGGTTAGGCCTCCCCTGAGTCTTCTCACTCAGAGCCCTCTCCCTGCTTCAGCCTCTCCCCAGCCCAGCAATGTTTCTTCTCCCCACTGGAGCCCACACCTGTACACAGTGGCTCTCCTGGGCTGCGACCTTCTTTTAAGCCCTCCCACTTGAGATGACTATTATCCCCCCAAGAGCAGAAGCCAGAAATGTGATGGCTGCTCTTAATTCTACCAAGCTCCCTTCTCCTGCAGAACCCAGGAACACAGGCCCTAGATCCCAAGGGTGCCCCAGAAACTTCTCACACTTGCCTGCACCCAGAAGGAGCTCAGTCTTGCCTTTCTAACCCCCTTTCTCCTCCCAGTTCTCCTGTCTTGGGCTGGCTCTACCTGCTATGCTTCAGGACCCAGGGACCTGCTTTCTCCAGAGACACCTTGTTGTCTATGACCTCAACCCCAACCTGACAGTGTTTTCTAAATACTTTCTCTGAGCTCCAGGCTTGTGTACCCAACTGCTTCCAGTAGCTGTTGGATGTCCCTCAAGATGTTATCTCATGGTCATAAGATGAGCTCCTTCTCCTCCCCCTTTCGTCACTCACTCTTTACAGTCTGTCTGTCCCCAGCCCTGTCCCTTTTTCTCCACCTATAAGGCGTGGCCTGAATCAGGATTCAGCCCCATTGTCCAACCTCCTCCTTGGTCCTCCTGCCTCCAGCTGGTCCCTCATGGGGTTCCAGGGGGATCTTCCATGCCCAGAGCTGATCCTACAGCCTGCCCTTGCTCACAGCCCTCAAGAAAAGTCCAATTTCTTAGTTTGATAGGGATTCCTTTTATTCTGGCTGCAGACTTCTCCAAACTGTGCACCTAAAGCCTATCACACGGCTTTACCCTCCCAAGACCTCATGTAGGCTTTCCCTTCCTGTCTGGAAGGCCTCACTCCTTGAAGCACTTACATCTTTTTTTTTTTTTCCTTCAAAATAAACTCCAGTGTCAGTTTCCCTCTGACATCTCCCCGCCTCCGCCAGACACAGACACTCCTTTCTCAAGCTCCCACAGAGCCAGCCCCCACCTCTAGCACCACATCCTGCACTGGGTTGGCCCATTTGCCTGCATGAGTGACTTGGCTCACAGACCCGGCACAGTGGTGTCTCAAGGGTTTTGTCAGTCTTTCCCTGGATGGGGCCATCTCTTGGGGCATCTGAGAGCTAGCTGGAAGCAGAAGCTTAACTGACTTAGACTTTCCCTGAGAGACATGGCTCTGTCCACCACAGGCTGAGACTGTGCACATGTTGTTCTCTGAACCTCAGTTTCTCATGAGTAACAGCAGGGGAAGGATGAGGCTCCCACTTCCCAGAGATGTTGGGAAAGGGAGAACCTAAGCAAGTACTGCTGTCAAAGAAACACAGGGGCTTCTCTCAACCCAGGGAGTAAGTGACCAGAGGAACAAATTTCTCCTTGGAGGAAGGTGAACAGCTTTGAAGTGGCACAGTTTTCAAGACAATAACATATTTTTTACAGAGCTGTGAATATTTTCTTTTAAAAAAGAATTCCTTTTTAAAGAATTACAGTCTCAAGCCTGAAATGTGGTTTGAAGCCAGCTTGAGCAAATAGTTTGTGAGATCCCATCACAAAAATACCCAACACAGTACACATGTATGTAAGTGCAAAAATAATACCTGTTGAAATCATTCCAGGAATGGGAAGGCGGGGATAAAGGAGAGCAGTGGATGGGATGAATTCAAGTATGATATATTTGACACACTGTAAGAACCTCTGTAAATGCCACAATGTACCCTCACCCAGCCCAACAATAAAAAGAAAATACTCAACACAAAAAAAGGGCTGGCAGAGTGGCTCAAGTGATAAAGCACCTGCCTAGTAAGCATGAAGCCTTGAGTTTAAACTCCAATACCAGCAAAATAAAAAAACCTCAAAAGACAAACAAAAAAACAAATGAAAAGTAAAGGAATGGTGATGGTAACAGGATAAACAACTTAGCGTCTTCCTACAGTAGGACTGTCAGGTGATCCCTGACAGTATTTTCATGTTATTTATTTATTTGGTAGTACTGGAGTTTGAACTCAGGGCCTCTAGCACTTGAGCTACTCTGCCAGCCCTTGTTTTTTTTTTTTTTTTGAGATAGGGTCTCACTATGGAGCTCAGCCTGACCTCAAACTCTCCAATCTCCTTCCTCAGCCTCCCAAGTGCTGGGATTATTGACATATACCACCATACCCAGACTGACAGTGTTTCTAGAAAAGAAAACAACAAAGCCACTGCCAATTTGTGTCTTTGTTCACTTGTGCCCACCATACTACAGGGTCAGTTTCTAGTGGGCAGGGTTGGTGTCCTGTTTGGCTTCAGCTTTCCAGCACACAGAAGACCCTCATTAAACATTTGCTCACCAATTGGGGAGCAAGCAGAAGTGTGAAGGAGCCAGCCTGAGTGGCCCTCAGAGTTGTTCCAGGCTCCTTTCGAAGCTTCTGGACTCCTGAGGTCTCAGAGCCCCACCCTATTCACCTGTTCCCCAGCTAGGGCTTCATATGGAATCTCAGACTCCTCACTGGGCTCATGCATGGCCTCCTCCCACTGCCACACGCCACACAGGGGACTGGAGAGATCAGCATCTGCCACTTCTTGTTTCTGGGAAGGAGAAGTTGTTTCTGAGGCCAGGAAGGCCAGACTAAGGCAGAAGGCAGAGCCAGGGATGGAGATGGAAATGGTCTTAGGTGTGAGGCTAGGAGTAGGGTAGGAGGTGGAAAAGGGATGGTGTGAGGTTGGGGTGGGGGAGGGCATGGAATGGAGCAGAAGTGCTTGGTGCCTGGACAAGGACTGGGTTAAAGATGAACTTAAGGAATGAGATGGTCTGGGTTAGATAGGATGGGGGTGAGTCAGGGCTAGGTTAGCACTGGGTCTGGCCTGGGCAGGGCTGGGGTCTGAGGCAGAGAGAGAGAGTTAGAAGAGAGCTGAGATTGGCAGCACAGAGTTAGGGGTGACACAAGTGGGCCAATGTCCCAGAGCTCTGGGGCCATAGGCCAAGCTAGGTATGAGGGTTGGAGTGGAGAAACATTTGGAGTTTCTGCCTTGGTGGCTTTGGGTGTCTGACATGAGTGTTGAGACCTACCTGCCGAATGGCCTGGATCTCTAAGCCCAGTGATGGGGGCAGTGACATGGTCCAGCCTAGTCTTGCCTGGGCCCCTTCCAGCAGACTGGCGACATGGACAGAAGGGGGAGGTTGCCAGTCAGTTTACCTGGGCCCTGCCCTGCCCTGCCCTGCCCACTGGCTGGAGGTCAGCGTGCCCCACCCTTGGGCTCCCTCCTGCCTTCTCCTATTCCCACTCCACTCACTCATCTGGTTCCTCCTCATCTGGCCCCTTGTGGGTCTGAGTCAGCTTCTCCTCCAGGTGTGAGATTTCTAGCCTCAGTTCCTACAAGGGAGGCAGAATGTGGGGAGCACTTGGCTGTCCACTCTACCCTGCCCCCACCATGGGCTCCTCTTCCATGTCCTCTCTACTTCTTAGACAGATTACCAAGGGACCAGGGGAGAAAGCAGAGATGCTCTCTCCAAAGATGGCCAACAACAGGAGCTCAGAAGATAAAGCACCAAGCAGACTCAGTAAGGGAA